GTCAAATGAGTTCTCGACTATAAGCTTATGATGCGCCTCGCAATGAATGCGAAACAGTGGCATCGGAATGGAACGCAATTTAAATTCTCCTAGAACGGCCTATTCCATTATTCACTCGTCTCGTTCATAACGTGAGACGTGCATAAGAAATCAATGCGCCCGCAAACACGGACATTACCAAACGTAACTCTCGTGGCAGGAATAACGTTTCTTCGAATCCGCAGTTCCTTGGTCATCGTCGATTTTGCTCGATAGACCGCGGATTTTTTATTTATTCACTTCTGGGGAAAATTGACATCTCAAAAATTTACGAAATGCAATATGTAATAAAATATACCAAATAAACCGGTTGTGTTTGGATAGATAATTATTAAATATCTATTTAAATTTCATCTTTTTAATTCTGCTGATAAAAATATAGAATTCCATAAATATTCATCAGAAGTGATGATGTTTATACGAACGTACATGCAAAATTGCGAAAGATTTGTGCAGTAAATATTAATTGAAAATGCAGGATATTTCCTTTCAGTTCTCAGTTAAACTCAGTTTCTCAAATTATATTTCCTACGTTTTTCCACCTATATTTTCCTAAGAAGATTGGATTCTTTGAAAAATTTTACGTCAATCAAACGGAAGAGCAGACAACGATAAGCACAATTACAAAGCTGACAGGTAACATCGCAGAGAAATCGATTCATTATTTCTCCAAGGGAAAATTTGTAAACAAACGCACGCGCGTATCGTCGTGTTCCCCTCGTTTCTACATTTTTATCGTTTCTAAATATTCGAAACTATCCGTCGAGAAATACAGATAACGCGGATGGATATTCGACAAAACCGAGACAAGTGAAATACTCACGATTCCACTTAATTAACTCGTGCAATCAGTTGCGAAGAGGAAATCGGAGGGAATACAACAACGCGGATCCGCGAAAAATACAACGAATCATCGACTTTTTGATCAATTTTCGATCGACAGACATAAAAATTCGTACGTCCATTCGTTTTTTTATTTCGTGCGTCGACATAATTTAAGAGTAAAGACAGCGAGTACATTTATATCGCTAGTTTAACTGACTATACTTCAGGTAACACGGACGAAAGCGGTTGGTCAACGAATTGGTCAGCTGTGATGTCACGTTTGTTTCAATTACGTCTGTTTTCTCAGTCAGGTGCAACGTGCTCGCTGCTGCGTCCTCACTCAAACCCGATTACACGCATCCGTCAAGAAAAGAACCAGACAGGTATAAAATTCCTTGTAACTCGACTCCGGTGCATTTTCATTCAGCCCTTTCGATCCAGTCTCATAAGAGATGTTTATCGGCAACGACGATGGAACTGCTCCCGAGTGCATTTGCCAGCCGATGATTGCTTCTCGCCAGGTATCACGTTCGGACGCGAGCAACCGGTTCCAACCCCCTTTGTTGTCAAAGTTGAGCAGAGAGGCAGCAGAAAATAAGCAAGAAGGTGTAAAGAGTCGAGTGTGAGAGCGTACTCGGTTGTCCTTTCGCTCCAGGGTTCTCGCAGCACGAGAAGGGAAACGAAAAATGCAAGCAACGTAAGGGAGATGCTAGACGAGCACGACGAAGAAACCCGGCGAGCAAACAACGGAGTTTTGGAACGAGGTGAAACTCGTTCGTTTGGCGGAAGGCACGTCTCTCGCCTCGTCTACTTGAAAATACATAATTCACAACTCTGTTTACAGCCGCGTCGAAACCAATCGATCGTTAATCCATTCTCTTCTTTGGCTGTGCCCATTGTTCCACTCAGTCGGGGAATTACCGTCGATTGAATGCAGTCGATGACCGTGTGAATTAACGCGCTCTTTTCGCCCCCGTTGTTTCCGGTACCTGCGCCGATTTTGTTTCCCCTGCGTTCAAATTCGCCCGGCAATGGCCGCTTTCTCCAATCGTTAAAGTTACATCGGGCCACTCGCCGACAAGCCTTTTGTTCCCCCCTCTTTTTTTTTCCACCCGCTTTGCCGAAATGAACTGCCTTTTCGCCCTTTTAAATCGAGTAACTGGCTTGTTTCGGACAATGGGATAAAGCAGTCGTGTTGGAAAGCAGTTTCTCTTTCGAGTTTCACGCTGATAACGCGAATTAATCGAGGTTTCTTGGGAGGATTGGTTGAAACATCATTTAGAGTATCAGTCAGAAAGATTGCTCGCGCGACAATTCACAACCAACTATTCAGTTGATCGTTAAAAGAAATCTTGAAGTTGTAAAAGGTTTCGTACAGTTTCGTTTTAAAACCGCTGTCAATCTATCTCTGCTTAGTTTAAAATTTTTCCAGAGCAACGCTTTCTAACGAAACCATCTCCGATGTTTCCCAAATATCGCTTCGTTATATGGCAATTTATCAGTAAAATTTACAACAGCAGTTAATAGTTAACAGTTCGTATTCCAACGTTTGAAATAAACCAACGTACATACGCACGCTTCAGCTACCGGTGATTCGTGAAAATTCGGAAGTAAATATACAAAGTTACAAACGTACGAGCGAAACCTGTACAACCCCGAACTTTTCGACACACGATCCGATATTCAGCAACCTAAAACCAACTTCGAAACATTTTACATTCTATTTCAAGATACAACAGGAAAAAATCCCCGGCGCGACTTAATCGTTCAAATAATCTAATAAATCTTCCAACGTGGACAAACTGTTACCGAAATTCCAATCGATCTCTCGGCCGTCGTTAATTCCAACAAAACAGACGTATCTAAAATTCCGTCCGCGGCAGATCGAAAATTCCACGATCCCAATTCCATCGTGATCGAACGTTTGTCGACGAAAATTTACAAACGGCCGATAACAGCGTCGACGAGCACGAAGTCCGCGAGAATTACGCGAGCGAAACGTAACTGCGACAGAGGAAATATTTCTAAAATGGGAGTTGGCTCTTCGTTAGGCAACCTAACGTACGGCGTCCGTGATGTCTAAAGGGCAGCAACTGGCCGTGATATTAATTGCTTTCTGGCTATTAGCAAATGAGCCCGTAGAGATGTTGCAAAGGGAACGGCGCGTCCCTCCGCGAGTTCGCCATTAACATTAACGCAATCTGCCGGTGGTTATGCTACCGTGGCACCGCTGACAAACGCGCGTACCAGCGCTGAAATCGTGCACAACCGAAATCGAAAATGCAACAACAACCATTGTCCCCCGACAGTGAAACGACAACTGTACATACGACTACGGCTAACTGAAAGTTAAACCTAACTCGAGATAGGTCGCTAATCTTGTTTCCTGTTGACCTCTTCGGGCTTAATTCGTTCGGGAAGTTCGGGGCCTGTAAGGACCTGCGACGTGGACGTCGGATAAAGCTAATTTTTCACCAGGGTGACTTTTAACGAAAGATAACAGTCAAGTATAATTCTGATATCAATTTTACGTTTCATTGTCACTGATAATTAAAAATAACGCGAGAGATATTTGTCGAAAGGTTTCGCGTATGTATATTAATAAATTACAAACCCCCGTGAGGATAATAGCGGTATTGAAAGGTATTACAATATTATATCGATAAAATGTCAAACGCTGCTTGAATTACAAAAGGTTAAGTCTTTCCCCCTCTATCTATAATACATCCATTTCTCCCTATCTTTTAGCCATAATAGTAACTATCATTCGAACTAATAAACTATACCATAAAAATTCAAAAATATAATAAAAGAAAAGAGTAACTTCACGTCGATGAAGTATCCTGCAAAAGTTTGAATTTTACCGAAGAAAACAGTGAACAAGTTGAAGAAATCGATGCAGCACCGACAAATTTTCCCCAAACTTTTCTCTCTCGTTACCACACAAATGCACGAATTTCGTCGAGACGATATCACGTCGACAATCAACACTGTACATCGAAAGAATGAATCCGTATGAGAATGGTTGGCCGACTCGAAGCGTGCGTCGGGCAAACACTTTTACCGTTGAAAACTATTTGCAATAACGGCGCGGAGGTGGCATTTACGTATTCAAAATAGTTTCCGAAAATTTGCTAATGCATTCGAGTTGACTTTGTCAATACGGATTCATTTGCCAGCCGACAAAATCCCGTGCGCAAATACACGAACGTTAATTAAGTTTCAACTTGGGAGCCTGCGTACGCGCGGATACATATGCGTTATAAAAATGTTAGCCGAACGGAAAGCCACCAGGGTTGACAAATGGACTCGTAATGGCGGGCTCGAATTCGAGAAAGCATCGGGCGTTCAAATTTTCATCGCGCCGATAAAAACACTCGATATGAAATGGAAATAAATTTTCGAGTGTAATACAAACATGTTTAATATGCGCGGAGACGTGTTTATCGGCGCATACTATTGCTGTAATAATTAACAGCCAAGCGTACGCGTTACACATTTGCATAAACACAGTTTTTTTACTAATTGAAAGGTTCGTATCGAAAATGGCCCTTGTCTATTTCCAACAGAGAGAATATACCGTCTTTGAGATTTTTTTTAATACACGATGACAATATATTAACTAAATATTTATCGGGTTACACGTTTGTGTAATTACGTGTTCGAAAGAACGTGTCCAATTAAATATGGCTTTTTCTTTCTTCACTGCTGTTAATGCAATAGATTAGGATTAAGCAATAATGTTATCACTATCCTGCTAACAGAAATAGAAAAATGGTTTCGTTTTCGACGCTTCTCGTTAAACAAGAAATTTCTTACGCCTCTCTCGTTTCTGACTATCAGAACGCGTAAAACACGAGAAATTTAACAAGAAGAGCCGTTCCATTTACGAGCCCCTCGATTTTTGTCTTTCGCTTCGATTAACGCGTCTCGCAGCCTCGGTCCGTTTTACTTTACCACTACTTGACAAACGTGATCAAGTACCGAGGGTCGTTAAATGCAAATCGATGAGAGAAGTAAGAAGGGTTTACGGGCCATAAAAACGCACGCGTATCGAATGAAATCGATCGACGGCGTGAAAGATGCCGGCACCAGCGTATCGAATGCCGATAAATGCGATCGATAATAACATTTACCTTGAAAAGCAGCCTCGAAGGTGGTCTTCTCCTCGATGGGGTTCTGGGCGAGCACCAAGACGACCATCAGATGAGCAAGCAGCACGACAAATCGGGAAATTTGTAGTTCAGCCATCGTCCTGCGATGCACGCGCTCGCCCTTGCGATGTTCACTTTCGCATTTCTAGAGGAACCAAATCCCAACTTCTCGATCGACTATTGATTGATTGTCGCGCAAGTTTTCACCACTTGCGTGGATAACGCGCACTGAAAATCCGCGTCAGATCCCGGATCGTTCGGCGACACTTTCCTCCCGAAGTCTATCGGTCGATTACTACGGATACAAACGAGGGTGAAAAAATGACGCGTATGAAAAACACTGTACATACGAAAAACACCAAATACCGCGAGTAACACTTCTCTGTACTGTTTCTCTCTTTCTTTCTTTATCTATCGTGTACGACAACACGAAGGCACTCGGTCAAGTGTCAACACGTTGCACGACCGAAATTCTCCGAAATTCTGAAGGACTACAAGGTTGTATTAACCTCTTGCGCTGGTAACTGGTTCGCGGACCATAACGAGTGACCAAGTATACAATAATTCGTCTTCTTTTTTGAATTCATCGGTATATCACTGGACAGAAATTGCTAAGTGATAAATTTATTATTTGTTTCGCCTGGGTTATATTTCAATATATTTAAAATTGAGGAAGTATTGCAATTTTGAGCCAAATATTCTCGACGTGCGTGGCACGTCATTCCAGCGCAAGAGGTTAAGAAGACGTATGCGCCGTATCGGATACATGGCAACAATAACACGGTCACCGGCGCAAAAAGTGGACAATCGTCTGCCTTCCACTTTTAGCGTATGTACGTAGATTCAGTACGTCGAAGCACGCCGAGCCCCAACTACACACTACCCGCGAACATGCTACCTGCCTACATATACGCACATACACGACCGCGTACTTTTGAGCTCGTGTGTCCTGTTCCGTCTATCGGTAAAGTGCTTCTCTCTTTTCAGCCCGCTCTTTAGTTTTAATATCCAATTGTGCGTGTAGCGATTTGCCTTACCGATATTTACCGTACCTGTTACCCGTGAGACCCGTCTACGAGTGACCGGTCTCTATTCACCCGGTGATACCCGATGCAAATTCACTCTGCTACGTATGCACATTGATATGCATACTTTATAACGAGATGGTTCAAAGAGCTACGCATTTTTATCCGAAAGAAAAAGAACGAAATGAAAGTCTACAGATGAAAATTGACGAATGGAAATTCGTATCAAGATAATCAAAGATAAATTTCAATAATTTCGATATTATTGAAAGTATAATGTACGCTCTGAAGTTGGCAACGTACAGTTGCAAAAATGTTTGAATTCGGCGAGAATGGCGATGAAGCCCAGTTCGAACGACAATTATAATTATCGTTGCTTACTTACTTTTCGATTACAGCTCAATTTCGCGCGGCAAGAGCGTTCGACAAGAGCGAAAGAAAGAAAGAAAGCACGAAATCGGGAAAGCGGACCCGGCGGCGAGTCGCGAACGTACGCGGCTTCCCTCGAAATGAAACTGAGCAAGAACTTGATCCAACACACGGTTCTCCTTTGACACTACCGAGTGACTTAAGCTCGAACGTCAACTATCCACCGTGGCGAGTGGCCGACCGAACCCTCTCTCCGTCTTTTCTTAATCTTCGTAAAGTTCAACGACCACAATCGAGCCGCTTGAAACCATAGTTATGTCACACGAATCGAAACACTACGCAAATACACGATCGACAGCGCCACGAGCAAACCACCGCTGAAATATTTCAAATCTCGAAGGATATCAAACGCGTGTGAATCGTGCGCGGCATGTGTACGCCATTTATCACTTATCGACAGGATTACGATCGTACGATTGGTTTGATTTTCGAATGACAACTCGTTAAGGGGCGCTCGCGAAAGAAACGTTCCACCGCGGTGGAAAAAGGAAGGCAGAGGCAGTGACAGCAAGGAAAAGAGCGGAGAAATAGTAACGATTGTGAACGTTCGTTTGCTGGTCGTACCTCTCGCGAATGATCTCGCGTTGTTGCTCGACACAAAAGAAAGAAAGATACGATGGCTAGAGAGGCTTTAGCACACACGCGAACACGAAGAAGAAAGGAGCTCCGCGACAGCCGTCGACGCCGGCCGGTGTCTCCAATCGAACTGCGGGGGTTGGTCGACGGTGGCGCCGCCGAGGGACGCCGAGCGTCGCCGTGTGGCATGCGTCATAACGCCACCGCCTTCGATCGGCCGCCATTTTTTTTTTTGAAGCGCGTTACTAACCCCTTGAAAACATTCCACCCCAAACGCTGTTTCCCGATCGGAGCTCAGGACCGTACGATTTTCGAGTGAAAGAAAAAAAAAAGATAGTAATTAAATAATAATGTTCAGCATACTGAAAAAAAATACTGTGAATATTTATGCAGATATATGTACGTTAGAATAAAGTAGATTTTGAAACATCACTAAGCAATTATTATTAATTTGACTATTGAACAATATCTAAAATATCCAATAGAGTTATTAAACAACATCTGAAATATCCAATGAGTATTATATCTGAAAATAGAGAAAGAATTGTATCAAAGTAAAATACGACTTCGAGGCAAAATTTCACATGCAACTGCGTTCAATGGCAATTTGAATTATAATAATCACATGTGATGAATGAATGTTACATTGTCCCAGAATATTTCCAATATACTTATTGCATAATTTTTGCGCACACTGTACGTTCGTATATTACATTTTCGTATTTCACATATTTCGTATTTCTACATATTATAATTGCATTCTAGATATTAGTGCTATAATATGCAAGATTATCTCATAGAATACGTGCATCTACTAATTTCGAGTATTATAAATGAACGTTCGAAATTTGTATAGAAATTTAATTAACAAAAAAGATCATTTGCAAAGTCTAGCGAAAATGGGAGATTTTAAAATGTCGAGAGTCAAGTGAATAGATTCGATACGCTTCTGCAGTACGAACTAATTATACAAGTAGCTTATACAACCGTATTATAAAATGAACGAGCTAAAATACGCAGACGTTTCACAATCGAGCACAACGATAGTTGAAATATAAAGGATGCTAAAATCCAGGAGGATCTTTCTTCGAATGATATTTTCAATTTGAAAGACAATGGGAGAGGGTTTAAGGCAACGGCAGAGCATTTAATGTAAATGAAATAAATACTGGTGACATGCGACTTTCACTTATCGTTTAAGTTAATTCAAATTCCGTTTAAACTGATTAACAACGGCCTTTTGCAGTTAATCGAGTTCAACCACCACCTTAACGATAAACGGATAATCTTCCCTATAGAAAATCTGAAGCATCGAAAATGTGGAACGAGTGTAGCGGAATAAGATTATAGCGATGCAGCGAGGTTGAGAAAAGAAATTACACATTGTGGAAAACGCCGACAATGGTTTTATCTGCACTTACGTACATGTAATATCGTTATTTGCACACCTTAAATAAATAAATTTAAATCAGAAAGATAATTTAAAATAACTAAATTATATTATTTCTCGCAAAGAGGAAACACGCGATTCTGTATATACTTTTATTTATTAACAATCAATAACATGTGAAAAATACTATTATATCGGTTAATCAAGCGCAATTCCATAACACTTTCACAAACTCTTATTTGCACTCGTGCGCAGAACAATACTTATCGTAGTACAAAATAAATCTAAACAAGTGTAAAAGTCGAAAATATATTGTAAACGCTAATACTGTAAATGTTACATCATAAATATGGATAATATACGTATGTCTTACCGGTAAAGAGAACTTAAATGTAAAAGCACCTTGCAGAGAGAACTCTTTGTGGACTTCCAACAGCAATATGCTGCGAATAATATCGCAGGCGTATAAAAACTAATGCCTTCTTATGTGAGATAAAATAAAATATTTAAGCTATTACTCTTATTTTGGACGGACATTTGTACGAATAATTTGCACGAGCAATTATTTAATCAATCGTTAGAAGTCAGTCTACCAAGTAAGAGAAAGCGGAAATCGGAAGTATGGGAAAATATTTAGGATAGATGAGAGAATCGTACATATTCTATGTATTGTCGCTTGTAACACGATAATACCATTTGTTAGGTTTCTACTGTTAGAAACTTCAAACTACGTACTTTTCAACGATCGATATATTAAATAGTATGTATATGCATTACTCACACTTTAAGTTGTTACCGTAAACGATAATTTATGTCAATTCAAATATTCATTTACATACAAACAGTCACATGAGGATATGCGAAACAGTTTGAGACTTATCGCAATGTTACTTCTGACACAACAACGTGCCACGACGCGTCGTCAGGCGGTGTAAATCTAACGCTCGTTTTGCCATTAAAACGGCAACTTAGTAATTTTTAATGGTGTTTGTGAAGGTGATCCATGTATCTTCTATAGGCGCCAGTACAGTGATTACAATGAGAGCCGCGACGAATAGGGCGATCACGACGAAATATATGCCGAAGATAAATTTCCTTATTCCAGCGTGCTATCGAACAGAATGAGAAGTGAGACGATGAATATTATCAGAGATTCTCTGCGCATCGCGCCGATTCTTATTAGCGAGAAACTTACAGGAGCGTCCTGTCTTGCATCCGGATGGACCATTGAACCACGAGAGTGCATGTCCTTCATCGGGAATGAATTCACCCTCTGACTTGCCTGTTTGTCAGAGGCACATCCAACGAACTATAACACATTACATTGATTTCTTTTTATAAATATCTTAATATCAAGCTTAATCCAGATTTAGAATTTTTAGCGTTTGCACGTGTATAATTAAAGAGATTTTCAACAGCGGTTTGCATAATGAAATATAAAATACATTAGACATGACATGACGTTACTGACTGCATACGGGATCAAAGAGAGGCTGGACTGATTTCTCCAAAACGTTAATAATCCACGGTGAATTAATTTGAAACTTCATTTCATTAGCAGCTGTTTGAATATTTAAAGCAATAAATTGCATAGTGAGATGGAAATGCTACATAATAAGTATGATTGAGAGTGACGAATTTATTTTTCATTTACAAATGGATATCGCCGGAAGCATACTGGAAAAAGTAGCACAGCGTTTAGACAAGTTCTTCAAGATTAATTAAAATAACAGATAACAAAGATTTATTTAAAAAAAAAAATGAGGTTGACCTTGAGACAGTTTTGACGCATTTATTTATTCGTACGTAAAACTCTAACGACCTTCCCATCTAATCTGTTTATTCGACTTCTTTCCAGATATCCATTTATGAATTAAACTGGGACATCCGCTATAGGTAAAATACATTATCCGAGCATGTGCATACGTACAAAATCAGATGGATGTACAAGAATTTCGCTTTGGAGATATCAAATATCATTCTTACCGTCAGGATGAGGTGAGTCAGAATGTGGAATACCACGTAGGCAGCCAGAATCCAGTCGACCCATTCCGGGAGTTTGGCCTTATTCAGTCGAACCGCAAAGAAAATTGCGATTACTGTGAAAGGAATTTCAATGCGTCGGTTAATCCATTCTCCGTAACGAGAATGAAAAAAAAAAGAAAACAAACTATATACAAAGCACGTACGATATTAAAAAAGAAAAAAAGAAAATAAGAGGGACTTACTGCCACAAATCTGTGCCGCATTTCCAACAAACCAGTGCGCCCAATTAAAAAGAGGTCTTCGTGGTGCTCCTGGGTGAGGTCTCGCCGCTGCCATAAACGGTTGGATAAAAGCTAAGATCGTGGTCGCTAATCCCAAGGATGCATGTATTGTCTCCGAGCTCCATTCACCCAATTCGACGAATATTATTACAAAAGCCGCTATCGTCATCGACCACGTGAGTATCATGAAGAACCTGTGCCACTTTAGAGTAAATAAAAATATATTTTTATCTTGACTGAATTTCATTGTATAAGATAAGTGGTATGAAACTGAGCAGCGTAAGTGATAATGACATTATTATGACACACGGGCACTCGAGCCGGGTATTAAATAATCTAAAGTTAATAAATATCCTTCAACCACCTAAGATACGTTCAATATCATCGTTGGACATCAGCCAAAGTTAAGTGTTCTTCCCGAACGTTTAGATCCTCGAGTTCAAATAACGTCGAGTGCAGCAGCGCTGTTTAAAAAAAAAAAAGAACGTGCCTCGCTCAGCGTAGAAAAAGCCGAATTAAGAAATATCCTCCAATGTTAAAAGAAAGATATCCAATCACCAGTCAAACATCGATACGTTTAGCCAATCCCCGGGCATCACCGCGGCAATTTAATTCTTGTCATTTCATTATAAACGTTACATTTACGAGCATATTTATTATCGGCATCGTACGCCGGCAAACAGTTCTCACAACGACCGGTACAATTTCACACGGTGTCTCCCAATTAAAATCTGATTACGCAAAATGATTAATGCGCTCGATTTAAATTGCAATCACGCGTCCGTGCGTCGACTGTTAATTTTCGGAAAGAGCAACCCCCCCGTGACATTATCAAATTGCCCTTCTATTCGCGGTTCCTCCGATTAACCTCGATCCCAAACTCATGAAACCCACAGACAGGCGCATCGACCCGTCCAAATAGGTGCCATCACACACAAGCCCCCCGGGGTCGTTAGTTCCACTGGGTCGAGATCTTACCAGCGGTCTGGTTCATGTGCGCGATTACGAGAAAAATTGGATACTTACGGCGAACCAATGGTCCTTTCCGCACAACTGCGAGCTGACCCATGTCTGCTTGTAGTATCTGGCCAAAAGAATGCCGATCGACGCTGTCCCGATCCAGGACGCCAGCATCAGAGCACCGTGAACACGAATTAGGATGTTGCTCGCCGTAGTGAAGCCACCGACGTCGGCTAATAATTTTGCGTCGCCGGTAGCGTCGAACGCCGTGTCGTGGAATCCGACACCGTTATCTAAAAATTTCGACAAACGTTCCCTTAAACGTTCCTTCACTTTCTGATCGTTTCTCTCTTCTTCTGTATACCAAGAATTATGTTGTATCAAAATAACTGACTGAAAGAATTGTCCGTCATTTCATAAAATTTTAACAAAACAAGATTTGTTAAAGCTTTCCAGTAAATGTAACACTTGTATGAGGGGTAGCGTTGCAATGTGATACGTACTTTTTAAACCTTTGCCAGCAGCCACGAGAAGATTGTACGGTGTATTGACGAGATCAAACTCACGGCCCTGAACGACAGTGGTTTTCTCTCTCCAAAATCTGCACGTGATTACATCATCGTTGATCGCACTCGACTCCAATTGGACTGCTCCTTCTTGCTGCAAAGGAGATTGCAAACGGATCAAGGTCACGAGGGATTTCTCGTAAACCGCGGATCGAAGCAATTATTCTCCAAGAGAAGAACTAATCGGTAACAATGCTACACACGAGCGACAATTGGCCGTCAAACGCTAGGTTTATTGAATCAAGACCGTATTAATTTCATTTGCTCGTACGATCGCGCAACGTAGACCTCGATATCGAACGTTTACTCAGCGTCGAACGATAATAACAAAATCAGGGCGAAGTTTGTTTTCCAAATTTTCAAACCGCGGGCGCAGACTCGCTGATTTCAGCAACCAGTTATCGAATAAAATTCATTATTACTACGACATTATATGCGATAAAATTTGACGTCCAGTTCGTGGCTGCTCTAGCAAGATAAATAATTGAATACGCACCATAGGCTGGCGTATATTCTGCTTTCCAGAGTTCCAAGACATGTGCAATGCAATTTTTCCTCCTTCGTTCGCACACTCGACAACGCTGTCATCGCCCTGCGGATAGGAAACATTAAATAATTGAATCTGGAATTAAGTGAGTTGAAGCTAATATTCTACATGTTTTCTGAGCATACGTTTCTAATTAATACAACGATTAACGCACAGAATCTACTATGACGTAAATTACGCAATACGGTTTAATTCGAATAAGTACATACGAAAAGCAAAATTTAGCAAATCTCATAGATTAATGAAAATTACCATTTTACTGTCATCTGATAAGCCAACGGCGACATATTTACTATCGCGGGCTTGTAATTCAAACAGATATCGGTCTCCTCGCACAAGCACAGTGACTGCCGCCATACAATTTTTTGCTTCGACGCATCCTGAAGGGGTGCCGAAGCAATTCTTCGTCGAGCCACATCCGGTGTAGAAAGGGTCCTCAGCAGCCGTCGTCTAAGGAACAACACGTTCAAATACAGTAACGTTCACACGTTCAAATGTTCTCGAGAAATTATACTTTCGAGAATTGGATATTTATATACAAAACCGAGCACAACGAGCTAGCTCTTCTAACCAAGAGTAATATTTCCCGGCAACTTTTCAAATTTCTCCAAAAGAAACAAGAAAAAGAAATAGAAATTCGTCTTACATCTGACAGAGACGGTAGGTAGGTATCAGTAGGTGCGAACAATTTAATCCAATAATATAGAAGCATGGAGAAACGCGGAGAACAAATGTTAATATACGGAGTTAAGCGGTACGGTTGATCCCTAAGCCAATAGATGCTCCAAATAAATCTGGCGGAGAAGTTTCAAGAGATTTTCGAAAGATTTATTTCCATCTCCGAGATACGAAGATGTTCCCGGCGACAGGGAATATCCTACGCCGGATACGCGTGTAGAGAAGCGCGACACGGTGTCACACAGCCGGTTTTAATGGAGTAGTTTCTATATATTCCATCTACTCTAGAAACTCCTCGATAAAGTTTCCAAGCGTTGGAGCCCGGCGTTGGATTCACTCGCGTGCCGCCTTTTCTCACGTCGAGAATCTCGTTTCGAAAGTGGACCGGTAACGAGGACGATACGCAAAGAACACGTCGACTTGTATCTTTTCATTCGTCGCTGCGGACGTCAGTCCCATGCTGGTTGCAGCTCGCATTGAAGACGCCTTTCCAAGTCAAAACTATGATATTAGCGCAAAAGCGGCGTAATTAACGTTTGAATGCTCGAACATAGCACCTAAAGATGCAGCCGATTCGATGGGTAATTACCACTCAAATGGTCACAAATGACAAAGGAGATGTCGAAATGGTCAAAGTCCCGGAGGAACAGGAAGTGTAACGACCGACCTTCAACTTAGACACAGTTCGCGAAACAGAATAATTACAAACTCGGGGAGCGAGCTGGTTATTACCAACCTCCTGAAGTATGTATTTCCAACCTTGTTTTTCGTTTTTGTTAAGCACGAAACACCGCGAATTCGTTTGATCCTGTCGCAGAAGCATTTCATACTGTATCGCACGGCGTAATTGGAGTGATTATTTTAATTGCTCGTTGAATAAAGATAAGGTAAACGCGTGTCCGTACTAGCAAGCGTGAGACTACGCTGCTTTTCAGTTTCTATTCTTGCACGTTCGTGCAGACGATAAAAGTCGTCATTCTACTCCTCTTAAGCGTATTGACAATGTATAAATTTTTTTCAATGTTCAAATTAACGATGAATTCGTGATTTATTGCTTTTTCACGAAATCACCAGGCTAATCTAAATTTGAAAAAAAAAAAAGCGTGGAAATAATGTATTTTACTATCTGCCACTTGATATACAAGCATGTAGTTTGTCGTTCTTTTTTGTTTCGCGACGTTTCACCAGTTTGACGCTCGAAGTGTGACGATACAGTACGTAAAAATATTATACTGGACGAAATATTATAATGGAACGATGTTGGCAAGAATCACGGAGCGCGGTCGAACCCACGAAAGTGAATGGCGAAAGTACATAAAGCATAAAACCGAGAGCGTTCAATGGAAATTATGCATTTATACGAAGCTAACTAGCATATACGTGTGTGCATGCATAATACACGTATTAGCAATGCACCGCGAGCCAATATTCCGAACTTTCAACTTGTAATTCTGCACAGATTTCCCGGAATGTGCTGTTTGAGTAATTATGCCCTTCTGTTTTTTCTGATTAATTATACCATCATTCTTTCAGGTATTATCATGCAATTGATTTATCGTGAATTTCTTCGGAAACGAGTTTTAAAAGATCTCTGAAGTTTGCCAGAAGGACACTCCATTATTTTACACTTTCTATATTAAATACTTTCAATCGGTACAAGCAATTTGTCATGATTTATACAGTACTGCGTTCAATTAAAATTTAATTCCATTAGACTCGTTATGCGTACTTAATTGCTAACCAACTATAAATATACACCTGAGTGCACATACGTTGATTTACTCAGTTATCAAAGCATAAAATTATGTAAGTTCTCGTTATAACATTATAACTTTACGTTTAGATTGTCTTAAATTATATGCAAGTACAATTACTGAAAATTTACTCAATTATTTTACCGCGGCACGGAGATGTATCGCGCATTAACATTACATTGGAAAACATAAATTTCTATGCTTTCGTATAATTAATGCAATTTATTGGAATTAATTAACGATATCGGAGGTAATTGTACAGAACAATATAGAATACAATATATCGTAGCTTAGTCCACCTTTGCTATCAATGTCTCCGTTTTAAAAATCGTATCTTCTGGCCTATGGTGTCTGTTCATTTTTGCATCAAACAGCCAGTCAAAAATTATTTTTAAAATTATTACAATAGAGCAATCGAGTATCACTAAAATTATCATAGTAGAAAAATCGAATTCACGTTTCTCTTATTTCGGACCTAACAAGTGGCAATTCTGTTCGCCGAATATTCCATTCGCTGGTCACAATCGTAAACAGACATCAAAGAGATAGGGGTGGAATATTTCAATGTTAGGGCTCGATTTCACTTCGTAAGTCCTCCCCCGTGTGTATTAACATTACATTGGAAAACGTAAATTTCTATGCTTCTGTAAAATTAATGCAATTTATTGGAGTTAATTAACGATATCGGAGATAATTGTACAGAACAAAAATATAGAAAAATGTATCGTAGCTTAGTCCACTTTTGCTATCAATGTCTCCGTTTTAAAACATCGTATCTTCTGGCCTATGGTGTCTGTTCATTTTTGCATCAAACAAAAATTATTACAATAGAGTACTCGAGTATCACTAAAATTATCACAGTAGAAAAATCGAGTTTACGTTTCTCTTATTTCGGACCCAACAAGTGGCAATTCTGTTCGCCGAGTATTCCGTTCGCTGGTCACAATCGTAAACAGACATCAAAGAGATAGGGGTGGAATATTTCAATGTTAGGGCTCGATTTCACTTCGTAAGTCTACCCCCGTGTGTATTAACATTACATTGGAAAACGTAAATTTCTATGCTTCTGTAAAATTAATGCAATTTATTGGAGTTAATTAACGATATCGGAGATAATTGTACAGAACAAAAATATAGAAAAATGTATCGTAGCTTAGTCCACTTTTGCTATCAATCTCTCCGTTTTAAAAAATCGTATCTTCTGGCCTATGGTGTCTGTTCATTTTTGCATCAAACAAAAATTATTACAATAGAGTACTCGAGTATCACTAAAATTATCACAGTAGAAAAATCGAGTTCACGTTTCTCTTATTTCGGACCCAACAAGTGGCAATTCTGTTCGCCGAGTATTCCGTTCGCTGGTCACAATAGTAAACAGACATCAAAGAGATAGGGGTGGAATATTTCAATGTTAGGGCTCGATTTCACTTCGTAAGTCCACCCCCGTGTGTAGTCGATGATCGGTCGTGGCTATGATTATCGGGCGTGAAAAGCACGTTTGCCTCGTGATCAGCAGTCGGGACGTAATGGGAGAATAGTTACCTCGTAATCGACGGTCGGGCTGTAATAGGGCGGCGTGGTTGTTCTCGGCGTGCTGATCGGAGTAGACGGGGTCAATACGTCGATGGATCGCTTGCGAACGTTAACTTGCGGCGATTCCACGCCGACCCAGTAGGTACTGTAATCCTGCGCGATCGTGGATCTGCAACGTGGCGGAACAGAAAGGTGAAAAAAAGGAGAATGAACGAAAAAGAAAGAGAAGAAAAAAAATGAGGAACGATCGGCGAGAGGCTAGCGAGAAGCATGGATCGATCGATGGTCGGTGAAAGGGAAATGGGAGCGTTTCAGCAAGGTACGAATGACTGATAGGGAACGACGATACCGTAGCTAGTATTGATTGCGATATGGTTGGTTCTTTGAGAGACCGGACTGAATAGCAAGGCTCGAAAGATTATCGTGTGTTTCGTTCGATCGTACACCACCGAATGTAGACACTTTGATCAATTTCAAGCGTATGTACGTGTGTAAATTACATCGTACGTATGTATGTAATTACATGCTTGGTCATCGAATTAAGAGTGTTCACATCCTTCTTTGATAGAAATAGTAAATTTTTATTAATTACTAGGATGTCAAACACGTACAGCTTAATAATTTCTGTATCTTATCTTCTTCTTATTTTGATAAATATTCTGAATTTTTATTCTCGTAATTTAGCGGCGAATGATGAAGATACTCTTTCATATGATGTAATTAAATATGGCCCCAATTCGGTGACCAGAGTATGTACATGTGAATTATATGAGCAGAATATACTAGGGCAGCCAAGTAATATGTTTCCTCAACAGTTTCTATCGGCATGTTAGATGCTACAAGTATTACAATTCATCGGTTTTATTTGTGTTATGTCATTTGTGCTTGTTCATCGAGGAAAGTTTGTACGCACAAAATATTTGTACACTACTGAATTCATTATAGCACTTACATGCTAATTAGCTATCCAGGTCCAAGTACGATTAAATTTCATATTATTTAGCAGTGCTTTAATACGACTACGTGAAAATCATAAACTAAAAACCGCGTTATTCAAAAACAAGGACTGTAGCCATCTGCAATTATTTTACTCGCAAGTACTTTTCTAGTTCTCATTTCTTCTTCAGTACGACTAACTAGTAATCTTAATGTCAACTATTCATACCCGAAAGTAGGTAACTAGCAAATTACCGGCATACCAATGTCTAGAAATCTCAGCATTAACGATCTCCTTCGTTTTAAAAGTTTGAACGGACGATTCACGACGTGAACGAGCTACAAGTACAAACATTTGAATGCCAATGGGACGCTGAGGCGAAATTGGAAAGTTTTTCGCAATCATAATCGCGTACGTGTGCGAACGATTTCTTTCGTATCGAAGACACAGGAGACTATCGGCTGGAAATTCGAACCATCTCGGAATTGTTTCCCTTAACGATCCTGCGATTACTCTAACCGGCGCATCATAATCGGTCACGGAAACGCAGCCAACGTTTCCGCAAACGGGCAGAGAAAAAACGCCGTCGACGAACGCCAATTCGTATTCCAACATCTCGGCAGATAAGCGTATAAATTACGGTCTTCCGGGTCGGCGTGATGCAACGCGTTGCCAGCGCAGGCGTGGGAATAAAAGATAACAATGTTGAGAACGAATAACGACCCCAAGTCGCTAATGTTGAAGAATCGTTTCGATAGCGAAAAGGAAGGAGTCCGATCGAACGAACGATCAAGGTAGACAAAAATGGACTAACGTCACTGCGCGTGTTCAAAGCAGAATTTCAAACAAACCATAAATTCCTGTAGATTTCTGGGATATTAATAGAAGTGATCTCTCTTTTTAATTAAGACTGCGGACGAAAAACATGATAAAGGCGAACTTTCTACACAGACGTTTCGCACAGACCGAAAATGTGATCTTCCCTCCGTACTTTCAGCCATTTTATATCAACCCGTAGAAAGTACGTTGGATTCCTTTCCCTTTATTGAATATTCTCGCTTTTTTAATTATTCTGTTTGCACGTTCTATTTCTATACTCGACCCGCTGCGAAATCAAAAGGTTGAAAACGTTTTCTTTCGATCATAACGTGAATCGGGAACGGTTGAAACCGGGGAACAAGCAAAAGTACATTTATGTTGCAGTTCTCTCTGCGTGATGCTCAAATTGAAATAACGTTCGAGTCGTGTTTGAATAGCGTGAAAGAAAGGAACCCGAACGGAAAAGTGAATGAACGAACGAACGAACAATCTGGCGTGGATTGGAGGGCGGGCTGGTATCGAGCTGTCAGAAGCGGAATTCGAACGAACCGAAGGGTTATTTATGGCTATCGGCATAAATTTCTGAAGAGAAGTTTTAATGGAGGTTGGCCTCTCTCTCTCTCTTTCTCTCTTTCTCCCTCTCTCTCTCTCTCTACCGTGTATTAATTGAGCATTCAGGAATAACCGGTGGCACCGATTACAAACGGAAAAGTTCATAACGAATGTCCCCCGTTGTTTCGCCGTTCACCGTTAACCGCGTTATATTGTATTCCGTGCGCAGGAGGGAGGAGGAGACCACCAGGCGCCTCGTGCCGCACGCGTACGCTCGTTTCTAATCGTAATTCATACGTGGACAGATCGCGGACGACGTATTACGTGCGCGAGCTATGTACACATGCGAGTTAATCCCCAAGACCCCGAGTTCTGTTCCAGAGATTGAACGCGCAATTCATCGACACCTCGCCAATGAACTCCCGCATTAGTTCTGATTGCAATGAATCGTCAGTTTCTATTCGCTTCGCTGTACGGTCAGGTCAGATTAATTTGTTCTTGTTACCTGCTTACGCGATAAATCGCCGTGTTTGACGGGAGATCGATTCGGTTCTGTTGCCTGGGCGATTCACTTTTTCTGCATTTCCGAGTTTCGTTATGCCATTTGAATAGATATCTACATGTTTCTAATACACGGAAGGAAACGTTTATGTACGCGTTATACATTGGCAACGATGATAATAAGACAGATCAGATGTTACACGTTTCGATCTATGAATCATACATTTCGTGAATTTAAAAGAGAATAAGGTATGAGATAAATTCACTATTAAATGTAATTAGGATTGAGCGAGAGGGTTATGATACCAACTTCGGATAGCATTGAAAGTACAAGACCTTTGAATGCAATAGGTCGTGACAAGATTATAAGAGAATTAATGTGAAAGTACCACTTGATTTTCGTGATTCGATACACCTCGCTTCCGCATTCCTGCAAGTTACGCCTCTTTGCACGTTCAACTTCCATATCGTCGCAGTACAATATATATATATCGTCACAATAGTACAATACATGCCATTAAATCGAAATAAAATAAACTCACTGTGGAATTATTATCATCGAGTTGTCTTTGACGTGTTTAAATTAGCATTGGAATTGCTGAAAGTGTGACTTGTAAAGATTGAAACAAGATCGTAAAACAACGTTTGGATTAGATACGTTTCATTGAATACTCACTTGAAAACAATGGTGCCCTCGTAATCCACAGGTGCCTCCCAATCGAACTCGAGATTGTGTTTCTTGCTGGTATTCGTGTGAGTCACTGCGTTCTTGGCAAGAGGAAAAGAAGAAAAAAAAAAAAAGCGTTTAATCGTCGTGCAGCACTTTGCTTCTGTCCTTCGAGAACGCACGACGACATGATTCACATAGCCTTGAAGAGCTTGTTAACAGCCATTTAAATGAGCACAAATCACATGGCAGAGCATTATCAAACTTTCTGATCGGTCTAAAAAAATTGTACTGATACCTTGAGGAATAGTTTTCTTTACTTTTATCGATGTACTAGCTACTTTTTGTATCCTTATCGATTAATACTTGTGTATTATTATTTGATCAATATGCTTCATTTATCTTTGTTATCTCAAATACAACATACTTTATTTAACTTTATTTAACTTGTTATCCCAATTATTTATCTGTTATCTATGTCAGCAGGCTACCGATAACCTAGGATTTTTGTAATAACGTTCGATACTAATTCCCTTATCTTACGTGTATTTAATGACTGTCATATATAATCGAAGGCAACACAGGAGAAATTTGCCAGTTGATACGATAAATGATATGGATTTTTGACAAGTTGACAGTAAATCTCACGTGATCAAATTGATAATAATAAATATTACGTGTATTCGTAAAGCCTCGGAAAACTTCGATAAAAATTTGTACAATAATGTACGCTTACCTTAACACCTGGTGTGCATTCGACGATCTTTGCCAAATCGGGCAAGTTCGCGAACTCTCCGACGAATTCACCGGTCTGGGAGTCACGTGCAAGTATCATGAAACCCTCGTAGGCAAGACCGTGAGGGCTTCCTAGAATTAAGCGGACTCTACCTTGTCCAGCAGCTGGTAAAACTTGGTAAGGTGGAGGGTAAGTTTCTTGGTACGAGCTTCCAGGATGACGAGGCATCAGATCTTCGCACGAACCTGGCGGTGCTCCGTTCGGTAAACCCAACGCTCTCATGCAGAGAACGCTTAGAATGATTACCAACGTTCCTTTCATTGCTGTAACACACAGATATTGGACATTTAGTCGTATCAACAATCTCCTTTAATTATTGCCTGTTAATTGCTCAAATATTTTTGATCCAATTAGTATCGCCGCGCTCTGTAACAAATTCACCTATAATTTTTCTTCCAAATAATAGAAATTACCGATCGTGTTCAAACAAGTGAATCCAATCGTAATACGAGTTCAGTCAATCGGGTATTAACTACAATTCCGCTCGAACAAATGGAGTCCGAATAAATGGGAGTTTCTTCCACTAATAACGAAATCAATAACTTATCGAAGTGAAAATGAGATATAGGTTGATACAGGTACAGATATGTTATAATACCTGTAATACCTATTGCAAAAGTCATTCACGAATTTCGTGTTCAACGATTAAACTAATCTAATCGATCAATCTTCCTCTCCTTTCTTCCCACGCTTTCAAAAAATACCAAGGGTCACTCTATATAACTTTCTACTTCGATTTCTGTCCTTTTTTCTTTTTTTTCCAATTTTTTTTTTGGGGGGGGGGGGGTCAGTCGACCCAATAATAACTATTTTATACTACAATGAACGAGCATCAAAGTCGCATCACGCTTGGCAGTCGGCATAAACTCGTGAGACTAGTCTGTCCATAAAAACGGATACCATCGACGATCTGTCCTTATACGAAGCGGACAGGCATTATTCAATCTGCTTTTTACGCGTTTCGTACCGAAGAATAATTGCGAAGAAGATACCGCGATACAAGGATATCGTTCCAATTCCACGAACATCTATACATGTATAATAAAAACCAGCCACAATTTTATGACGTTTGAGAATTTATGCTTGTTCCCTGTTGGTGGAGAATGTGCAGATACACAACTTACACGACTGCTTTTCCGCGTATATTGTATACGTCATCCGCGATTATTGAACAGTTTAACACAATGAAATGTCAAGCGTTAGTCACCGTTCTAAATTGACCACAATTTCTTACTGCTTCTTTTTTCTTCTTTTCGTGCTTGCGTCTGGTATTTGGCGTAATCTGACTGTTGAGAACTGTGATATCTCATTTATCACCGCCTTTATCTATGGATCATTTTACTGTTACTCGTTAATCATGATATTAATTTTCTATAAGAAGCTCGAAATACGTACATTTTATATATCTTCACATTCTCCTCTACGTAATAACGAAACGGACGAAGCTTTGCTACTTATTGGCAAACGAGTGTACAGATTACAAAGTCAAATCTACACTTTTTGCCTTTTAATCAGCTTCCTTCTGGAAACTGAGGAAAAAAATTTTTATCTACGTTATCCTTACAAACAAGATGCGCGAGTTTTCTGCCGCTGGTATTTCCATAACCTTGTTAAAGAGAATGAAAAATTAAGAGAAGAAAGAAAGGCGAGGGATTCGTGCTTTCTTGTATTAAATTATATCGGCTCGCATTAGGGATATCTCTTTTCATAAACGAGGATCAAGGAAAAAGATGGAGAACGTTTAGTTCACCGAACTGTTGATTATCATGGCGCAACTTTACGCGTTTAGCAATACCGTGACCACAGTTTCTGCTGTCCAGATGCGGCCATGATTCATAGACTAATGAGTAATGAAAGTAATGCAACCCGCGAAACACAAATCTGAACATCTTATTCATTAGCTTATATTTTTATAACTGTAATTGAAAGAACGAAACTATTAAACTTCTTTTACCTATTAAATGTTATAAGAAGAACACATTGGATATTTTATATACGATAAGATAAGATTCTCTAAATCAAGCTAAATAATTTGCCTTGTAATTCTTCCAAATTCTTTTATCTTCTTTTTCAGTTTTTCAATAAGCTTATCATAAAGCTAAAGTGAACTTGCTATGGGCATTTTATTGTCAAAAATCAAATCTTTTCTACTTGAACGAGTATTTCCTGCATTTCTGAGGAAAACGTGGGAAGGAAAAGTAAAGAATTATCACGTCCGGTTTGAATCGATTGGCTAATTTTCTGTAAAGCGTGCCTCAACGAGGAGGCTCGAGCACGATTAAAACGATTACATAATATAAACGGCGTTGTGTTTCAGTGTCGTTTAGGAATGTGCAAGCAAAGAAATCTCGTGAATCCAAGAGAACTTAATAGGTGAAAGTCAGCGTCTTTCATGCGTAGGTTGCATGCGGCTCAGATACTAAGTCATTCACTCTACGTGAACACCGGCAGACACGCTTTGAATCATTGCAAATAACAAAACGGTACACTGGCCATCATGTTTCGTTTCTTTTCTTGCTCAGCTATTCTTCTCCATACTGTTATATTCATCTATAACTATTATATATATAAATGAAAGTTTCCATAATTGTCTAAATATTTCGATCGTTAATCTAAATACTTCTGAAATGAAATTTCGCACAGATATGATTTCATTCGACTCTGATTATGCACATTGTCGTAAATCATTCTTGACGACCGAGACTTTCCTTCGTTCAAGGAAATCGTGTTTTTTACGATGTTATTCTATCGAACCGAGTAAAATGGCCGCCATCAGAAGAACAATTGTGTTTTAGGAGCAATTACGAAAGTTGTTTCATACTTGTATCACGAGACATTCGAGGCAAGGCCGATACTTGTCCACTTTCGTTATGGCCCATTTACACGATTGCGACAAATCGTGGCACGTGCAAACCCGTACTACAATATTGAGTTCGTTAGAATCGGGAAATCTAGCGAAACGTGAATTACGAGGCTGTTAAAAAAGACAAAGAACTAATGTAAATAGGTCTAAGTTTGTTGAATGCAATGCAAAGAACTGGCGGATTTCTAATTAAGAAAACGAATCTAACAGGATTAAAATTCATCGCACATAGAGATAATGAAGATCAAACACTGTCATTAGAGCTCTTGAAAATTTTGAAAGAAGATGCTAGAAGATTCTAGCAGAGATTTCAAAAATGTGCTCAACTATTTTCAACCTTCGAAATCCTTCTTTAAATACTTTTATAAAGGAATTTCCTAGAAGTTTCCAGACAAATATCCCAAAATTTCAACCTTCCAAATTCTCTGACACTTCCGACATATTTAAAACTCTCGCACCCCATGAATTCAAAGATCTAAATTTCACATACCTCGAGTTCTATAAGTACGAGCTCTTGTCAGATCTCCCGAACCAAATATCAATTGACATTTCGAAACGATTTTATACACAAAATACATAAATATATTTTTCGACATTACAGTTTCGAAAGCGTAAGTCGAAAGTGAACAACTTCATAGAGTGAAACCGAAGAGAAATCTCTAAGACTGCATGCAAATATTACCCAACCGAGCCTGTACAAGAACCCAACTACAAAAGACCATCTTATCTCGCCAATGATAGTTTCAGTGATAAAAAAACACTTTTACTCGTAATAAAAGTAATGATTAGACTGAGGATTTTTATTCATTTATGAGAAATTTAAACCTGTCAAGTTTATTTATTTAATTTATGAGAAATTTAAACCTGTCAAGTTAATTTATTTTAATTTGCCCGCTTTGACGCTTTCTTATTCCTTATTGTCTGCGTCTGTTTAATCGAAAAACGTTTGAAACGAAATACTTCTGATTTGCACGAATCCCTTTGATAATTGATGATCGTTTTCGTAGAATCACAAATGCCGATCTTCGTATTGTCGCAAGCATTTCAGATACACGTGACGATAGAACACTCTCTCGTATGAAACACTCGATGCAAAAAAGCGAGAGACAATTCACGTCATGCCTAAATCGAAATTGTGTTACGATCCTTGACACTCTGAAACAATGGAAAAATATTTTTCATACGCTTGCCGCTTAATTGCCAGGTTTTTAGCGTCTTTAATTGCACGAAATAGCAGATGATCGATATCTTAGTGATAGCAATATCTACATTTATAATATTTATTTGTATTATGATTGAGTAAAATGTAAGCAAGCATAAGTCAAGAACATTTAAAAAAGCGAAACGCATATCACGAATGTCATACAATTTCAACTTTATCAGCGTGTTACTCATCGAGATTATAATCTTCCAACGTAATACACATATAATAGTAAATATATAATATTAAAACAATACAGCTGTCACTGCGAGTAACATATGTCTTTCGAACTTTCAAATTTCTCATAAACATATTAAAACCTGCAGTTTCACATTTTGTCAAATAATGTGTAAATTTTATTTTATATATTTCATATATAATAAATTTTATATATATATATTTTTTTTTTATATATAAACGTTCGAATCCTTATACGTGTAAATTTTATTTTATATTACTTAATATATTTAATATATATTTTATATATATTATTATTATATATAATATTAAATTATCTAATATACATTTTATATATTTATTTAAATTTTATTTTATATACTTTATATACAATAAATTTTATATATATATTTTATATATAAACGTTCGAATCCTCATACATGTAAATTTTATTTTATATTACTTAATATATTTAATATATATTTTATATATAATATTAAATTATCTAATATACATTTTATATATTTATTTAAATTTTATTCTATACACTTTATATACAATAAATTTTATATATATATTTTATATATAAACGTTCGAATCCTCATACGTGTAAATTTTATTTTATATTATTTAATATATATTTTATATATAATATTAAATTATCTAATATACATTTTATATATTTATTTAAATTTTATTTTATATACTTTATATACAATAAGTTTTATATATATATATATACATATACTTTACATATAAACGTCTGAATCCTTATATTTTTGCAAATTTTAAATGCGAAACACAGAAAACGTGGGCGCGTGTGCACGCGTATTATGTACAATAGGCTTAAACGGGGACATTGTTCTTTGGTGGTAATGGGGGAGGGGGGGAGCTAGGGATAAAAATCCATTCATTAAAAACCAACGTTTGAATGACAGATGAGGAGTTAAGAAGCACGGTAATCACGCTTCGCCGGCTATTATCATGTATCATTACGGTATTGTTCGAAACAACGAGTACAAGGCTTCACCGCGTTGCGTTTTGCGGCTTGTTCCATCGCGCAAACCGACGCTGCTCACGCACCGATCTACGAATCGTGGTTGCAATAGAGACAGTGCGCCGTCTATCCAACAACAACCGTCGACGAATACACAATGTTACACTGTGACCGAGTTAATCCGGGGAATTGCGCTTTCGTTCGATCCCGTTGCGCGAGGGACCACGCGAGGGAAAATTTCTAACAGCGGTGCGGTACTTTCCGAAGCAAAAGAGAGACGCCAATTCAATTTCTTTCTCCTCCCTCTCGTCTCGTTTTTTTTTTTATCGTCATTTTATCGTTTGATATGATGATTCATGACTGGGAACATATGCCTGAAATAAAACTGAATAGAATTGCACGCAATGGCTAGAAAGTATTTTATAAATTAAATATTTCTTTCAGATCGTTTCTTGGACAACAATTTTTCATACTTACACGGATGGAAGTATAGTTTCAAAATTCACTACGGGCGATCAATCTCAATTGATCTGCGCCTGAATATATATAAATAGAATCTCTCTGTTTCATATTTTTTTTCTATTTTGCAGTTTATATAAGTTACTACTCGCTCGGATACTGTACAAGGGCAAAGAGTGAAGTATAAGTAAGCAAACGAAGGGTTTGAATATTTTTTAGATTATGGTCATTTTCGACACGTGACGCGGAACACTGGCCCACACGAGACTCCAAAAGTAAAACTCATATGAAGATACGCACGGTTCTTCTATCATGTCGAAGGATAGTACATTTCATGAATTATACATAATGGAATACTATACGTACATATGAGTCAGCCAGTTGGTATCACAGATTACACGTCATTTGCTCAAATAAAGTAACATTACCTACTGTTTATTTCTCCTTTAAATTCGATCTTACCCGCTGTTAATTTTTCTTTAAATTCAATACAGTATAAAGTAATGTAAGTATAAAATAAAAATCAATTTAAACAACATCGAGTATGAAGGAAAATATTTATAATTCAGTGAACACTTTTTCGAATTTGATGAAACAATACTTCTGTACGTCGAAATTTTCAACAGAAGAGTACACTTAAGTATTTAGCGAACGTGTTGCCATAGTAACCTTACTCTCCTGTCCTAGAAATTCCTTACCAAGCATTCTAGATTCCTTCGTTAATGTATCAGACCATGTGTTAATTTAATGTTTTATGCGTTCGTTGCTTCGTTCTTGTATAATGGCACTTCTGTCCTAGAAATTCCATAGTGAACGTTGTTCGTTAAATTCTTACGCTAACACGTTTCGCGAACTAATTTATCAAAAATATCGTCGACAGTTGTTACTAGCAAACATGTATGCTTATCGCATAAGCAAATTTAAAAAGTATTGTCGATAGCTGTTACTAACAAACATAAAATGCTAGCTTGAATATTATTTTGTAGATTTATTTAGATCCTGCTACCATAACAAGTTTAGACAATCTATTAATAGTTCAATTAATTTGACATATTTGTTTTCGTAATAAATTAAATTAGTTATGTTATCATGATAATGAATTGAAAATTTGAATAACTGAAAGGAACTGTCTGATAAATTATTACAAATTCCCTTCATTAACAGTCAATTTTTTTTTTTTTTTTTCGTTTTAGAAAAGAAACGCATCGGAGCAGAAAATTTTGCCTACGCAGGATATTTTAAAATATTCCTTGCAAAATAAGATCTTGGAAACAAAGTTAAAGTTCCGTTACCTTCACGCAGAATATCCTAAAATATTTCTCGAGAAATTATATGCTAAAAACGAAGTTAAAGTTCCCAAAACGATTTTAAAATCGGTCATCGAAAACACGTTGAAACGATTTATTTTTAATGCTACCCGACGCGTTACCTATCGATAATCGATTCCGTTAGCAGCAGAACGAAGAAAGTTCGTTGGACTTTCAAACTCGACCAAGTCAACTTTCTAAAATATTACCGCGACGATCTTACTTCTTAATTACGCATCGAAATCATAACCGATTTCGCGTAATGTGTAATTCAACGTTTCCATTCTTTCGGCAAAAGCGCTTGCACCGTGCCACGTGCACGAGCATAAAAACGTTTCTGGTCAGTGACAGGTGCAGCGGGAGAACTTGTTTTTTGAGCAGCTTCCGTAGAATACAGAATGAAGCGTGACTCTGCTCATCGCGATTTTATTTTGCCGACAAGCGTCTTCTTGTGGTCGCTTTTTTGCACGACTACACACCTTGCAACGAACAGATTCCACTGTGAAATTTCGTTTTTTTTTTTTTTTAAGTCACGCGTGACGATAGAAATTCGTACGCTACGCTAGAAGTCGCGACTTTCGCAATCTGGATTTAGTCAATGGACCACCTTTCCATCACTAAACTGCATTATCGATGGAGTAACCTGTCATTGAGAAATACTCTAAACAGAAATATGAAACAAACGATTCCACGTGAACAAAAGTTCGACGCTGATGTTAAATAATTAAAAATTTATTCCACGAATATAGATATATAAAACAGCGTGTATAAACGTGTTGATCATTCGAAGCTTGTTAAATGTAAACTAAGCAACTGATTAAAAAATTCAAAGCCAGATGGATTGTTTTATCAATTATCTTCTCAGTGTTCACAACGATCCTCTCACATCGTATCTTTAATTACAAAGTAACATCTCAAGATTTGTACTCACGGTGCTTCATACTCGCTGATTTTCCCTCGTCAATTTCAATCTTATGTTCCCTCTATAGTATACAATAAACAGGCGGTCGGCTAGGCGTAAAGTCACGTGTAGCGGAACTCCGGTGTACACACAGAAGTCTTGAGATCCTAGCGAAGGAACACACGCGTCACAGATGCATCTCTCGGCGCAGAAAAAAAAAATTTAATGATTCATCGAACCATCGGTGAAGCACGAGAAACAACACCACACATCAACGATTCCGCGTCTCACGATCGAATCTCGAGGCAGGAAGGTCAATCTGTACGATCGAGTTAAATCGATGTCATAATATTTGTAACCGAAGATCGTCAACTCACGCCGATCTGTGTTTCCGCGGCTCTTTCTGCCACCTATGCGCGCCCTCTTCGAATTTCTCGCTCGCACACGAGGCCAAAAGGAAGAAAAAGCTATTCACCGAGTTCGGTTAGGTCAAGTGTTTTCCCGACGTAGTCTCGAGGAGCACTTGTTGATTCCGGACGAGCATAGTTCTGACCAGCACGCTGAGAACCACACCTTGCGAGAGACTGTAGTGAATATACGGTTCGAGTTGAAAGGCCCTCGCCCGTGAGACTACATCAGGTTCGTATCTAGCCAATGGAGCCCGTGCCACGCGATCGATCCACGCTCCTACCGATCCCTGTTTATACTACAAACCAATCCCGTAAAATCAATCGTCCAATGTATATCAGCATCGTGTAGAATACGAAGCAGTGGTAGTAGAAATGTAAATCGTCTTTCTTGTACCAAAATCGAGACTCTAAATAAATTTTCATTTTCTTAGAAATAAAGAAATTGGGCCAAATTGTTTTTAAGTATTTATATAAGAGATTTGTGAATGTAAGAATTGTGAATGTATAATGTAATAAACGTAGCGTGATTGGTGATTCGATACTGTCACTTGATTATTTCTAAAATTATCTGACATTTTATAATGTTATTATATTATCCTTTCTGATCAAGTATGCAATTATTAGATTGCAATAGTTGTGGATTAGGTGTATGTATTTGGTCCAGTAGCGTTACTTTTGACAGAAATATTTTCGATATCCAAAAGTAACGATCAAATATTAAATTCTTTCAAACAAACAAAAAAATGTTAAGGAACGTGGCAAAGCCACGTCTGGACTTCGATTTTACCGTATGTACTATTATTGAACAAGTCTCAGCTTTTACTCTACGAAACGAGGGATAGCAAGAGAAAAGCGCGACATGCCAAAACTCTGTGCCGTAATTCCAAGCGAAACTCAAGAAGAAACTATCAAATATCAAGGTGAAGTGCACGAGGACAAACGTCCAATGACCGGCAGATTATTATGAATGATTCTGTCCATATGTAGACTTTAGATACAGTAAAGTAAAATTAAAGAGTAAGTAAAAGATACAGTAAGTAAAATTAAAAGAGTATAGTAAAAGTATAGTAAAATTAATTGATCCATTAAGCATTAGTCTTAATTTTAATCATTTTTTTTTTTTTTTGTTTTATTTTGTTTTGCTTTGTTTTGCAATTTCAACCGTAGTAACTTCAAATTTTAGCAAGTACAAAGATATGGTTTATTAGCTTAATAACGATGTTCAATATAGCAAGTGTCTGGCTATAGTAGAACACTGCAACTGTTCTGGCACTCGAAGCAAATATGCCGAAGAAATAAATTTTTTAAAAGACCCGTTATGCCCGGCAGTAAATAATTAGTAGGCGCCCCGCGTACTTGTTTAAGAAATCATTCAGACATAGTGGTCTCGAGCCGTCCCTGAGCCATCGTAAAGAGAGAGGGACTAACTACTTGCCTCCAAAACGGGGGTTCGGCGTACCGTACATTCACCGCGCGGTGTTCACCACAATTTTATCGACGTATTTCTGTCGTTCTTTCTCTTTTCTTCGTTCCAGTGACGTTTGACGCTCGCTTACGCATCCATTGCATACCTTCCTGCCATCCCTCACCTGATAACCTCGTGTCGACCTCGAAAAATTTCTGCCATACCATACGAATTGATTTGTGTTGACCTCCTCCACGGAATTCGTCATGTTTATGGAAAATAGATTGCAAAGAAATTTTTATTGCTTTTATCGTTGTGTAAATAACGTAAATAAGTACACAGTGTAGAAAAGTTTAAAGTATTTGAAGACACGATGTCAGAGGAACCGATTGTCTATGAACATGTGCTCGGTGAAAGAGCGAAACTTGTTTTTACCGGTATTCCAGAGCATGAATCGCAAAACCGGTTTTAAAGACAAATGCGTCCCGAAAAATTTAGAGAATGAGAATGGGAGTGTTCGATGTCTTCGATAATGGACCAGTATTCGCTAGTGAGCATGATTGCGTAAATGCATTTGACTAACTAGACTGGACATCCAATGCTCTTTCGTGTCCCATATTTTGAATGCTCCCGTATCATTTTCGTGTCACATCCTACCATATCGATTTCAGCAAGTTTTGCACTGCAGCGCCACTAGTAGCAGGAACATTGACTTCCTGTTAGTCAATGGTGCCAGTGATTTCTTTTCCTGGTCGGTATTTCAGACTTTGAGACACAAAGTCCCATTTCATGTCTGGTATATACCTATCTTTAGTCAATTAGTCAATTCTATCCTATCGATCAATCAATGGTAAATCAATGGTAAATGATTGTTAGGCGTCTTGAAATATTTGATTATATATAGGAAACACATGTGAACGAGAAATTGTATCGGACGGACTGTCAGTATCATTGTAATTGGAAAGATAGTTGTTAGATGGTACAACTATATATTGCGAGAAACTTGTCTGAATTCAAATCGAACTAAAATCTACAACTAGCTTGTAGAAATTAGAAATCAAATTGTTTGTTAATTAAAAAGTTAATTAATTAAAATGAAATTATTTGGAATATAATAACAATATAATAATGCTTATTATAGACAGGATAATTGTTCACAAATACATTTGGAAAGGCAAATTAACATTAATTTATTATCATTTGTTTATTTTACTGTTCTACTGTCAATTGGGCATTGTAACTTTGTTGCAGTTTATTAATTTTTCCTTTAGCGCATTAACTCCTACGAGAATATATATAGAACTACTGTTGTTTATTAGTGTAAAAAAAATCCTTTATTGAGCCGAAGAGTGACGCCATAGGTTTTCAAAGTGTGACCATGTATTTCTGTAATATCCTTAATGACGTAGTCATCGTATTTTTTTTTTTTTTTATAAAAATATTACTCTTATAATATTGACTCGCATCGTAATACGCGTATGTTTAGAAATACTATTTCTTAAAATACAAGTTTTTCTCGAAAAAAAAATGACTCGACCGATTGCACCTTCATCAACATCTTCCTATATATAATAACGAGCATTCGAATGTCATACGTACCATATAAATGTCATGGCAATAAGAAGATATTTATCCATTGTGCTAATATCAACTCTCATCACAAACAATTTCAAAAATTGTTCACCGTTGCGACATGTAGAAGCTTCTTATTACTCTGTCATAGTTTTTAGGAATCAATGAATGAAACAACGAGATACATGGAATAATGAATCAATTTACTTCAATTTCCCGCTAATCACGCACGAGTTCTTCCACGAGGAAATGTGCGCAAGTGCGAGCCACCTCAGACTGTCAGACACGCATGTGTACTTTGTTCCTTATACACAAGTTTCGTTTTGCTTTTCATCTCGTCCAGACGCACAATTCTCTCGGCCAGCAGTGTTCGGCAATTTTTCGGAGGAAAACGCGAATGATACAACTGTATCGCGTCATACACGTTTGTCACAGCTAAACAGCTTCAAAGCAGGTGACATGTCACTGTTTGCCTGCTGCGTACGTCGGGTGAGTCTTGTTATTTTTGCCGGCAAATTACGCCGTGATTCATTAAGTATACCTATATACGTTTGGATAGTATAAGTTTGGACTGTATGTGGACATTTTATTCGTTCGAAAAGCACTATTTACTGGAAGGAAATATTTTCTTTTATGAAGATAATAATTTTCTTTTCATTATTTTTAGACACGAAATTATTGAAATAATAATGTCAAAGGAGAAAATTTTTCTTGTATCGTCTTCCTCTAAAAATATCTTTCAGATTATATTACGTGTAAGGTGATTTGTTGATAAAATAGCGAACGACGCAGCAATAATTGCAGCTATCAATGAATGGCCATACGTCGCAAACGCGCTATCTCTATTATCTTTATCATCCTTATTTATAACAACGTACTATCATTTTGTAAATAAATCATATATTCGTTATCTAGCTATTTTTAAATAAACTTGTTTCCTCGATGCTTGAAATTCTCCTAAATGATTATTGAAAATCTCTCTTCCTATCGGACAGTAAATTCGAAATTCAGAAACGTCCACCGGAATGACAAAGGATAATAATAACAAATTCAAAAAGAGACAGTGTATATTGGAGATTGATTGAATTCAGAGATAAAACAGCAACGAGAACAATAGCGTTTCATTGGAGTTCGTCAATGCCGGGCCACGATTGTCGAAAGGTTCCGAACGAGCGACAGAATGGTACAAGAAGAAATCGCTTGTTTACCAGAAAATAAAAAAAAAAATAAAATAGAAAAAAAAGGAAAAAATCGATGCCTTGTCGATTTTTCCATGGCCGCGGGCTAGCCTTAATTCTTGCGCACCCCTGTCGCTCAGGTGGCAGAATCGGTAAACAGAAAAATGAAGTTAACTTCGCGTTGCGGGGTTCGCCGAGGGCTCGGAGCGTGTTCGACGTAACTCGCTAGGGTGAACGGATAAATTTTCCGCTACTTAACGGATTTCATGCTCAAGTGTCAAAGAGATCGCGTCCTTGCTCTAATCAACGCGCGTATTAATAGAACGCGACTTTGGTTTTTGTAAATTTTCTTGGGAAAAGAAAATGCGCGTCTCTGTTAAATCCCGTGCAATTCTCGTCTAACGTCCCAGGCGATACGTCATTCGAAATGTATAATGAGGGAAGGGAGAAAGAAAGATGAGAAATAATTTTAGATTAGGTCAGATTAGAAAGATTGAAAATAGCTTTGCGTCTTCTCCACTACAAGGGAGAAGTTAAGAACGGGAGGGAAGATCAATCGATCAACGTGCAAGGGTTTTAATTTTACTCGAACCGTTCTTTTTTTAAGCCGACCAGCCGCTAGCTGGCTGATTCATCGTCAGCCAAACGAGAATTTTCACTGGCATAAATCATCATTGCGCGCACGTTCCCGATGTTCTTTTGTACTGTACTTGACTCTCGCATCTCTGTGGCTTCGCAGAATCAACGAGAAATGGAAAATAATCGCCAACAGACTTTATTAAAAGAACCACCGGAAATATCATGGGAGAACACGCTTGGCGCCCCGGATGGTGTTCCATTCGATGACGACACAAAGGAATTACTTAGGAGATGCATCGACGTATCGACACCTACACCTACGACTCTGGCGCAAATCATCAAGCGAAGCGAGGCCTTTCCTATAGATTTTCCTATCAACACCGTAAGATGTTCCACGCTGAGGGACAGTGGAATTAACGCAAGCACCCTCGAGGTTAGACCAAAGTCTAAAACTATCACTTACTTTATAACATTGTGTCTTTTTCTTCTCAATTGTTGTACGTTCGACGAGTATACCAAAATCGAACCTCTGTTTAGATTCTTCTTTCTTATTTTCACGATTTCTACAATAACTTTGACAAAAGTTTCAATTCGCGCAGACACACCTAACAACGTCCAATCGTTGCTTCTATCACGCTTCTATCAGATCTTACGATTTCGTCATTTAATTGCAGATGAACGCGAATTCGGTTTATCCTCTGATACACGAGGCGATGTTACCGTTGCTAGCTCGATGGTTGAAGTACAAACGGCAATATGGCAGTGCGATCGAGAGAGCCATGTACAAAGACATGGGCCTGGTACAATTTATCCACCGTCTGATAGAGAAACGTGCCGTGCATTTCTACGGGTCTAACGACCGATGGAAACTGATCGACGGTAAGACGGGTGTAGAAGGATGGGAGAATGTTGGCACGGATCACGAGAAAGAACCCCTGGTCAGTTGTTTATTCGTCTTTTACATTTGCACAGTCTTTCCGTTTCATTGAACTCGCTTCGAAAATAACCTTTCTTTTTTTTTTGGAAATTTCCGGTTACACCCACAGGTGTTAACCAAATGTTTGTCGTACGACGAGATCAAATTGTCCTCGATGATGGCGATGTCCTCCCACTCTGAATTTATAAATGACGGCTCGCGAGATAACCGAGGCATTGTGAATATCGATCCAGACTCTGTACAGCCGAGAGGAGTGATTATAGGTGTTGTGGGAACAAGGTTTATTTAACGCTTACCATTCACAAAGCTAAATACATAGAAATATACTTGCAAAAGCTCGTATTGTCTACTCCTGCTGGTTGTTCGCAGATTTGAACGTCCACGTGTTATGGAATACCAGGATATTATTATTGCTCCTGCGCAGAACACTGTCGAGAACGGGTAAGTTGCATGGGGAATTTATTATTTTCAAATGTGTTCTTTAGTTATTCTTTTTCTCCTTTCTTTTGTAAATAGATACGGGCCGCAATCAGCCGGAGGCTCGGAGGAAACACGCGAGTTCCGCGTTCTGTGGGCCAAATTTTATGGCGAGGGATACCACCCGCTGTACGAGGAGGCGCTGAAACGAATTAAAACGAAAGAAAACAGAAGATACCTGTCGTTGAACAGCCAGACGATCTTCGACGTAGAGAATTACATGAAAAGAACACTGCTCACCGTGGAGATCGTACTTCTCGAAGCAAACACACGGGCGGAGAAGCAAAACACGACCGCCTTCTTACACGTCGTGGGTTTCGGCCTTGGTTGGTATTTCAAACTTCCTTTTATAGCATTTAAAGTTATTTAATGTTATCTAGCTTCGTCACGTTGCAAATTTCCGCATGAAAAATAGGGGCAAAAATATATTTCCAGGCGTATGGAAAGTAACTCAGGAACAAGAGATATATTTTCTAAAGACGTTCGAGATTGCCCTCAGGAAGATGAACAAGAAACTGAGATACGTATCCGACATCATGTTCGCGTATTTCCAACATCGAAAGTGCGGCGACGCTGGAAACGGCGACTACCTCGGAGGTACGTTAACGATCTTTCGGCGTTCCCCTGTTCGTCAAGCACACACGTCATTACAAAACGACGTATTGTTTTACATTACAGATATAAAGATTCACTTCGCTCTCAGAGAACCAAACAGCAAACTGATCAAGGCCTCGGACGCGAACAAACTTCTGATAGTGACGTACGCGTGGGATGGAAACGCGTTGCCAGGTTGTCGGCAAATTTCTCAATAATTAATAAATTATCGATATATCGCAGCAACTTTCTGCTTTCTGAAGCTTTAAATTATCATTATCGTTGAGAACTGTTTCTGGAATTTAATTAGGCAGAGCGGTTGCTAAAATTAATCCGTCGAAAACTCGTAGGAAACGAATTCTGGAGCGGGCATTTGACGTCCAGCGGGGATCCGGCGGCGGCGTGTAGTAGCCAGATCGCAGAATTGCACACCTTCAGAATAAATCCCCGAGCATGCGGCGCCAGCTTGCACGTTGCATCTGCACAACACGGTATTCTGCACATATCCGATTACGCGAAGCTACACCTTGCTTAGGTGAATTACTTTCCATGTTTCGATTCCCCTGTGTACCCCGTAAGCGAGTACGAGCAACAATAACGAAAACATTTTTAACACGATTCAGGAAAGGGCTGGCCCGTTGGGCACCAGTCAACGAAGACCATCACGATCTCCGCGTAGTCAAAGGAGTCGTAGCGCGGATGTCGATTGCTTGAGGAAGTACACAGAGAGACGAGTAGAGGAGAGAAGGCACACAGAGATACCAGATGCGAGCAAGCTCGATCCATCCCGGTGGATACCATTGCCGAAAAATATCACGCGAATCCAACCGGCGCTGAAGAAGTCGCCGCAGCCGTCGAGGGACGAAGAGAAACGACGCTCAGTCCCCGGCGAACCTGAGGAGGATACCGCGACCGATAGCAAAGGGAGCGGGGGAACGCCGAAGAAATTGTCACCCACGAAAGAGGAAGAGACGACGAGAGGAGCGGAGGCAGAAGAGAAAGACGATATCTCGCCAGCCTCGTACAGACAGACTGCCGGCAGGAGTCACAGCGCGGACGTCAGCCACTTGAAGAAAGAGAAACTAATCGAGGAACGAAGGCATACGGAGTGCAGCGACCCCAGAACGATCGCGACGAGGTTGACAGAGCACATTTTCCTAGTCAAAAAGAAACCGATGCCATGAAACGAATCGATTAAGACCGCGCGTACACTCGTGATAAGTACCGAGACGTTGCACTAACTGTAATAATCGATCACTAGAGGTTAACTATGTTATTATACGAATTATATGTACATAAGATAATAATGATTCGATGTTCGGTCGTTGTGTGGATAGAACATGTACTAAAACAAAAAAACAAAAAAAAAAAAAGAAAAGACCAAAAAAAAAAGAAAAGATAATTATGATAACGATGCAGCTCTTTATTCGGTAAATATAACGCATAAGTATAATATATATATATATATATAAAAAAAAAAACAATAAAATAAAAAGAACAAAACCGTTGATTAACTGACCATTTCTGGCTCTTAAATAAAATGTATCGAGTCTCGACACACTGGATTTCTGATACCAAATACCTTTAGGTGGCTACCGCAAATTAACACCTCAAGGTTCCGCTACGATGCATCCCCGTTCACAAGGATCAGCAACAGCTGCGAAATCACGAAAAACGCCGCGACCAGGTGGATGATGTTCGTGAAGAATCCGTCCCCTTGTCCGATACCGCGAATGAATCCGGAACGAAAGCCTTCCGCGGCGGATGCATGCCACGCGACCGATGGCACGCAGCTTAAAAGCGTTAGAACCGAATCGCCCAAGTGGGAACCGCTACGAAAATTCGCGCCGGCTGCGTCGAAGAGCGCCGAATCCAGTCCGAAACAAGGTAAGGCAAACACACACGCTCGTACGATTCACAGAGGATTCACACGAGTAGTAGTATATACGGCAAGTCTACAATATTGCAGACAAGTCGGAGCCGAATCGAGATTCGTCAACGACCAGGCATTCCCCCGACGCCAACGAACAATCGAAAAGGCTTACTCAGCGCATGCGAGATCTGTACGACTTCAAAACGGAGAACGAGTGGCCGAAGAGGGCAACGAATGTTCGACGCGGGAACACGTGGATAAGTAAAAGCAGCAGCGAAGAGGAAAGGACTTGTCATCCAGTTCGTAGGAACAGTCAGGACTTGGAATTCAACGACAGAATGAACGTGATCAAGGTGAGCATACAAAGCCATGAAACATATTTCAATATTTCGTATCGCAGAGCAGGCCCCTTGCTAAATAAATTGACCACACTTTCCTGTGTTTTTTCAACTTATGTAAACCTGCGATCGAACCTGTGGATCCATTTTTTACTGAAAAAAAATCGCAGCTGAAGGATACGAAGGTACAGTCCGATCACCAAGAATCACCGAAACGGCCGAGAACGCCGAGGAAAGAGGAGCCGGCACGTTCGGCTGTCGTCGATGTCTACAACAGCGAGTACGAGGAACGTTTGAGAAAGTTCAACGAGAGGCTCCGTTACAGCGAAGATCTAGGTTCGACGAGGCCAAAGATAAAGGAAAGACGAACTTACTCCGACGACTACGACGAGAAAGCTCGTCGCGCTTCCACGCGATCCGCTCGTACGGAGTGCTCGACGCGGACGACGCGGACAGATTCGATTCGACTGTCGCGCGCTGAAGGCTCGATTCGATCGACGAGATCGACACGCTCGGAAGATTTGCCGGGGAGTCGCCTTCAAGCCGAGAAGAAACGATCTTCGGACGTTAGTACGAGAGCCAGGGGAAGTTACGCCGAGGTAACACCCACGAAGAAAAGAGACTCGCGGACGAGCGACGCGAGTTACGCCAGTGTCGCCAACTACTCGAAGAGAGCGAGCGTGGACTGCAAGAGCACGAGAAAAATGGTGGATCTTCCGCCGCGAAGGGCTTTCAGTCAAGAGAAGCCATCGGAAGAGAGGCCGTCGGCGCCGGTTCCGCCGATAGAATGGAACGACGATCGTTACGCGGCTGCTCGTCTCAAGGAGGTCGCTGAACGCCAGAAGAGGGACAGCACGAGATACAAAGTGTACCTGACGTAAAAATAAACGAAGAAAAGCTGCGCGTTCTTTCTATTCCTCGCACTTCTTCGCGCTCAATGAGCAACAAGTGTTGGTGAGAATTCCGTCGATGTCGATTCCTCCAGTGTTTCTGTCTTCGACAGAACTGACTCGAGAGGAGTCACAAAGATGCGATAAATTTACGTTCAATGATTTATTTCATCGACCCGCGGTCGTTGGTAAGGCAATATTTTAATCGATTGTTATACACGTAATCATTGAGAGTTCACTAGCATCCGAAATTTTCCACCCTTTGTCCACCGTTCAGTGTCAAGCCTTTGAATATGTGTATTTTATATATGGAAGATTCTTGTGTAATTTACTGCGACATCGTTGAGCCGTTCGCCATTCCAGAATCGAGATTGATTTTTCGATAATTCGGAAAACAAATGTCGCATGAATAGGTCGTAAAACGTGAAAGTAAATCATTACCTGATGCTGTACAGATCGTCACGTGTAACATGATATTTAACTAATAAAATATTCTTTAAAAAAAAAAAAGAAGAACGACATTTCACTCGCAGAAGAACGTTTACTTTGATCTCTAGATTACCAACTCCACTTATCAGAAGTCCAACTTGCAATTTCGTATCTTACGACTCTTTTACGCGTTATCCCGAATTAACAGACCCGTGAATCAAACCTCAAACAATTCAACAAGTTACATCTAATTTCATTACAACCATTGTAAAATCAATCGTCAAGAGCGTCAGAATCGAAACTATCTCTTAAAGGTTACGGCGGAGATACTTTCAAACAAATCGATCGACCGCTCCATCGGGAGCAGTCTCGACCGGTCAATGTCAATTGTTCGTACAAGTCCATCTTATTTACGCTCGACATTCCGGAAATCACTACGAAATCCTGAACTGGAGTCTTTGACGAACAGCTTTACCCTCTTCCTCATAGGTACTCCGTGCACCGGAGACGTCAGAGCTTTGCAATCTCTGCTCTGCCCCCCTAACTGCTCCTCCTCCTCTTTCTCCATCTTCAACTTCTTCTGGCCACAGTTGGCCACGCTCCCGCTAACAGTGGACACGCTGCTCGTCACAGAGATACTCGGCGAACAATTGGTCAGAATGCTGGATGTGGTTACGACCTGCGCGTTTATTTGAGGCGATTTCGGAAATGTGGAGGATCGCAAGCCAGGCAAGGTTCGCGTCAAACTGCTGCCGTTGGGCAACGCCACCGTAGGAAGAGGACTCTGCGCAACGACCGTCGACGGTGTCATGCTCTTTTTGCACGCTGAATTTGTCATACTGTGGCCGGAAGGCGCGATCATTAACAAATTGTTCCCGTTCTTGTCACACACGACGTGAGATATCGGATGCTGCAGTTGCTTCTGGCTGCCGAAGCTCGTTCTGTACATGTGACTCTCGTTCAGCTGCTTCTCTTGCTTCAAGTATGCTTGCGCCGATGCTTTCGCGTGATAGCTCGAATTTTGAGGGTTGAAATTCGGCTCGCACTTGATCCGGACCTCGTGCTGCGCCGCCTCGTTTTGCTCCTGCGCCTTTTGCCATTCCAACACGTTGCTCAGCAATCGTATGTACCTGGAAAATGTCGGATGTACAGGCCAATACAGGATATACAGAATTTTGTAAAGGTTTGTTCGATAATTCTCCCGAGGCCTGAAGACCATCATTTTCTAATTAATTTGTTAAAATTTACCTGATCGCCATTCGCAGGATCTCATTCTTCGACAGTTTCTTATCCGGTGGATGAGTGGGCACTAATTTTCGAAGCTCGGCGAAAGCTCCGCTAACATTCTGCTGTCGCCAACGTTCACGGCTGTTCGTAAACAATTTGCGAACTCCCAGTGTCCCTACACGAGGAGTCGGTGAACCGAGGTGACTGCCACCAGAGGACGAAATCCCGTCTAGCTACGAAATTATTATGAATTTTAAGAATCATCAGTAGCACAACTTCGTCAATCGTATACATTTATAAATCGATTATTTGTGAATATTTATACACTTTTACTAGAATTTTATTAAAGAAACGGAGAATCTGCACAGAGATGTCCCATTAAAATTTCCAAATGTACAAACAATTCGCGATCCGTTTCTAAAAGACAATTCTACTCTCACGTGTTCTTATTAACCCATTAAAGATCAAACAAATGCTTCAGCTTTCTCAAATTTCATCTAGAATCTAAGAAAATTTAGATAACCGTCGGAATTATCTTTCGCAGTCATACGATTAAAAAAAAAAAGACCTTTAATGGATCAATCTGTCAACGACGTGCAACGATTAAGATCAATTAGAATTGTTGCTCACGGAATTGTTGCGATCTCGCCTTTTCTTGCCTTGCTGCTCCTCCTCCTCGTCGGTGTCATGGGAGTAAAATTCATCCGAGAGCGTGGCCTCCTCCTCCGTGTCCCTCGACGTTCCGGGAGAGTCGCCGACTTCCTCCGGGAGTTCCCCTTCGCCGGACAGTATCGACTCAGCTGGCGAACCGTTCTCCGTGTCTACCGTTCCTCCGGCGCAGCCATTGTACGTCAGCATCGACTGCAATTTATTAATTAATAGTCTCGACGTCGCTCAGATCATTCGTTACGACACGAGAGATTCGTTCTCGCGCTCGCTACACCTTCGAACGATCACGTAGACATGATCGACCTGTGTCATACAGTTCAGTCTCGGATTTTTTTAACTCTTTCACTCTTTAATCCTTTAATTCTTTGATTCTTCGACACTTTCCTCTAGAGGATGTTCTAGACGAGAGGCTAGAGCAGACGACGGACGCTAGAAAAAGACGCGGGAAATCTGAATGAATTATCGCGAACGAAATTAAACTACATAGGCGCCAACAGGATGCTGCTATCTGCAACCTCCCTCCGCGCTTTCGTCCCTGACATTCAATAGATCTACGTCCGCGCATGGATGAGTTATTATTCCGCTTTGCGAGTCGACGTTCGAAGAAGAGAAAGAAATAATTGTCTAGTGCCTTTTTAAAAATGTCCCGCGAGACTTTGAACGTACAGTGTTGAAAATTTCCTGTAAAAATTAAGAATTCTCTAGAGCTATGGAACACTGTAGAATTTTTGAACAATCGAAGCTTGCTATTTTTCGTTCACGCAAAACACAAGAGAATTATTTCACGTTCAATCGGAGCACATGTTCATTAATCGGACACTAGGAAATATTTGAGCACGTTGACATCACAATGACATTTCGTGGCCTCGGCGTCGTTGAGTAATTGCAAGATACGTACGTGAATTTTTGACATGAACTTGACAACACTGCACTGGACGAAGATCGAGCAAAGGTTGGAAACTACTAGCACGGATGCATTGATTAATTTGTAGCACGGTTAGAATTATCCTTACCATGTCGGAAGTATGATTTCGTTCACACGTTAACACGGTCGGATATAAAAATTAAAACATGTCGATAGAATGAACTGTCACTTCGCAATCCGGATCCGAAGAGCACTTTGTCGGTAAATTCTCCAAGATTATGGCTGTGACTGACGTTAAACCGACCGACGGGTCCAGACGGGCCGATTTAACTAATAGAAAGTGCAGTACAACCCCCGATAAAATGAATTTTGCGAAGGCGGAGCGCAGGCCTCATGGGTGGAGCTGCTCTCTGGACCGTCCCATACTGTTCCAGCATCCCTCCAAACACCCTTAAGTCGCTGTTAGATCCCTACATCGTCGGACGAACGCAAACAAAAATCAAGAAATATCGATTGTCCGTGATCCAGATACTACACATCAAAAATAGGAAAATTTCTGTCCCCTGAAAAAATTGAAATTTTCGAAACTCTTTACGACAACCCCTTAACACTTTTTTTTTTTTCACTGTATTATTGAATCTCGAACATTAGGACAGGACAACGAAATGACAGGATTATTAATTGAATTTTAATTCTAATATTCTGATATTCAGAGTTCAATAAAATGGCAAAAAATGATAACGGAGCAAGTTCTGGAGGGTTGTTGTATGAAGGAGACTTTAGTCTTCAGGATTTTTGTAAATCCAGTTGGGAAAAAAATTTTTCAATGATTTCAGAGAATTTTTACAATTTTCGAAAACAAAAGCACCCTTATTTTCCCAGTTGCTGCATGAAGTAAAAAACATCTTTGAAAAAAACAAACTTGGTGCTGGAAAGATTTTACGCCTTCAAATGAGGCGTGGAACTCTATTTTCTTTTTTTTTTCACGAAATTATAATAGTTTAAAATATTAATTTTCGTCCGTCTCTGTAGGTATTGCAGTTGATATTACAAACTGTAAGTACTGGTAGATGGCCAGATATTTTTATAAATACCAAATATTACAACAAAATCAGTACTTTGAGTATTTTATATATTTCATATATTTTCCTGTCTTTAAATTTCTCACAAGTCACAGTCTAACAATGATGACATAAATACAACGCAATGCGATGAAAGATTCGAAATTTGGTTTCGATTGGAGCAAAATAATTGTAAGCCAATATATTTCTTATTTCTTGAATCGATTGCATCTGCGAATCAGGTAAAACATTTTTACGCGTAACACGTAAAAGCCTCTCACATTCTTATTATCTAAACAGAACTAGACACTTCTTCTAGACATTTTCTTTTATTATAAATATGTAACATCCCTGCACAATTAAACAATAACGAGTAACATATATAGATACTTTCTAATTCCAACTTATTTCGAAAAGAAGAATAAAGTAATTTACAAAGCTCGAAACTGTAGGAAAGTTCGACATCGGAAAATTTCACTACTAATTTTATATCTTTACTTTGAAGAGTATTTCTAGTTCCCATACAATTAGATTCTTATTAGCCGAGCCCTGCAAAGTCAGCCGGTGAGGGGAGGGAGGGGGTGTAAAAAAGAAAGAGGGAGCGTTGTTTAATGTATATTAGGGGTTTGAAAATCCCCAGCCGTTGTCAAGTGGCCACCAGCCACGAACTGTTTTATTGTGACACCTCCGGAGGGTGCTACAGATTTTCCAGCGGGATGAATCGAAGGGTGTCATCGTGCAATCCCGATTAAATGATTAAATCAGCCGATCGTGTTCATTCGAGCGCTATTACCGAGGGTTATCTGCGTGGGAGCTAACTATAATTTCGCCTAAACCCCGAATGACTATGGACAACAATTATTATTTGATAACGAAACGATCGCGTAGCAAATTACGAAACAGACAGTTATCGTTAAACTGCGGATTTCGATGATGTTCGTGAGATGCAAAAATACATAAAATGTATGTATATATGTATCACGAATGTACGTTCGTAAAAAGATACATAAATTTGCACGAATTTTCACAATATAGTCGTATAGTTATCAAACGTGACAAAATGCAATCAACAAACCTGCGCGCAACTGAGGAAAACACATGACGCTAGGAATGCTAAGTGAAGTTTCGAGTTTTCCTAGTCATCGGCGTGCGTCGTTATTTTACGTAACGGCGTTATTGAGGCGAGACGATGAGCTCCGCAACGCGCACGAATAATTGAAGACGAGAAGAGAGAAAAAAAAAAAAAAAAAAAAAGAATGGAGATCAGGCGCGCGTTTGATAACGTTGACGATTAGATAAGGCGCGAGCCACGCCGATGTTATTTGCCATTTAATTGTACGAGAGGCATCTTCGAGGCAGATGTTAATGGGACGAAACAGGAAGAAGGTGGAGACAGATTTAGTCGCGAGCGGGCACATGTATGCACGTGACGCATCGATAACGAAAGGACAGCGTTATACAAAAGCTCTTCCTTCTTCGTTGTTGTCGAACGAGAGACGACGAAAAACAAAGAGCTCGTTACGACTCGCTTGTGCAACTCGTGATTGTGCAATTTACGAATACCGCGAACTGCGAAACGAAGTATCTGCGACTCGAAAAGTGTCAGACTTTGAAAAGCGACGCGCTTACGTTACGAAACTGGCTTAAGAGCGCCCAGTATCTTTTTAATGCCGCTATTAGGATCTGGCGTTTTTAACCTTATCGGCGCCTTAATCTGAAAATAAAAGGCGTATAAATGACACGTGCGTCACCCTTGAATGAAGTCGCGTGCCTCATTCGCGAAGTTCGAGGGGTGACTCCTTTTTTTTTCTCCCCATTCCTCGCTAATCCATTATTGCAGCCACATATGGTCTGTGATAGCGCTCCGACAAAGAAGTGTGGTAAAATATGAATAAATAACGATAGATACGTATCTAGAGCGATGAATATGTTTTTTTTTTTTTTTTTTTTTTTGGAGAAAGTTTGTTGCACGAAACGCAACGTTTTATCTAGGAAGAAGAACAAAAGGAAAAGGTACATAGAAATTACTATTTAATTTACATTTCACGTTTGGTGAATTATGGTCATTCAAGATTCGTACGTCGGTCGATAAATTCCCATGAAACTTACAAAGGCGCCCTAAAAATACAGTGGTTATAGCGCGGTTAGAAAAAGTCGCATGGGGTGAGCTTTGTAGCGGTTTCCCACAGATTCGGTAGCATACAGCTCAATTTGCGCGTGCCGACGAATACGAATTAGGTATCAGATATATCTTCCGCGAAATGTACTCGGTGCGGTCATTGAACGCCAATAAAAATCACTGCCACGTACGTATGCAACGAGAAAGATCACGAATGAACATTTAATCACTTGGAATCTCGGAATAATTCACGGGTAACGGAATACACGGATTAATCACGGAATAATCTCAGGATAATTCACTGTAATTCATTAAAATTTGAAGAAATCAATTAATTTCGTAAAACTTACTGTGCAATTCCGCTCCTAATAAAACATCAAGTATTCTCGGAAATATCAAACTTGTAGAAAATAAAAACATCACCCTAACAAAAATTTCTCTTCTCGTACTTGTTTCGAAAGTCCAAAGTGCATAGAAATACACACGTTTAATGTGAAGAACGCCATCGATCGATCATCGTGGTGCGAATTGGGTACGAATTATTAATAGAGGCCGATATCTGAAATCGGGTGAAGTAGCATGGAAAAGTTAACCGGGAATGGAATATGGTCGAGCACGTAGAAGAATTATCGTCGGCAGGCTGTGCCAATAGAAAAGAGGCGTGTCGCCGGGTTTGCGCAGTGTCCCATGAAACGTCAACGCGTTCAAATAGAATCCCCATACCGGCAGCGAGCCTCAGGAGCACGACAAGGGTGGAGGGTGGAGTCCCGAAGGGCACGGGGGTGAAATCAATTTTCGTTATCGCTGTCAACCAGTCGCCCCATATTAATTCCATTATTAGTGTTTGTTTTCCACGTGTGTGTTTCCTACCAGACAGCCGCGAATTCGTCCTGAAATTGTCCAACTTCCGGTACAGGATAGACAAATGCGAGAAGTTAATCGTTCGTTGTTAAAAAGTTTCGTTACTAAAAAGAAAGTAAATAAATTTTCACTGCTGATATTCATCTGGTGAAAATTTATTCATCTTATTTATTCATCTGGCTCAAGACGCTTAAAATTTTTATTTTATCTTCAGTATTCGAACGATTTGCAAGGAGACGAGGAAATATAGATTTCACGTTTGCCTAAAAGTTGATCGCTACGAACAGCACGTTCGAGAAGGTGATTTAACTTTTTTGTTTGCTGAAATTACTTATTGCTCGAAGCACTTACGACGTGATTTGAAATTGTCCAACTTCCGGTACAGGATAGACGAACGCGAGAAATTAATCGTTCTTTGTTAAAAAGTTTCGTTACTAAAAAGAAAGTAAATAAATTTTCACTGCTGATATTCATTTGGTGAAAATTTATTCATCTTATTTATTCATCTGGCTCAAGACGCTTAAAATTTTTATTTTATCTTCAGTATTCGAACGATTGGCGAGGAGACGAGGAAATATAGATTTCACATTTGCCTAAAAGTTGATCGCTACGAACAGCACGTTCGAGAAGGTGATTTAACTTTTTTGTTTGCTGAAATTACTTATTGCTCGAAGCACTTACGACGTGATTTGAAAACGATAAAAATACTGAAAGCAATTCGTACTAGATACCAAGAGATATCCATGTATATAGCCGTCAAATGTGCACAATATTTAACACATCGTAATGATTTAATATCTCTCGTATACCGTAACTCCTTTTAATCCATTCGGCTGACAACATATCAAATTTATTGAAGTATATCACGAAACTTCCTCAATTGCGATTATTTAGACAAATACTCTCATAAAATCAATTTTTTTCTTTATGCAATGTACGATACACTGTGAGAGTAAAATCCTACAAACGTTTAGCTATTTATTGTTTGCAAATATCCCGTAACTACTTTCTAAAGCCTCGAGAAAGCCGTAGAAATACGGTAAAGGCTTGTTGTTTTTCGTGGAAATCGGGTCTCCGCTGTTACAAGAAAAAAAAAAAGGAAAAAGCAGATAAGATATCCTTTGGTAATATTCCAAGATGACTATCGAGCAAGGACGTCCGCGTGCAAGAAACGACGAGACCCGGTGGATGAATTCTCTTCAAAAAGTCATTGAAGCCACGGAGGCTGCGCGAAGCACGAGTGTTCGGTGCTGATAAGGGATGCTCCGCCCTCGAAACCCCCCGGAATCGTTCTCTCGCCTACCCCTCGGCCATGGAATCGCAGGGTCAAGTTGTCGCCGAGTCCCTTGCATCGGCATGAAGTATTAATCTGACGGATTAGAAGGACAGATAGGACGGTGATTAATTTTTAAGATGTTGAAAGACGTAAAGGATTACCCCGCGACGCTTAATTAACATTGTCTCGGTCACGCTACCGCGTTTTACGGGGCGGTCCAGTTTAATTTTACGAAGTCGTTTGTTGTCACTTTTATCGATCGTGCTCCCGGAGGTGAAAGTAAGGGAAAGAGATGGCAGCGAGCGATGCATTTTTTTTTTATTGAAAATACAAATGTCCTCTACACACATTGTAAAATTAATCTCATCAAAGAGGAAGCGCTACATGCGTTGCTTTTTGTAAATGAATAATATTCATGCGATATAAAAAGCGTAACGGTAATAAATTAAAAGTGTAAAATCTACGATCACGTAGGATGAATAAAATTTAGAATAATTTACGTAAGATAATACCCGATTTGCACGACCAATAAATTCGTTTCGATGCTCTCGAGGCGGTGGAAAATTTTTTGCGCGCCAGACCACCATAATCGATCCGAATTTTTTGGCGAAAGTTTCCAACACTTGAGAAACTGAGATCTTTATCGAATTGTGTCGCCAATTGAAGATAAAAATATAGTACAACAAAATGGTCCTTTTGACTGATAAAAGAAAAAAAAAAACAAAGTGTCTCACTATTCATTGACATAACGAACGTACGATCCTAATCTATCTACAAAGTCGTATATTATAAAATATATAGTTTATATATATATATATATATATATATATATATATATACAATTAAAAATATAATATATATACAATTATATATTATTATATATATATATTATAAAAATATAATATATATATATACAATTATAAAAATGTCAAGCAATATTAACAAGCGTCTATGTTAATTGCAGTAAACAATTGATTAGCCACCTTTATATCACATGTATCTTTAACGTAAAATTATACTGGTACGTTGAATTACAGGCAATTAGACATTTACATAAATTCAAGCAAAAATAAAATAAAATCTATGTAAACAATCGTTTCCCTGAAATTGTAGTATTACAATGAACTACTATATATTTTATATTGTGCTTTAAAATTTTCTACAAGCATATCAAAATTCGCAATCGAATTATAGATATTTTCGAATGTTTCAGCGCATATGTCGCTTTTTATCATACGAGGTTTCCTTTTAGAACTTGATCGAAGACTATCACAAACATAACGTTACATTCGCGACTACCAACGAAAGGTTGAAAATACTGTCGCTTTATCGCTACCGTGACAATGGTTTGTCACTCCCCGTTTCGATTCCCCGTTTAAACTTAAAAAAATATTTACAAGTGAGCATTTTCAGCGAGATCAAAATACTGTCTGATTTCCCTGATACGGATTCATCGTGTTGTCAGTAAAACGCAAATATAAGGATGAACAACGGAACCGATATGATACATAACAAGTAAATAGACGTTCTAGGCTCGCACACGGACACCACCACGTATTCCTCGTTCCATTGTGAGTCGTTGCCATTCAGCGGCAATTCCAGGACTGCTTTCTCATTGCTGAAGATCTTGAAGGGCAAAGAACATTCTCTCGTGCTGTTCTTGCAAGCGTGTACCGGATTTGAGGTATCGTAGACGGTCTTCAGAAGATCGAAACGCACCCGCAGATAATTCGGCTGAATCTCGTTTTCGGAATTAAAAACGAAAAAGTAATATCCGTTCATAGGTACTCTGGAAAATATACGTAGATTTTAAGACTCTATTCTTGTACAATAGATAAAAGATTCAACAGATAGGAAAGATTAGTTTGCACAAACACTTAATTTCAAGAAAACTTCAACAGCGACTATCATGTTTACGTCTTTGAGTCAAGTATTAAGCTCAGTAATGAATGCAAACTTTTATTCACTATAATTAATCAAACCTGATTGAAACACAATATTGAAATAAAAATTATTCCGCCGAAATTATTGAATAATTTGTTAAAAATTAATATCGTGTCACCGAGTTTTTAAGTATTTGGTTGATATTTTTATACAGGTAGAGTACTTAAATTTTCTGAAATCTTTGTTCCACAGATTCTTTAATTTCCCTTGAATTTCTATAAAATTTTCAAGTTACTTGGAATCTTTACATTTCCCTAAATTCTTAATTCATGTTAACTATTTAATAATTTTAAAATTAATAATTTTTGTATCATCGAATAGACACTTGGACTCTGGAACTAGAATCTAGAACTCCTTAAACAGTTTTACAATTTATTATCAAAGAGCTTCTGTACTATCTAATATCTATAGAGTTATCAGACATCGATTAGATATTTTTCTTTTCTCTAGTTTTCTATTTCTTGTTTTACTCATTATCGATGTTAAAACAAGATATTTAACAAGAACTGTATCTCTATCTGTATTTGTGAATTATCGACAACACGGTAATGAAAAATGACCGAAATTCGTAACTTTGTTTGCCGTTCGAGGAGGTCTCTGTATTGCCAAAAATTCGTTCATAAATAGTTGTAACAGTGTAGTATACCTGTACGTAACTGTATTGGCAAACGAGGCGGCCGAATGTTCGCTCTCGTGTTTCGGAGTACAATGTCGATGCGGCGTTAGAGGCAAATTCAAAATTAATCCCTTGCAGTCCAATAGCCGTTCCTCGGAGCTGCTAAATGAACTCCAGAATTCGGAGTTGCTTCTGTCATTCAACGTCGTCTCGTTCACGGTTCCTCTATCCTCGGCTATGCCATCTGGGTGCAACATATCCTAATGTATAGGCAGAAATTACACAATAAAGTAGGAATAATTTCAAGCGTGAAGAGCAATCGATCGCCAGTACCCAACGATACTTCGTCAAATTTTTTTTTAATTTACAATTATACAGTCCTCGATCCTTTGTTTCTATTCGACCAATTACACGACCAAGCATCGAACTTATATACTTTCCAAACAAAAGATCCATTTCTCTGTCACCGTTTTCCCTGAGTAAAAGTATCCGCGATAAATATCAACATCGGCACGAAAATACCCTGATAAGAGAACTCTCTCGTACGTTCTCGCAAATCCACGTGAGTAAATTACAAACACCGTGAGTAATTACGTTGGCTTACTAATCTTTAATGAGGACAATGCGAGCATCTGGCCGTATCTATCTCCGCGCGATAGAGCGTCGATTACGATCTAAATTGAACCGTTATCGTCGACGATTATTTGACATCGAGATATTTACAGACAACTACCATCGTGTGACAACCGGCCGAACTATTTAATCTGAATATACACGATACAAACATCTCGCGGCACCGGGCTCCATCTTAATCTCGCTACGAAGACCTTATCGCTCACAACATTGCCTGCCGTTGTTTTTTTTTATCAGAGGCTCGATGGAAATTTGCCGCTGCTAATTTACGTCTACGGAAAATTTCCTACAATCTTCCGCCGTTTGGTTCTTAAGTTCTTTGCTGCTTTATCTTTCCAATGGCGATGCATTTAAACGTACGCTGTTGCACGCATAAACCGCGAACGATTATGCAAATTCACATCTTTATCAACTCGACGGGTGCTCCATTTTGAATATTTATGTATTGTTTTACATATTGCGTGCATTTTGCACATTTAAACTTCGCGTTGAACGAGTAAACAAATGTATCTGTCGCGTCTACCGGAAAACTCCATAATGAATTTTGTTGTATAAATTTTAGTGAATGAAATGACAAAATAAGGGCAATGAAAAGCATCGAATCTGTACTAAATATATTCAGAGGTGTGTTCGCCAGATTTATGCTCGGCAGTGAAACTAGTTACTTTACCTCTTCTATGGCAGCATCGTCGTCTTCATCTTCCTCCGTCAATTCCTTACGAAGGGGCGAAGACAGAACTAAGTCTCTTCGTCTCCTGCGTTTCTCGGCATCCGAGAGTTTCTGATCATTCATCGTCTTGTTCACTGCCTGTCGTAACGCTTCTCCCTCAGGGCCTTTCTTCTCAATTTCGTTCATCAGTCTCCTGAGTATCTTCTTGCCCCGATGACCCAAAGAAGTGATTTTGTCCAACACATCTCGAAACACCTCCGCGGACGTGGCTCCTGCTTTCTCGTTTTTTCCCACAGGCTTCACCGTCGTCCTCTCTTCACTCGTCCGATTTAGCAGAACATCGCCATACTTGAGCGTCCCGTGTTTCTCTACCAATTCTCCCGTGTCGTTCGCGACACTTGCCACGTTTTGCTTCTTCAAGACTTCTTCGAACGTTCTTATCAATCTATTTTCCATTAATTTATTTCTGGCTGCCTGCGTATCGTCTTGGAGGTATTGGGTAGGTGGTTTGTCGATATTATCCGCCTCCACGAACGTTCCTTCGTAATGATGATGCGGATTCTCCTTCTGTTTCTTCTTCGTGTCGAGCGTTTTGGCGAACAGTTCCGTAAGAATCACCTTCATAGTCTTCGCGTCCAATTCGTGACTGTTGTAATGATGCATGGTGTTCATCGTGTGCCTGGAGCTGTTTAATAGATCAGCGTGGTCCTTGTGATGAAACTGTACCCCTTGCTGCGCTCTCTTCATCTTCTCTGGCTCGTTGCTAGGACTTTCGCTCTACGAAACGGACGTACACCGGCCTTGTTCATTTTCCTTCTTTTATATGTTGTCGTTGGCATCGTATCGACGTGATGCAAAATCTCTTACCTCGAGCGATCCGTTCACTGCAAGAAAACCGGTCTCTTTGGCAACTTCCAGAAGTTCTTCCAATTCCTCGCTACTGTCGTCACCGATGAAGGCACACTCGTGAAGATGTTTATGACCACGGATCATGGTTAACGAAGCACCGGGCCATCTACCACAGAGTCCACGAGTCTTTTTTGATTAACACTTTCTCAATTCAAGTCGCTTATTATCCGACTTCTTTTTTTCTTTTCTTTTCTTTTTTACTATTATGTCATTATTACCTGACGCAGGTGGAAACGGTGACGCTGCTACCACGAAGAAGATAAAAGCCCCAATATTCTTTCATGTCGTCCTCTAGAATCAAATGTCTCGTCATAGAAACAGGTAGAAACTCGTTTTCCACTTTCGGTTCGTCGTTCATCAGATAGGCGTTAAACGTCGCGTTTACTTTGATCACCTGACTCTGTGAAGAAATGTTTTTTTTCTCGATAATCTGCGCGATACTTGAAAATGTTCTGATGAATCAGAGTCAGATTGGAGAATACACTTACAGATAGGAGGAAAATTTACTTACCTGACACCACGTAGTAGACACTTTCGCGTCGATAAGCCTCTGATCGGAGACGGTTAAAGGGTATAGTTGCTCAGAATAGACGCGATATCGCAAGTACATTGGCCCCGCCACCAATACCGCGGGAAAGAATATTCCCAGTAAACATAATCGAAATAATCTCAGAGGCACCTTGTACTGCGACCTACGGGGCTGCCAATCTCTCGGACGAACACCGTCCTCTACGAATTGTAAAACAACTTATGAGATATCTTCTCGTGTAATGGTTGCTCGAAATTTGTTGTAAAAATGTTACAAAGATAGTTTCAAACAATTCTTTTTGTTGCGTCAAGTATATACCTACTTTATTCCATTTTATTTTCTGTTAAAGAAAAAAAACTGAAGAATATATTCAATGTAAAACGAAGGATAAATAAATAATTCGGTCGCAATAGATGCTCGTTTATTTATTTACAACATTACATGAACATCGTGAACAACGTACGACACATCGAAATATCGTGTTTCGCTCTAAATTACACAGCACGACTATTCCTTTGTTGTAGATAAAATTATACGCGCCAATCTTGCTATTTTTCGGGACTCCGTGCGAAGCCAATTTTTGTTTGTTCGTTATTTAAAAATTCAGAATAGCGTGATCGCTTTCGGTGGCGTGTATAATCATGTAAATACTGATTGTAGATCGTGACGCAATCGAGTGAAAACGCGCGCTAAGTTAGGCATTTGATTTAGTTCCCTCTTTGGCGATCTTGTGTTTCTCATTTAGAAACAAATTAATTGCAAGTAAGAATTTTTAGAAGTAAATAGAAAATTTCATAATTCTTTTGTTAGAAACGAAAGTTTATATTTTGGTACGGTGCCAAGAGTAATATCAATCCACAATATTTTGAATCGCTATCTTATTGACGCCGTAGTAATAAAAGAGATAGTATGTTTTGGATTGAGATGCATTCGTGATAAATAATAATCAGCTACGACAGCATGTATATTTGTATCGTACAAAGGCTTGCAACATTTGCCATATAAATTGTGCGTTTGATTGAAATCACTACTTTTTTTTTAACTCTTTAATTATTCATAATATTAATTAATTTAAAGAATGAAATATCATTAGGAAATTTCCTAAATGATTGGAAATTATAAAAGCAAAATGAAGCGAAAGTCTCGTGTTTTCGATCAAATGCAAAGCCATCGAACTTGCAATTTTCCGCAAACAAGAATTAATGACTTTATCGATTTACTTTATATTTGGCAAAACAATAACACAAACTTTTAAATTACCATAGTTATTATTTCCTGAATAGGCTATTGTTTTCTGAAATCTCACATATCTACAGACATGCGCGTTTTCAACAATTCCAACTCCGAAAATGTCGCTTCTGATAATTCGTTTTTTCATAAAATTTCTTCGATAACGAATGTGTTATGAATAAAAAGAACGATAACATTTTTATCTTTTTTTGTAGATACATAAATATGGAATTAAACGTTCGAATAACGCTGTTTATTTAATCGATATTAATAACATACGAATATTGTGCAGTAGAACACTTTACAACTATGATTATTTTTATAATTGTGATTTTAATTTAGAAACGCATACAGTTGTAAATTGTGAATGAGTCAAATTTGCAACAAAGCATTGTAATGTAAATACATCGAATTATAAATTCTAATAAAATTCTAATAAAAACTAATTTAGCCATCATATATAGAGTCTTTTTAAGTAATTTTCTAATCGTATTATACTATATTGTACCATATTAGAGTTCTATTGTATACTTGAGTTATCTATTGATCTTTGTAAATAAGAAAAGCATGAAATTTGACAAAACATCTTCTAATATAGGAAACATTATCTTCTAAATGACAAAAAATATTGTTCGTAATTTATATTGCTGAACCGATAATTATTCCTAATTTATCGTGATGCACACATACGCATGAAATATGCTACGATAGAAATTTAAAAATAATACTTGTATCTTGCGCGAGAAAGAAGATTATTATTTATGCTGCTATTACGATTGCTACTGTGAGCTACATTAAAGAAGAATATATATAATTGAAGAATGAATGTGTTATATTTCGTTTCAAAGGGCAATACATTTCCTGGCTACTTACAGTAGCCTAAATAAATACTGTCATTGCGTAATTAGTTAATTCATCTATCAATGCGATACGATTTTGATGGGCCGTGTTTAAAGCTCTGCTATTCGAGCGTATACATATAATGATGCATACATGTATACTTGTAATTTGTAACGCACACATTTCGTGATACCACGTGGCAAGACAAAGACTAAAGAGTCAAAGTATCACGGCAAAAGATACAATAATTGAAACACGCAATTTACATCGGCATGAATATGTAATATATGCTGAGAAATGAATATTTATTATACAGATATGCCTACGCGAGAATTGAAACGAATTATCAACAACATGAATAGCGATTACCGCCTTTGCTATTACATTTCCAAAGTGATTGATAAAATATACGAACGAAATAAAGCATACCAAGTATATCTATTTTTAATGGCGTCGTTGGCATTCTCCTTGCAGAAGCGCGGCATAGAAACTCAGAACTATTACTTTGAGAACTATTACACGTGGATAGTATTAAAAATAATAACACGCACAAACACACATTATATACGATGATGATTCATTAACAAGTTATAGTACGTAATTTGTAAAGAGCAACAACAATCTTTTTAATAAAAATAGCTCCTCCTTTTTTAATTCTTTTGATCAGTAATTAGTAAATAAAATTTATATTTTAAATTTTTCTTCTTACAAGAATTAGTCACCCTTATTTTCCGCAATATTTAAAATAAATGTATAATTCATTAAATGAATACTTGATTACGTTTATTCAATCGCGAAGTTATATAAATATACGATGTGTACCGTTCGCTGTCAACAGATCGACTGAATCAGTGAACGAATATGTCATGCTTTGTATCAGTGTCTTATCAAATTCTGCTGTGCGGGATAAGCTACGATCTACATGCCTATTTACACAGAAAATCATGGCACTAACGTTCTCGTTATCCATCTTTGCCATCAAAATATTAAAGTTATCTAAATGTAATACAGTAAACACGATCATATAGCACCGAAAATAAACTATCTAAACTAATACACTAAATTTTGAAGTTTTAAACTATAAAATTATCATGTTCCGAAATATTATTTACTTCTCCAGTAAATATATAATTTTTATTTAAAAAAAAATATTTAATATAACATACATTTTATGCACAATTCTATGATCAAAAAATAATGTAAAAATACTATGATTACTTGCACATCATAGTACAACATTATTTATAATACATATTATTTGCGATGAGAATCGGGTCGTTTGTTTTTATCATCTTTCAATTTATGTGATCTCTCTCCTCTTCGTCGCTTATTAAGCGGATTTCGGGGATCATAAATCTCAAACCAATCATCATCTTTTGTGCTTGCATCCTTGGCAAGAACAGGTGCTTTTTCTTCACAATGTAATGCATGCACCATCCAAGATTCATCAGTTGGATCAAAATCATCCTCTTTGCTATTTTCTTTTTTTAATGAAACCGGCGAGTTTTCTCCTACAGTGTCCTTAGCATTTTGGAGTTTAGATTTAAACTTATTTAATAACTCCATCGTAAAGTCTTCGCGATTTTTTCCTTTTTTAGGCAATTTCGATTTTGCCTCTTTATATTTCTCTTGAGTTTCTATATATTCTTTCATAATCTCCGTTTTCTTTTCTTTCTTTTCTACTTCGGCTTGTTTCAGTTTCTGATCTGCTTCTTTCGCTTTCTTTTCATTTTGAACACCACGTTTCAAATCTCGAATTTCTTTTCTAATTTCCTCCCTGTGTAATAGTTAATTGGAAATATTTAAATTTACATTATAAAATTATATTAAATATTAGAAAAAAGATATCGGTATAAAACATACGCTTTTTTTTTACGTTCTTCATCTCTGTCCTTGCCAAGGTAGTATTCATCTTCTTTTATGTTTTTATCGTCTTCATCATCATCTACTTTATAATTTTCTTTTTTAGAGTCTTTTTTTGTGTCTCTTAATTTATTTTTTATCCTTTCTTTCATTGCTCTAAAAATACAATACTTTCACACAGTTATACAAAATACTCACACAGTTATAATACAAAATAAAAAACTCACTCTTTTTCTTTTTCTATAGCTTCTAATTCTTCTTGAGTTTTTTCTTCCCCATCACTTTCCCAATCGCTACTACGATCTTCTTTCTTTTTTTTACTTGGAGGTCCAGCTGATTCAACAGCTGGTTGTGCACTTAACTTTGGATCACTTAGATGATCATGCGCAGACTTTCCTTTACTACTAAACTTTTTATTTAGGATCACAGATTCTTCTTCATCTTCCTCTGCTTCTTCACCAAACGATAAAAGATTAAAATTTCTGTAACAGGATGTTTCATTATAAAACATATTATTGAAAAAGTAAAAAACTTTTTCTTACTTCACTCCTGCATTTTTAGTTTTTGAATTATCCTTTATTTCTTCATTTTCCTTTGATACTGTTCTTGGTATAATATCAGGAAATGGATTGTTCAATATTTCTGTTTTTATAATTTTTGGAGGATACAATGGCCTATCATCCTAAAATAAATGAAAAACAAGGAAAAATTATATTTTTACTACTAATTTTTGATACATTCCTGTAAAAGCATTGAATTTACCTTATCTACAAGTGCTTCTTCAAGTTTGAGCATATTGTATATAGTTTCCCCAGTAACTTTACCAAAGATTGTATGTTTATTTTGTAACTCTGGCGTCGAACCAAGAGTAAAAAAGAATTGAGAACCATTATCATCTTTTCCAGCATTGGCCATAGCAATTAAACCTCGTCGACAAAACCTTAATCTTGTGTGAAATTCATCCTAGTATGTATGTACATATATATATAAATCTCTATTTCAAATGAAAAACTTTTTCAAATAACATGAGATAACTCACTTTGAATGGTTGCTCATATATGCTTTCACCACCTTCTCCTGTACCTGTTGGGTCACCACCTTGTGCTATGAATCCTTTAATAATTCTATGAAATATGGTGTTATCATAATAGCCTTCCATACATAATTGTATGAAATTTCTACATGCTTTTGGAGTCTCTTTAGCCCATAATTCCAAATCAATGTCACCAACAGTTGTTTTCATCATCACCTATTCATGATAACGTATTAATTTTAATAATATGAAATATTTTTGAAATAAAATTTGTTCTATAATAACATAAATTGTTTAACATTAATAGTCTAATAGAAATCTAAATACAAATATTAAATATAGGTTATGTTTTTAAAAAGAGATACGCAATTCATTGAAATTTCATGAATTAATACTTACTTTACCCGTAGTGGGTGGTTCCTGTATATAAATATTACTCATATTTGCGAATTTTCCTTAATTAAAAAATTATTTGTCAACAAAAACACTTCATGTTAAAGAGGTTCTTCATGATACGTGAATACCAAATAGGTTAAAATGTCTGACTTGACATAATCTTGATATATCAAAACAAACGTAAATGAGAAACTAATAATTAATATATATTTACATTTTAAATTATCAAATAGATTCTAACTATAATGTCTGTAACTAATCTGCTAAAGAAATATAGCAATGGTAAGATTATTGATAAAACATTCTATATCACAATCTCTCTTGTCTGCAATTCCAATTTAACTGTGTAAGCTTAAATACTGAGTAAAACTGTTGTAAAAATTTATTTAAGTGGAACATGGATGTAAATACGGTAAATATATACCAATCGAATAATTTAAATATTAGCACATTTGATAATAATTTAATATATAATAAAATGAAACTGTATTTAAGCAACATACATTTTAAAGAATTTCCCACTGACTGGGAAAAAAATATTTTGAACTTATTATCAAAGAAATATAGAAAAAAATATCGTTCATTAATGAAATCAATGTTAAAAGAAGCAAAAGACATATATATTAAAAATATGCAAGATTTTTTAAATAAAGTTGTACTGTCAAATTATAGAAATGATGATTATATTTCCAAGATGACTTATATGAACCACAAATTTTTGGATGATCAAAAAACATTTAACAAGAATATTTTTCTCAAACGTAGTAAATTATTATATAGAAAATATTACCTTTATTTAGAACCAATAAGGATTATTATAAACCAAGCACAACTTAAACTTCCAGTATTTATTTGCAATTTTGAACATTATCATCAGTTTGGACTTATGTCATTAACTGATTTTCAAAATATAATTAACAATGACATTAAGAAGGGATCATTGGCAGTAACTAATCAGTTTTATTCTGAAGTATCAAAAGCTATAGTAAGCAACAGAATTTTAAAAAACATTAATAAAAAACTATTACCTAGAATTATGCGTTGTATAACACATGTTTTTGTACAACAAATTTTAAATGTTACGATAAGATCTATTGATCACATATTAAATGTTATAAGTAATGAATATTATTCTCCTCAAATCAAATTTCAACTTATTATGCAAGATAATAAATTATGTCTCAGTCCTGCTATTGAAGAAGTATATTCTTTCTATCACAATATAATTGACAAACTCAGAATAATTGCGCAAAATTTAATGCCATTAGAAGAATGGCTTAATATGAAAGTACATTATAAATGTATTAAAATAAAATTACCAGATTGTTATATCAAAGAATCTCATGACAAATTACAATTCACTTTGGATAATTTATTTCAATCTATAAATGAACATGTAAGGAATATCACTGAAGAATTTTATCCCATCTGTGCATATAACTTAAGAGAAAAGATATTATCAGTAACATCACGAGAAATCAATTTTGAATTATATCTTCAACATATACAGGAATACAATATTTACTTAATAAAAGCAAATGCAATGATATTAAATACATATCATACAGTAGGGAAATTAGAGCAACATAAAGCCAGAGAATCTTTGAAAAAAGAATCTTGCAATATAATTAATATTTTCTTAAATAAACTTATTAAGTTCCATCAAGAATTCAATCAGTCTATTTGTTCAGATTTTGAACATTTGAAAACAAAGATATTAGATGTACCAAAAAATTCACAATCTTTAATTGAATTAATTGACTACATTTTACATGCATCACAAGTATTAATAAAAGAACTAGCATCTAAAATCCAAAATTCAATACACATGTTAAGCACATTATCAGAAATAACAATTTTGTCAGATTATCATATTCAGTTAAATAAAAGGACTATTAATTGGCTACATGAAATCGAACCAATATTTAAACAAAGCAATACTTTGTGTGAGGCAATGAAAAGTGAACTTGAAGATGACATGCAGAAGAGAATAAATAATTTAAACATTGAGATAGATAATATCATTCCTCAACTTAGTGTGCTGAATAATATGGATGACATAGACAGAATTAGAGAATATGTTGAATATTATAAAGTTCTCTTAAAACAAATAAATCAAATTAAATATGAAATGCAAAGAATTAACGAAGAAGAAACATTATTTAAATTTCCTGAAACTGAATTTTCAAATGTAATTGAATTACATGAAATAATCATGTCATTTTATGATCTTATTGATATTATTTATCAGTGGCAAAGAGATAATTCTGTATGGTTGGATGGCCCTTTTGAATGCTTGGATGCCATTGTTATAGAAAATAAAACATTAAATTATTTTGAAAAAATTACTGAAATGAGTAAAATGTTTAAAACAAAGATTAAGATGGATATAACACTGAACAAATGTTTCAAATTTTCTGGAATTGCAGATGATCCAGATCCAATGCAACAACCTGCTCCATTAAAACTATGTTGGCAAGCACTTAATTCTATAAACAAGTTTAAGCAATATTTACCATTAGTGGTATGTATATGTAATCCAGCTTTACAAAAACGACATTGGCAGGAAATGTCTACAATATGCAAATTTAATCTTACACCTAATGCTGGAACTAGTTTAAGAAAAATTATTTCATATAGTTTAATGGATGATATTGAGAAATATAAAGCTATCAGTATAAGTGCTAATAGAGAATTACAGATGCAACAGAAATTATTGAAAATGATTAAAGAATGGGATAAAATTTCTTTTGAAATAAGTTTTGATAAACAAACTAAAATGAATACATTTTCTAATTTAGATGATATAGAATTATTACTTGAAGATCATCTTACAATAATTGAAGAAATGAAAACTTCAAATTTCGTTAAAGAAATAACTTCCACAATGACAAATTTTTCAATATCCCTCGTTAAGATTCAAGAAATTATTAATCAATGGAATTATATACAAATATTATTACTTTCTTTAAATTCTACTTTTTGTCATCCAAGCATAGAAGTACATTTAGCTAAAGAATTTCTTTTGTACAAAGAAATTAAAGAAATTTTAAAACATATTCAAAACAAGCTGTCAAAAACTCCCACTTTTACAGAAATCAATAATATAATAACTTCAAAACTTCTACTTGATATTGTTGGGAAATTTGAATATGTAAATCAAAAAATTAAAAATTATATAGAAATTAAGAGACAACATTTTCCAAGGTTTTATTTTCTTTCCGATAAAGAAATTGAAGAAATATTATTTAAATCTTACAATCTAGAGACACTAGATATATCTATACAAAAATGTTTTAAAGGTGTACAAAAAATGAAAATTGATAAAGAAAAATATATTTATTCCATTTTTGGTGATTATAGTGAAGAATTATGTCTTGAAAAATTAATTTCTCTTAATGTTCAAAATGATCATGAGGAGAAATGGTTAATATATTTTGAGAAAGAACTAAATACTATAATAAAAAATAATATTCTCCAATCTTATCAAATATTTAGTAAAACATTTACATACAATAGTGTTATGAATTTTCCAAGTATGGCAATTGTTTGCACCTTACAACTTTATTGGACTACTAAAGTACATGAGTGTCTTACTCTATTTAACTTTAAAGCTCTGAATTCTTTATATTCAAAATATATTAATCATTTAAATAGCTTAATTGGTGAATTAAAAAATTATTCAATAAAAAGATTGAGAAATTTGGTAATGTCTTTAATTATCATATTAATTCAACAAAAAGACATTATTAAGTTATTAATTGACAAAAATATTACCAAACTTACTGATTTTGAGTGGATTGCACAATTACAATATTATTTAGTAGAAGATAACATAAAAGTATCAATTTTTAATACAACTTTAAATTATGGATATGAATATAGCTATCACAAACAACATTTAGTAAATACTCCTTTAACAAATAGATGTTTTCATATTCTTATGCAAGCATATGAATATCATTTATATGGTGCTATTACAGGACCACCTGCTACAGGAAAATCAGAAACTATTAAAAGTTTGGCTGAAGCTTTTGCAATACAGTTTCGTTCTTTTAATTGTAGTAATACATTATCTTATAATTTCATAACTCAAATATTTAAAGGATTTATTTCTTGCGGAGCATGGCTTTGTTTTGAAAATTTTAATACATTAAAAATTGATCTCCTATCAAGACTTGCACAAATTCTTACTTCCGTTTTTTATATTATAGCAACAAATTTAAAAATCACAATGTTTGAAGGTTCCTCATTAAGAATAAATCAAATTGGACATATTTGTATCATTACAAAATTTAGTCTATTTAAATGCCCTAATATACCTGATAACTTGAAAATATTATTTAGAACAGTAACTATGATAGTACCAGATATGAATAAAATTGTAGAAGTTGAATTTTTTGCTGGTGGTATATCTAATTCAAAGTTGTTAACTTCAAAATTAATTTCATTGTACAAAATACTATCTGAACAATTGTGGTGTCAGTCATGTAATATTTTTAATTTATATTCTATGAAAACAATTGTTAAAACTACAATCTATTTAAAGAGAAGTTTTCCAAATCAAAATGAAACTGTATTACTTTTACGTTCGTTAATTGATGTTAATCTTCCGAAACTCTGTAATATAGATACACATATTTTTAGAAATATAGTTCATGATATGTTCCCAAATGTTACCCTGTTGCCTTCTGATTATACAGTATTTTTAGAAACTCTTGAAACAATATGTACATCTAAATCTATCTATATCCATGATATATTTAAACTTAAAATTATACAAATATTTGAATTAATGCACATTCATCAATGTTTAATACTTGTTGGTGATCCATTTGTTGGGAAAACAGAAATATTAAATATTCTTCAAGTTATTTTGATGTCCTTACACAAACAAGGCAGTGAATTTGGTGTTAACATACACTTAGACGCAATAGTTCCAAGTACAATTAATGTTAATTACCTTTTTGATCATTTTGATGAAAAATTAAAAATTTGGAAAGATGGAATATGTTCCGAAATGATCTATTCTTCTTCAAAGAATGATATCTTTAACAGAAGATGGATAATATTTGATGGACCTTTAAATAATTTATGGATTGAAAGTTTATATGCAGTTCTTGATACAAATAAGATGTTATATTTAACATCAGATGAAAAAATTAATATGACAAATTCTATATCTATTATTTTTGAAACAATGAATATGCAAGATATTTCTCCTGCTAGTTTATCAACTTGTGGTATAATTTATATTGACTCAAATTGTATTGATTGGAGACCCTATGTTAAAACTTACTTTTCTAAACATAATATTTATAATGAATACAATGAAGTTTTATATTTATTATTTGATTGGATAATAGATCCTTCTTTACAATTTATACAAAAAAATTGTATTGTAACTTTAGCTGTTGGCCATCTACATTATATAATATCAATATTAAATTTATTTGAAATGTATTTAAAGGATGCTTTAACAGAAAGTACTGAAGATAAGGGAAAAACAACCCATTTTTTAATATGGGCACAAGCTGCTCTTATATTATCTGTAATATGGGGGATGGGAGGAAATTTAGATATAGATTCTCATATTAAATTTAATTCTTTCTGTACTTCACTTTGGTCTGGTATAAACAAAGAACATCCAAGGCCAGAAGTAATAAAAGGTTTTGAAATAACACTACCTCATGAGGGTTTAATACAGGACAATTTTTATATTTTCAAAGGCGTTGGAAATTGGAAATATTGGGGAAGTGCTGATATATTAAAGAGTGAACAAATATTAGAAAATTCTGATAGTATTGAAATTTTTATACCAACAATTAATACAATAAAATATAATCATATAATTCTAAAACATATAAAATATAGAAAACCTTTCATTATCTGTGGAGATATGTCTATTGGAAAAACTTGTTTTATAAAAACTTTATTAAAAAATAAACTGCCTGAAGGAATATATTCAAACTTATTTAACTTTACTTCTTCAAATACAATTATTGGAACACAGCAGTTGTTACTTTCAAAATTAAATAAAATAAGGAAAAGATATTACGGATTACCAGAAGGTCAATTTTGTATTAATTTTATAGATGATCTCAATGTAGAAAGAGTTGAATGTAGATCAGAAATTAATACTATTCTAGAACTTATTCGCCAATATCATAGTTATGGTTACTTCTATGATATTAATGAATCTGAAAAGATTTTTATTCATAATACCATGTTTTCAATTGCAGTTAGTACTACAATTAAAATGTGTCCTAGATTTTTAAGACATTTTAATCTATATAACATGTATGCTCCTGCTACAGATACCATATTCAGAATATTTTCAAATATTCTTTTTAATAAGTTAAAAAGAAATTCTTTTACTGCGGATGTATTCAGTACTGTAACTAGTATAACTAATGCTACAATTGATATATATAATTCTGTAATTAAAGTTTTACGACCAGTACCGACTAAATTTCAATATCAATTTAGTATAAGAGATATAAGCAGAATTATTGAGGGATGTAGTCTTCTTCAAAAAGAATCGGTAGAAACTAAAGTCACTTTCATGCGAATTTGGGCGCATGAAATATGGCGTGTCTTTGGTGATCGAATATTAGATAATAATGATAAAGAATGGCTCTTTTTACAAATTAAAAAAATCAGTAAACATTACTTTAAAGATTCATTTGAAATAGCTTTTGATTATTTGCCAAAATTTGATAATAATGAGATTACTAAAGATAGTTTCTGTAATTTAATATTCTGTAGTTTTATGTGTGCAGAAAAAAATGAAAATAAAAAATATGAAGAAATAAATTCTATTGAGAAGTTAAAAAATAAAGTTCTTTTTTATTTACACGAATATAACAATACTAATACAAAAAAACGGATTGATATTGTGGTATCGCAATATATTTTAGAATGTTTGATAAAAATTTCAAGAATTTTAATTATACCAGGAAGCAATTTATTAATAATCTCTAGCATGGGATCTGGCAGAAAATCCTTAGCAAGTTTAGCTGCTTATATCCAACAGCAAGAATTATTTGAACCTTCTGTACAATCTTATTGTGACTTTAACATGTGGAGAAAAGATATAAAAATGGTTTTACAAAAGTGTGGTGAGTTAAGACAAGATTTTATACTTTTTTTAAAAGATAAACAAGTAAAACATAATTTTCTTCAAGACATTTGTTGTTTATTGGCTACTGGAGAAATATCTGATTTATTTTCTGCTGAAGAAAAGTGTAATATTATTGAAACAATACGTTTGCATGCTCAAGATGGCAATAAAAATGAAGAAATCAGTAATGATGCTGTAATGAATTTTTTTCTAGAACAATGTAGAAATAAATTACATATTATATTTTGTTTTAGAGATGTAAACAAAAATATAAGATCATATTTATATAAATATCCAGAATTAATAAAATACTGTACAGTAAATTGGTATGAAATGTGGCCAACAGATACATTTCTACAGGTAGGTTTGAAATACATTCAGGATACTAATATTGAAGAAAATGTAAAAATAAATGTAATAAAAGTTTGTATACAATTACATAATCATATGCAAAAAATAAGCACTGAATATTATAAAGAAAGTAATACAAAAATTCATGTTACATTAACTGCATATCTACACATGTTAAAGTTATATGTTTATTTGTTATGTAAAAAACAGAAAGATATTACTACATTGAAAAACAGATACTTGACAGGTTTAGAAAAATTAGAATTAGCAGCTCAACAAGTAGAAAATATGAAAGCTACATTGACAATGTTGAAACCACAATTAGAGTTATCTGCTCAAAAAACAATAATTACAATGAAAGAGGTAGAGAATGAAAACATTAGTATAGAAAAAGCAACTGCTGTCGTACAACGAGAAGAAGAAATAGCAAATAAGAAAACAGAAATTGCTGGAAAATTAAAATTGGAATGTGAAGCTGATCTAGCTGTAGCAATTCCGATTTTAGAAGATGCTGTTGCAGCATTAAATACATTAAAACCTACAGATATTACATTGGTTAAAGCTATGAAAAATCCTCCTGACACGGTCAAGCTCGTAATGGCGGCAATATGTGTAATGCTTGATGTTCCCCCAGATAGAACTGTTGATTCAGTTACTGGTAAGAAATATACTGATTACTGGGGTCCAAGCAAACGTATTTTAAGTGATATGAACTTTTTACAAATCTTAAAAGACTATGATAAAGACAATATCCCATCTAATATTATACAAATTATTAAGAAAACATACATAATGGATAACAATTTTAAACCACATATTGTTGCCAAAGCATCAAGTGCTGCAGAAGGCCTTTGTAAGTGGGTACGTGCAATGGTATCCTATGATGAAGTGGCAAAAGCAGTTGCTCCTAAAAAAGAGAAATTACTTATTGCACAAAATGAATGTAATCAAGCTGAAACATTTTTAAATGAAAAACGAAAAACTCTTTCTTCATTAAATATTAAACTTGCTGCTTTGAATAACTGTCTTCAAGAAACACTACAACAAAAAGTGAAACTAGAGCAAGAAGTAGAAGACTGTACTATTAAACTTTATAAAGCAAAAACTTTAATAGCAAGTTTAGGAGGAGAAAAAAATCGTTGGTTGGAAGTTGCAGAAAATTTTAAAAGAAATTATGATAATCTTGTAGGAGATATGATATTAACATGTGGGATTGTAAGTTATATAGCATCATATAATATTATATTTCGTAATAAAATTTTAGAACAATGGAAGCAATATATAGAAGTTCTAAACATATCATATAGTAAAGATTATAATTTAATAAATATGCTTGGAGAAGAAAATGATATAAATTATTGGTATTTCTCTGGTCTATCTAAAAATAGTTTTTTGGTTGAAAATGCAATTATTATGACTAATTCCAAACTGTGGTCTTTATTTATTGATTCACAAAATCAAGCCAATAGTTGGATTAAAAAAATTGAGAAGAAGAATAATTTGAAAATTATTAAGCTCACTGATCCTGATTATTTATCAATTATTCAATATAATGTTCAAAATGGTATACCTACATTAATTGAAAATATAGGAGAAGAATTAGAAATATCATTGGATCCTTTTCTTCTAAAAAAAATTTATTATGATGGAAAGACTTCGTACTTAGATATTGATCATGATGTTATAAAATATTCATCCGATTTCCGATTATATATTACAACACAAATGCTTAATCCTCAATTTTCATGTGAAGTATTTAGCAAACTTATAATAATTAATTTTTCTATTCCAAATGAAGCTCTCCAAGATAGACTTCTTGATTTTATTATTTACAAGGAAAAGCCAGAACTTCAGGAAAAGTTTGAAATTTTACTTATGGAAGATGCTAGTAATAAAAAAATATTAAAGCAGCAGGAAGATATTGTATTAAATATCTTATCGTCAACAACAACAAATATTCTTGAAGATGAAATTGCTATAAGAAGTTTAGATTCTTCCAAAAATTTTTCTTTAAACATTATTAAGAAACAAGAAATAACAAAAGTAACATCGCAAGAAATAAATAAATTTCGAAATGCTTATGTGAATTTTGTTAAATATTGTGCAGATTTATTCAATACACTGAATGTTTTGTCACATTTAAATTATATGTACCGTTTTTCTTTTTCATGGTTTATGCAATTATGTAGGAGATCAATTGAAATTTCAAGTAGAAGTTCTATCATTGAAAAACGGTTGGAATATTTGAAATTTTCATTTACTCAAAGTCTTTATTCAAGCATTTGCAGATCTTTATCAGAAAAACATAAAATACTATATTCTTTTTTATTGTGTTCAAAAATCTTATTGAATAATCAACAAACAACTGAAGAAGAAATTAAATATTTTGTAACACCAAACCCAAGTTATACTAATACAATTCCAAATTACAAATATGATTGGCTTTCACAAAATATTTGGATGAATATTTATAATCTCAGTAAAACACTTCCTTCCTTTTATGATTTGGCAGATAATTTTTGCTTTAATAATAAGGCTTGGAAACAATATTATATTTCCGAATCACTTGAAGATCACTTAATGCCAAAACCTTGGATTGATAAGTTATCTTTATTTCAGAAACTTATTCTTGTAAAAATGTTGCGTCCTGATCAAATTATAATACAAATTATGAAAATGATAGAAAATATGTTAGGAAATACACAAAATTATTCCCCTAAAATTAAAATATCTCAATCATACGCAGAATCTAATTACTTAACTCCACTTCTATTTATTTTACCTGCTTCTTTAGAACCACTGTCTCTTATCTCTGCATATGCAAAAACTAAAGGCTACTTATCTAAATTTGTTTCTCTGTCCATGAGTAAAGGTGAAGAAGAGAAGGCTGAATTTCTTATTAGAAAAGCTCAAAGAGAAGGAGGTTGGATATTTTTGCAAAATTGTCATTTGACAATTCATTGGTTGGCTAATCTTGAAAAACTTTGTGAAAATTGTAATACTTCTATATCTTTAGATTTTCGTTTATGGTTATCCAGTTATTCTATCAATGAATTTCCAATTAGTATCTTGCAAAATAGTATAAAAATCATGCATGATTATCCTTTGAATATCAAGGAAGCACTATTAAATATTTATCAATCAGAACCTATAATAAATAAAGAATTTTTCAATGGCTGCCCTGGGAAAGATAAAATTTTTTTAAAACTTCTTTTTGGAATATGTCTTTTTCATGTAGTTATACAAGAAAGAAAATATTTTGGAGTTCAAGGATGGAATATACCATATAAATTTGATCATACTGATCTTCAAATATCCATTATGCAATTACAAAATTTCATAAACAATACAGATCATGTACCCTTTGATATTCTTCTATATTTTGTTGGAAAATGCAATTATGGAGGAAAAATTCAAGATGAATTTGATAGTAAATGTTTAGAACATCTTTTAACTGATTATTGCAATCCTAATATAATTAAAAATGGACAATGTGTACATACAGACGACATACAAGAATTAATACCAAAAAGATGTGAATATTACCATATAATTGATCATATTAAGAGGATTTCATCAGATTTATCATTTCAAATTTTTAGGTTTAATAAGAATGGAGTTAGTATTCGTAATACTACAATAGCTAGCGAGATGATATTATCTCTTTCATATATAAATTCTCCAATTTCTTTATTAAATGAAGAATTACCACAAGATCAAGTACTAACTTTAATTAATAATATTAATGATAAGTTATGTGATGCAATCAAAATTAATAAAATTGAAGAAAAATATACTTCTATGCTTAAGGAACCTCTGCAAAGAGTTCTTCTTTATGAAATTAAATCATTCAAATATATCTTAGAAATTATAACGAAGACATTAAATAATTTAAAATTAGCATTAGACGGTTATCTTACTTTTACGGAATCGCTAAAAGAATTAGCAAAAAAGATATGTGAAAATAAAATTCCACATACTTGGGAAAACATGCACATTAATACTGTTGCTGAAAATCTGACAGATTATATCGATAATTTATTAAAACATGCAAGTTTTATTCAAAATTGGATTAATCAAAGATACCCAAAAATTATTTGGTTTGATGCATTATTTCATCCTAAAATGTTTCTTTCTGCAATATTATTAACATTTTCTAAAAAATATAATATATCTATTGAAGAAATCAGTTTCGATTTTGAAATAGAAACGAAGGAAGAAATTGACGAAGAAATTGATAATGCGTATTTAATTTGCGGATTGCATTTATGTGGTGGTCGATGGGACTTAAAGAAAAGTATATTAGTAGAAAATTTTACAAATGAAATCTGGCAAAATATGCCACCTATACGTCTTAAATGTTTACAAAATAAAAAAGATATGCATCAAACTTATGAATGCCCAGTTTATGTAACCAGCGTTAAACATACAGATACAGATGTGAAATTTTCTTCAAAGAATTATATAATTAGTATACCTTTGAAAACTGATATACCTGTAACTTATTGGATAAAGTGCGGAACAGCTTTAGTTTGTCATATATAAATTACATAAAAGATATCTAAATAAAAGCAATCTTTATATAACATAAGTGTATAATTTTTATAATAATATTTATTAATATGTTTATAATAATATTTATTAATACAACAATCAAGACAAATGGAACTATATTAAAATGATACAATTACAGAAATAATTAAAAAGTTAAAATTAAATCAGTATGTGTATTCAAACATTTCGCGGATTCTTTCACTGTGTATATATCCGGTTCAGTTCCATATAAATGGAAGGAATGACAGGTAAATTGAAGAAATTGACGTAAAGTTGAATTATCGAACAAAGGAAATTATTATACGAGGAATTTTTTAAAGCTACAGTTACAAGTATATATTGCGATACATTGCGAATAGTGTAATATTTGCTTTCAATGGCGAATCATGATGAGTTGGTCTCGCAGTTTATAGATACAACTGGGGTTGAACCTGAAGAAGCACGATTTTATCTTGAGTTATCTAATTGGCAACTCGAGGTGAGGCAGCATATTTAATAAATCTTTTATAAACTTTAATGCGAAACGTTATAATTTAGTGTTATTACAGTTATACAGCTTCCTTATCGATCTTCAACGTCAGCTCTTTAACCTTAAACTTATTAAATTTTGATATTCTTGTAGCGCTTAATTGCGTGATTTTGATGTTTTAAAACTGCTTTTGTCATTATATTAAGAACTTCTTTTAAACAAAAAATATTTCACAACGTATATCATACATGTAATAATGTTGCAATATCATGATTAAAACTATTAGATATTTTATTTTAGATATATTGTCAATGCCAATAGTTATCATAAAGGAAATTCTTTTTTAGATTATAATTTTGTAATAATACAATTTATTGATGACACAGTCTATTTTTATTACAGTATTTCAATATCTACATCTAAATGTATCTATTAGTCATTTAAATCATTTTAGGTTGCTATTGACACATTCTATTCTCCTCCGAATTTACCTTCATGGTCTAATGAATCTACTGAAGGTTCGTCAGAAGAAGAACGTGCTGATATTTCAGATAAAAACATAGGAAGTGTAAAATCATCGGAAATGGAAGGGAAATCATCAAAAGATAAAGTAAAACCAAAGTCTAAGTTTGCAATGCTTAGTGACCTTAAAGATAGAGAAAGTAGTCCTGAAGATGAGGAGGGACAAGCATTTTATGCTGGTGGTTCAGAACATACTGGACAACAAATTTTAGGACCAGGGAAGAAAAAGGATATTGTTAGTGATATGTTTAAATCTTGTCAGAGACAATCAATTGCTGCAGAACCAAAACCAAGTGGACAACAAAGACCAAATACCTTTAGTGGTACTGGATATAAATTAGGTCAAACTAGTTCAGATACTGAAAGTAAGTAAGCTTGTTGTGTCTTGTAACAAGATGTATTATATTAAAATAAATATTTGTTATAGTTGTTACTGCAACATCATCTAATCATCAACAATCAAATTCGGGATTAATTACTTTAAAATTGTGGAAAGATGGATTTACTATAAATGATTCTGAACTTCGTTTATATACTGATCCAGAAAATAGAGAATTTCTTGAGACTATAAAACGGGGTGAAATACCACCAGAGATACGTCAAGAGATACAAGGCACTGAAGCTCGTCTTGATATGGAAGATCATCATCATGAAACATATGTCCCTCCAAAAGCTAAAGTGAAAGCCTTCAGTGGTAAGGGACATATGTTAGGGAGGTATATAATACATATTTTTTACTTTATATACAAATTGTAATACATTTAGGCATGTTTAATAATATTTCTGTCTAGTCCTTCTCCAGCTACAGTTGGTATGACAATACCAACAGATCTTGCAGATCAAGCAGCTAATGAATCTCAGGCAAAACAAAAATTAAATTTAGATGAATCAAAACCTGTTACAACATTACAAATTCGCCTTGCTGATGGAACTAGTGTAAAAGCTCAATTTAATTTAACTCATACCATTAATGACTTGAGGCAGTATATAATAACGTATCCTTTCTTAATATTATTATTATAAAGACAGATTAATTTATTATGTATAGAAATATATTATTCTTTAATTCTTTGTTAGTATGAGACCTCAATATGCTATGAGAGAATTTAGTTTATTAACAATGTATCCTACTAAGGAAATCACGGAAGATAAAACTATCGAAGAAGCTGGTCTACAAAATACAACAATAATCCAACGACTGAAATAAATATCTTTTCTAGATCTTTAGTTAAGAAGTTTAAGTGATGTATTAATTAGATGATTCTTAAATATACATTGAAATACTTAAAAATGATATTTCAACACATTTTAATAATTGAGTAGCACTTTAAATATTGTTTATTTTAATTTTAAGTATGGTTTTTGTTATATAACATTTTCGCTAATACAAGAAATATTTCATTGGAGACGAATCTAATATTAAAACTTCAATTAATATGAAATAAAATTACAAAACCTTTGTAAAGTTTGCAATAAAATCATTCAATTTATATGTATTTATTATATACAATTTTTATATATGAGCAACTAGCTATTACAATAGTACAATAAAGAAGATAAGAAGATTTCCTTTAAGTATAGTACTAAACAAGTTATGAAAATGTTTTTATACTACTTCTTTTGATAAATAAAGTATTTAAAGTAAAAAAGTGTACTAATACGTAAAGAATATTTAACATAAAAAATAATATTAGGAAGTTGAAATATTGGAACCATAAATACTGAAACCTAAATAATTTTGCATTGTAACAAATTTTTATATACATGTTATATATACATCATACAATATTATATTCTTATATTTCTAATATCTTATAATTAAATTTTCAGACTAAAATTTTCTTATAAATACATTAAATCTAAGCATCAGTTGCTACTATTTAATAAAAATTTATTTTCTGTTATAAATTTCCTATATATTTGTGAACTCTGTACATCTTCAGTGAATCTTAAAATTGTAGTGTCTTCAGTGCCTGTTTCTATATTTGATTTTCCAGGACAGTACTGATAACGATTTAATATGACTAAATCTTTTCCAATGTCACGTGTATAAATATTTTTTTTAAATACTTCATGTGTATTATAAATATAAATTGGTTGATTATCAGGTATACTTGTGTCATAATGTAATTTTCTAAATATCATTAATGTTACATTTTTATTGCTTACACTATCTGTTTGTTGTGTACAAAATGTCAATGTCTTTAATTTATAACGATCTGCTTTCATTTTAGATTTTTTAAAATCTGTCATTAAATCTGTAAGGGAATGATGATATCTTAAAACTATATACTCTTCCCAAGATAATGTAGTAATATACATAACTTTATTATATGTACGGTACAAACAATCTGCTTGTATCAAATCTTTTATTATAGTAGGATGAGTATTGAGGAAAGGAAAATTCCATGGCACTATTGTATAAGTAAATTTCCAATATGGATTTGGAGATTTAGATAGTTCTTTAAAATTGCTATTATATTGACTTGGAATACCAAAATCATATACTATAAAATTATCCACACCAATTATATCATGAAATTGTATAAAACTAATCATTTGTAACGGTTGTATTGGTTTTGTTAATGATGGTGTTATGCATACTCCGATATTAACATAATTTAAGTTATGTGATTGATTTTTGATTGGTAATATAGGTATATTCTGAAGATCTGAATTAGATTTTGTAAGAAACATTATTCCTATTGGTATCTTATTTTTTGTATACGTACAATAAAAATGATATCCTCTATAATCAATATTTCTACCAGTACTTGTACTATTTAAATTATTACTATTAATTGAAAGATAATTAAAGCTTCCTAAGACTGGTTCAATTTCATTTTCAAATAATATTTGACATTGCATATCCTTAATGCTGTTTGATGAACCAAACCCTATTACTTGAATTTCTTTGTCACGTATATTATATGCAGAATAAACATATAAATCATCATCTAATCTTTGCCAGGCAGAAAGTGGTTCTTCAAATTTCATATCAAATTTGGTAAATACTGGTACATTATTTGTGCAATTCATTTCACTTCTCTGATTTGGCTTACCAAAGTAATTAAAAACTTCTAAAACATATCTTAATTTGTTATATTCATGTCTATAAAATAATAAGGATACTAGACTCACTATGGCAATTATTACAAGTGCAGCCTGGTAATATTTTCGCATATTTCAAAATTTAATGTAATAAATAATGATATAACAATTTTAACAATTAAAATATACAGCGATTTCTAATTTGAAAATTGGACGATCTCAGGCATAAATAGAATTCTGGAACAAAAATTTTATTCAAGAAATTAGATATTAGGGTTACATGAGTTTGATAAACATTCATTTACATACATTTTGAAAATAACATATTTAAGAATTTTACTTTGAGATATGTTGACATATCCTTGAAATATTCCATTTACCGTTTAATCCAATTTTTGATGTGCAACTGTTGAACTTATAATTCATTAATTTTCATTTCTTAGACTATATTATTATGTTAAATGCTTACATCCTATCTGTGATAGATTAAGTGCTTGACCAAATAAAAACTACTAGGTTAGTAATATTTCGCGCCAATTTTTAAAATGATCATACATATATATGTACATATAGGAATACAATATTTATTGTACTTAATATTTAAATTTAAATTTGTTCAAATATATACATTATATATGTTTTCTTTAATATTATTTTTAAGATTTTCACAATAAAAAAAAAACACTATAAATACAATTTTTATATTAAATTTATATTTATTAATATGAAGATAATAATTTATACAATTGCATATTGTTCGTACAACAATTCGCGTACTTTATAGTAATCTTCTGAAATGCAACCTTCTAATATTACTTTTCCAGCCTCGTGCTGCAAAAAAAATATTGTAAAAATATTTATCATATACATGTAAAATATTTTTATTATATAAAGTTATATTTTGATGATACTAAATACACACCCTCCTAACAGCAATAGTATTATTGCAACACCATAAAACACCTCCACTAAATTCAGAGGGAATATTACTTTTGTTCAAAATCTGCTTAAAATCAGACAATTTTAGTTCATTTATAAATGTTGTTTGATGGCCAGGTACCTAAAATTCACGAATACACGAATTTATATATTAAATACTAAAATTTCATTTTTTATAATTACATACTTCGTTTAATGGTAGTGGTTCTAATGTAAGTATTTTATCACTTTTATCTATTGTATCTGTCTCGGTACCAGCAACAGCATCTCGACATATTTGATCGCGAGCAGTTGTCATTGCATCAACCCATGCTACTTCAGAATCACCTTTCCCTTTTGAAAAGTTTAAGCCACTAACAAGTGCATCGGTCAAACGAACCTGAATAAAATGTGATATTTTAATATATACATACATTTTTACAAAAATTAATCAAATTAATCAAATATACTTGGTATATGTGCGTTTCTGTTGTAGCATCTAATGTTTCCCCTCTTCCTGGAATAAACACTCGTGCACCTGCACTTTGGGCTTGTTGAGATAAAATTTCAGTATCTTTTTGTGACCCCCTAACTAGTACAACTCTTCGTGGTCTTAATTGAGCTAAAATTTTCTGTAATGATTCTCCATCGGATCTACCTTCAAAATCTATATATGTGACAGATGCATTAACTGTCATTGTACGTGTAACTTGAATACATTTTGTTGGAATATCAGTAGGTATTTCTGGATGATGAGTAGTATCTTCTTGTTTTGTTTCAAGATTTTCTTTGTTATCATCCACTTCTGGCATGGTTTCTGCTATTTTATAATCTTCTGGTCTATAAAATGCATAAACCAATATAAATATTTAAAATTTTATGATATATGATTATTGTAGAAATACCTTATAATTTCTCCATATTCATCGATTTTTATTTTTTCTTCTACAAATGGAAACATGGGATGTTGTTTTTTACTTTGTTTGAAAAAACCTGGTTTACTTTCTTGTTTCACTAATAAATCGTGTTTTCCTCTTCCTCCACCAACTTCTATTTCATCTTCTGATTCAGAAGATACATCAGCAGTTTCCCTAAAAAGTAACAGAGTCAAAGACGAAGAAATATTTTAATAAATTAATTTTTATATTATATAATCACCTACATTTGTTCTTGTTTCAATTGTTCTTGTTTTAATTTTTCTTTTCTTTGATATTCTTCTAATTCAAGTCCTTCTAACTTAATTCTTCTCTTTACTTCCAATGTAATATTTCTATTACCTCCCTTTTCAACTAAATCTCTTGCAAGTGTTCCTGGTGATGTTCTGCTAGTTATTATAATACTGTTTTGGGGATTGCCACACCATTGCAGAAACAATTCTCTTGAAAAACCACATTCCATATCTGGAGTGCTTGCAAGTACCACCTGCAATATTTATATATAAATTTGTTTTCAATATTTACATGATAACAATTTTGTTTTAGATATTCTAACCTTTGGGCTAGGAACTTGATTTAGTTCTGCCATACTATGACATAGTTGTAAGTGTTTAAATTGGAATGGATTGTTTCTAGCTCCTTCAAAACTTCTCATTAATTTATCACTCATCCATTCTATTTGCGACTTAGCAAATTCAACGACATTGTAACTAACGTTGTTTAAAAGAGCTAAGGAATATGCAAGTAAACCAGATTCTTTATTACGCCATAACTGATCCAGCATATGAGCTAATTCTAATACACGACCTGCTGTGTCAACGCTAACCAAAACATTTCCACCTCCACGTAATGTTTGTAAAATATTTGCTGCAAAATATTGTTGCATATAAAATACTGTAAAAGACTACTGCTAAAATTATCATGAATATTTGTTTTCATACTCATTAATTTTTCATCTCTTGTTCTACGCCTTGCTTGTTGATATGTAGCATTGAAAGCATCTGTTATTAACAAAGATGGTCTCTGGAGCCTTTCTAATTCACAACCATTTAAATGACGTTCTTTTTTATGATTAAAATCAACAGCATATATTATGTCTTCTTCACCAACTTTTACAATTTTCCAAATAGTTCCTCCAATCATATGACCAGCTGGTAAAGGTGTTAAAGTAACTCCATATCCTTTTCCTTTCATTGAAATGCTTTGATTATATTTTAACTGAACTATTTTATCAAATGCTGCATCAACATCATCAAGTGTAAAAAGGTCAAAGTCTTCCATATTATGCCGAGACTATGATAAAAAAAAAAATATAAATGTCCTTTATCTGTATGCAATTCCATTTTATGTTATCATTAAAATACTTTTGATCCAAAATACCTGATACATGTCATACATAAACATTTGTCCCATTTTATATACAGGAATAGTAGCATATATTGGACAATTTAAACCACATTTTCCAACCAAATATGGTAAGGCACCCAGATGCAATGGATCTGGATATGATAAGAGTACTGCATCTATTTGGTGAACATGTCTGAAAAGAATTAATATTGTGCGAAAAAAATAATACTGTACTAAAAATATTTTTTAAATTTCTTTGCACTTATAATTTTTAAAATATCAGATAATAATTTATTTACCGTTTTAATTCTCTTATAAATTCTTGGTCAAAATTTTCATCCCATCCACAATCAAGTAATATTCTTAATTCATCAACTTGTAATATATAACAAGGAGGAGATTCATCCATAGCTCCAGATACAGCATGAAGCTTTATAATTGATGTCATTGTTCCTGTTTTTCACCTATCAAGATATATACAAATAACAAATAATATCTAAAAATTCATTTACAATATGTTCTTATTTTCTAATTATAAAATTCATTGCGCGTATTCTCTATTTAACCTAACATCATGATATAATTGATTATAAATGAATTCATAATCTCCAAAAAAAGCACATTCAATATTAAAGAAAAAAAGGAAAAAGATATTGATTACCGTTGAGTATTAAATATTTCTAGACATCTTAAATATCTAAGAATAAAACATTTCAAAATATTTTCTTAAGTTTGGGAAATGATCAACAAAAAGTAGAATTGAATTCTATCTAAATTCCCGGCATTTCGCAAAAAGAGAAACAAAGTTTGTTAAATTTTGTCAATATTACGCGAATTACAATAAATATTTATAGTAAATTTATAATATTTATAATAATATTTACAAAGTTTGTAATAATTATTACAAATGTATAAGTTAAGCAAAAAAGTACAGGGAGGAATAATTAATAATTACAAATCATCATAAAATATACAACTCAACGAAATTAACAAATGAAGTATAAGTGAATAATTTCTTAAATAATTTGGATACTTTACAGAGAATAAAATTGTATCTTTTTTTAAACTGATATCTGTACGTTTTATTATCTTAACTGTTATTTGCGAACGCTTTCTAAGATTTATGTGTACATTCTCTGTCTCTCTTGTTATCCCGTAGTGTAACGGGAATTTTTCAAGACCATTCCAGTCACGGTGCAGCTATGAGATAGGTAAGTTGAAATTTAACTTTGTTTTCCCCGTAATTCAACAATTACTGGGTGAATATTATATGGAAATTTTATATGAGATTGGGCCACATGCATATAATATGAATATATATGAAAGTAAAGATACGCGATAAAAATAATATGTATGTAGTGGCGGGAGTTTATAAGTAAATAGCAGATCAGCTGATGAGTGACAACAGACGAAAGCGTATCGTTCTTGGTCTTGGTTATGGCGACAAGCAGTTCTGATGGGTCTTGTACAGCACCTGCAGATTTTCAGCTTTCGTCAGAATTGGAAGACGGTGCAAATCGTACAAGTGTAAATTTATTAAAGTGCCCATTGTGCCATAATAATCGTCGAATTTTTTATTGTCGTCAGTGCATCCAAAATGGAGATTTTATCTATTCAACTTCTGTTTATTGTGAACGGTAAATATATTCTTGTAATTTATGCATTTATTGGCCGTTTATTTTTATTCGTTAAAATTTTATTTGATATTAAAATGTTCTTTAATTGTTTCTATAAATAATAACGCTGAATATAAAAATAAATTTTTACTCTTAGTAAATTATCTGGTAGGAGAGATTCGTTACGGAGATACAACGCGTTGGTTCTCAAATTTATCAGTCATACGAATAATATTCAAATATTCAAACAATATTTTGGTTTTAAAATATTCATCTGCCCAAAAAAATTTTATTCTAATTAATATCTGAACAGATTTGCAGATAAACAACTGCGACTTTTACGGTTGAAAGCTGCCAGAACTGAATTAGAAGAAAAATGCATTAAAGCACTTGAAAAACATAAACAAAGGGATAAATTGGTATTTTATACCTAATGTTTTAAAATTAATAATTATTACAATAATAAATTATTATATACTATTTAATTGTTCTTTCAATTTGTAGATATGTGATATAAATACATATAAAGAAAGAATTAGACTACTCCAATCATTAGTAAATGAAACAAGACAAAGTATAAACAGAGGTATATATATCATGATTATCTAATATTTAAAAATACGGTAGACTAAATCAAATTTAATAACATACAGGTAATCAACGTTTAAATGTTCTCAAAGATGTAAACTCCCAATTAGCTTTGAGATTACCTAGACACGAAGAACGAGTAGAAAAATTACATAAATACGTTACTGGTTTGAAAGCAAAACAAGAAAAACAAAAAGAAACTGTAGACAGGAAAAGACAGCAGTTAAAAAAAATTATTAGGACTGCTGCAAAACAATTAATTAAATATATTTTCCCCATATCAGAACTGCAACCTAGTAGAAGGTATTAGTATCCATTAACTTATATCCAAAAAATTATTAGTATTTGTGAAACACATGAACACAAAATATTTAATCACATTTGATAATCAAAATTTATTTACTGAACATTTTTCTACTTGTTTTTATTAAGGAAGCATTTTATAATTACTGACAATTAATAAAAAGTTATCACTTGCTTTTAGTTTATGTAGTAGTGAGGAAGACACTAGTTCAGATGTAACTTGTGCACTAGCAGATGCATCTGGAACTTCATATGTTAGAGGTAGATGGATTAATGACACAGAAAATGCTCTAGAAGTTCAACATCGTATAGTTGCTCCAACACTACCAGGAAATGGAGATTATAGCGCTTATTCTTTATGGGGTACATATCCTGTTTAATTTAAATTTTTTAAATAAATTTTTGAAATATCAAATTTATCTTTTTTAGTGGCAGCAAATAAAGATGGAGTACCAGGTGCAAATAAAGAGACTGCAATGCACAATCCAGCATATAATATCAGTGCTGCTTTAACTTATGCTACACAGTTGGTTAATATTATTGCTTATTATGTTAATGTAAGACTACCATATAAGCTTGCTTATGGGTATGTGAAAAATATTTCATTGTTTATATGCAAATATATTAAACATTGAAATAGAGATAAACTGTTATTACTTAAAATTCATTTTTTAAATATTTTTAGTGAATTTTGCTCTAGTGAGTTGACAGATCAAAAATTTGCCAAAAAAGTAGCAAGGCTGAACAGTAATGTGCTACATTTATGTTTCACACAAAATACCAATATTACAGTTTTACATCCAATGCATACTCTACAAAATTTAATGCATTTGCTAAATACTGAAATTAGTGATCTTGGAAGGTATATATTTATTACATTTTTTATTATTATTAATCACTAATAGATTATATAATGATTATATATTATGACAGAATTGGTCCAATGGAAGTTGAGTCAAATATAGTAGCACAATTACACAGTCAATTAGTTCCTGATTTAGAAAATAGTGACGATTCTGCATCTGATGAAGAAGAAGATGCATTTAACTGGGATTGGGAAGCTGTAAGTTTTTTTTTTATACTCATTTATAAACCTTTAATGTGTCAATATTTTAAATATATTATATAAATATTTAATTTTTATAGGTACCAAATGTTGCTTGTCCCGAAATGATAGTTCCAATTCCTGGTGCAATGGTTAGTCAACAATCATCTAGCATGCAGGTGAATCAAAGTGTTGCTGGAGGTTTAGTTACAAGTGCTGCAGCTAGTATAGCCTCTATTTGGCGTGGTTGGACTACAAACAAATAGACTGTTCTATTTAATTAACAAATCTCTTTTTATACAAATTACGATTACATATAAAAAAACATATGTAACAAAAGACACAAAATACTGAATTGACGAATAAGGACTTAAAAATAAAACATACTGTAAATGTATGTATAAATTTATTATTTTATTACGTCTATGATAACAAATTTTGTTATCGCGGAATTAAGCTATTTAATGTATCATAAATGAAATAATAGATTCATAGATGTATTTACAGTATATTATATTTTTAGATATTTATATTCGTGAACTCAATATTCTGTCTCTCGTTATATATGTTTTGATAAGTAAGTGATAATTTTATTCAATTATAATATTAATTACATATATGTATACATATGTGTATGTATATATATGTGTACTTATTAAGAAATTATGAAATTCATTTTTCTTCTATATAATTGTAATAATAATTCTTTTTTACAAAATATAAAAAAAGTAGAATTAATTCTCTTGTAATTGTTAAATCTAAAATACAATATAATGTACAATTGTCTATTATACGAACGAGTAAAATTATGTATAGTTGTATTTGATTAAATGATTTTATACGTGTTCATTTTTCTGAAAATTGTGTGTTTTATAAACTATATGAATAAAATTATTTTATGAAATTATGATTGGATAATACATGATAAATCTAAGCTGAAATTTGTGAACTGTGTCAGTTGATAGGTATATACATTTGAGAAATTTAATAGCCCACATTTTGCTTTATGTGATTTGATTAAATAAAAATGCAAATTTAGTTCTTAATAAGATATTCTTTAAAAATTTTTTAAAAATTAAAAAATATTTTGAATTAGTTTAATAAGTAATTAATGATAAAATGTTAATCGCAAATTACCGAGAACGCGTCGAATCGCACGATTTGGCGAGTTTGGCGTCATTTACGGGAACTGACGAGGTTGACCAAAATCGACTATTATTATCGAAAAAGAACTGCGAAAAGAACAACTGCTAAAAAAGAAGTATAGCTCGAAGAAAAGCGCCCGTTGCACTGTCTGCGAGCCTATAAAAGTTGGCTAGACGGCACTTCAATCATTTTAAAGCACGGATTGTTTGATTATCCTAACGTAACTCGTCCCAAAATGCTAAAATCAAATGTCGATCGAATGATCGACGCCAACCGTTCCTGAAGGACACTAAACAAAACAGGTCTAGTGGGTCGACGAAGCTGACAACAACAGATCGTTCTCGGAATAATACGGCGAGAGCATCGTAAACATTAGGACTTTTTGTCAGCACGAAAAAATGTGCACGTTATTGTCCTAAATTATAAACATTCTAATAATAAGTTAATAAATTTTTATATACTGATAAGAACAACATTCTGAACCGTTATGTATTGCTTTTCCGATACCAATTGCTTATATTATTCAAAACGTTACAATATGTTTTATTTAAACAAAGTTTCATTGTGATATAAATTAAAATTTATTTTTTAGTAATTCTATCATATTTTTTAATTCAGTAAATATGGGGATTTGAAATATAAATTTGTATATTTTTGGACTATATAAATAAAAATCCATCAAATAGAATTGATAAATATTTATTAAGTAGAAGAGGATAATAATATACAACATTAACTATATGTTCAAAGTAAAAACCTGTAGTATATTGCTATAGAGAACTTGATCAGATTTTTTATCTTTACTTAAAAATTAAAATGCTTTGTACAATAAATTTTGTAACTGAATTTAGTATTACAATGCAACTTCCAAAAGTAATTAATCAGAAATTAATTATGCCTATAATATCATTCGATTACCATTCCACTGTATGATTATCATTCCAACTCTTCTTGTAGAACTCCAGTAGTTGTTGCTTGATATCTCATTTTCGTGATTTTTGGATTCACCAGTTTATTGTATATCACATGTATCAAATTGTATACATATTACACTAACTGGCTTGAGAATTCTGTAAGCATATCATCATATAGTATTTTAATTTTTATACACATATGTTTTAGATTTAGAATAAAATACTTATTATTAACAATTAAAAAAAAATTTTTTTTTTAAAGATAGTATATTATGTTTTACATTATAATTTCAAAAAATATAAAACTATAGATTATATATTTTAAGCCTATAATTAATGAATAACGATTAATAAATATTACATTCTTAAAATATTCATTACTGACTGATTTAAATATATTTAAATATTAAGATAATGAATAACTATTTTTATGACATCAATTTAAGTTATAAAATACATTACATACTTACACTAGTGAAATATTAAATGTAAACAAAGATGATTACCTTGAAATATTAGAAAATATGGCAAATATTAAAATAAATTATATTTAAGAATATTTTTTTATTTTTCAAGTTTAATTTGTATTTTAAAAATTGAGTAAAAATATTTTACAATAGCTATGAAACACATTTCTACATATTTTCTTTAATAAATTGTAAATTTTATATTTGAAATATTTTATTTTTATAGTTATTTTATTAATTGTTCAATGTTTTCTTTAAGATCGCGAAAACATTGTATATAATTTAAATTGGTATATTAAATTTTAAATATTATAATAAATTATAATAGAAAATATCCAAAACCTTATCCACAATATCCAAAATATCAAAAATTTTTAAATACAAAATTTCTTTTACTATTATTTTCAACAAAAATCTGAATGGATCATAATCAAAAAGCAATACATAAAATAAAATGTTATTTGAACTAATATTATGTTTAAAGTAATCCAATGTCTAATAAAATTTCCAAACAATTTTGTTTTGATTTTTAAAAAGCAATCTAAAATATACGTGGCATATAAAAATAAAGAAAAATTTTTTTAAATATTCAAAGCTGCAAAATGCAAATTATGATAGAATGTATTAATTACTTAAAAACTTATAAAAATTTTTGCAAGATAATAAAAGTCAACATTCGCAAAATGCACACATTTATCAAAATAACAATTATACTCATTAAATATATGTTTAATTATGTATATTATATACAATAATGTAGATAAATAATATCATATCAGTAAATCTATGTATGATGGTATTATACATAAATTGTATTTTTTCTTATAGTGAAGTCAAAATATTAAGATTTTCAGTATAAAATACATATTCATTCCAAGATCTTAATTGTTGTTTACATTAATTGTAAGTGCATACTATTTACATATATATGTTTACATATTATCATATATAATTATGCAAATATATGTATAATGTTAAATAAATAATAATATGATTGTATTATTTTAATTATAAATAAAATAACTTTATCATGGTAAAATAAATGAATAAATTCAACAATTAAGATCTTGACACATTTACAGTTAAAATAGATAATTGTACACAATATCAAGCATGTCACATTCCAAAATTATTTTATGATGCATTAAATACTACACTGTAAAAATTAAGAAGAAACTTTATTAGTAGAGAAAAATTAGGGAAGGATCGTCTTTATTTACATATACATAATATATGTGGACAGTAAAAGCATTTTCCCTTAAAAAAGAAAAAGATTATATAAAATGTCAAAATTTTATATTTCCAACTGTACTATTAATTTACACAACTTTATTGCCAAATGTTGAAGTTAGAATACAGAAAGCAAATAGTATTTTGTATTAACTTTATTTATTTATACTTTAATATAATTATTTTATATTAACTTGTTTCTAGATACAATTTTGAAATAATAAATTTTTTATTTTTTTGAACTGTATTTTTTAGCATTTAAATTAAATTATGTGTAATTATATGAAATACTAATAGTTATTATTAGAATCAATAATTGGAGAATTAAACTTGAATTGTAGGAAAGGATTTGAGTACTGTTGAAATGTAACCTGAAGAATGAAAATGGGATATGAAAGGATTATAGAACAAAATAATTGATTTAATAAAGTTTTTAGAGAAATTATTGTTTTTTTAATTAAAAATCTAAAAATTAAACATAGGGTAATAAGCATTATGTAATTTAAGATAATAATATGCAAATTAAAAAAAATTTCCAATTATTTGAAAAAAAAATATATATATAATTCAGGTACACGCATTAAAGAAATTTTGCTTCTTTTTATTTTGCACACCATGTAATATTTCTGAAATGCTGATTTTTTTAAAGCAAATAAAGTGAAAATTATTATTGTAAATATTGTAAAATTATTATGCAAGCACATTTAATGAAATTGTTTGAAAACAAATATTTAAGATACATACAAAAGAAAAATTACAATAAGTATATACAAACCAAAAAATAAAGAACGATCTTTTAAATCTTATAAATGCACATATTTTCTATCATTTCTGTTAACTAATAGCCCTATTATGTGTAGTACTGATATCTATAATATTATAAGTACAAAATGTAAAATAAATTTATTATTTAATAATGATTAAATTATTGTTAGCATTGCTGTCTAAATAAATGAACTTATAAGATTAAGGATTATACCAAATATAGAATTAAAGAATAGGACTACTAGTAAACGAAAGGTAGAAGAAACACATGTTAAAAATGTATTTTGGATTTATTTTTATAACCATTATTATCATTATCATGAGTATACTATTACTTTTGTTATTACTAATACTTGAATATATAATATTCAATAAAAGATTAGTAATAAACTCATGATTGCATGTATCAAAATGGATAAAGTAGTTTACTTTTTAATTAAAAATACACAGGAATTTCGATAATTTTTGCATTTAAATTTTTAATTTTAATTATAAACATATTTTTGCAGTATGAATATGTAATAGCTAAGGCATGATAGTTTAATGAGATGTTATTTAACTACCTTGTAATTTTGAACCATTTATACGTGAATAAAATTGTATATTTTCAATATTCTGTCACAACGATTAATTAATGTTTCCAAAAATGTACAAAATGAAAATTACTATCTGAGCAAACTCTATAAGTAAATGGTCTAAGATATCAGTAAAATATATTACTACTTTTATACACTTCATACTTCATTATTAGTAAAAATAGAGGAGATAACTCTATGCAGGGGATTTGTTATTTATTTTAATATATTACTTTAAAACGATAATAGACTGTTAACGTTAGTTAATTTCAGGACCATTTTTAACCAGGAACGGTAATATATACTTTGGTATATGTATGCTAGATTTATATGAGGATGGCCTTGACAGATAGTTTCTGTTACACAAATTTTTGGAGGTACAAAATTAATCACATAACAAGATAAAGGAATAAATATATGATTACCTGATACATGTGGTGTCATTAACCACTTAAGTCTCTGTGTACAAATACATTAATGTCTTCAGAAATAATGTACTACAATAGTAATATATCTTAAGTACTATACTTACTTGCCCTCCATTATGTTTATACGAGGAATTCTGAAATCTATATCTTAATGATCTCTATATTCCTTTTTTCATTACAAGTGATATAATATTTAATATTGACTTTTTGTAACTAATATTGTTTTTATTCAATCATAAAATTTTAGCTATATTGAAATTAATTAATTAAATAATTTGAACCTAAATTTAAATGTTTATACTTCTTTAAAAATGTAATATTTAATACTAAATTTAAATATATATAATGCAATTCCAAATGTCTTAAGAAACTAAAATCAAGGCCTCCTTACTACATTCCTACTGCTCGATTTTTAAAATGATCTAAATAAAATATTGATACACAATTTCCTGGATATAATTTTTATGTATATACATAGTATTGATATTTCTAAAACTAAATGATCAGTTTTTCTACTCTTCTAGCGCATGACAAAATTTGGGACCTTTTCAAATAGAATGAACAGCTATATAAATATACGTAAAATTTATTAAGGAAGAGCATGAAAAACTGATCTAAGAAGTAATTATTCTGAGCGCAAGTCTAGAGCTACAAAAATATATAATTGTTTATAGTAATATTATGCAGTTTTATCAACATAGCAAGAGGATATGATATAAATATTCTACCCAGTGTTAATATTAATGGAAAACTAGATTTGTGAAATAATTTAAACTTACAAAAGGTAGTAATATAAAAAATTACTATTAAAAAATATGTTATTTTTTTACTTTGAAAACTTGTTTAATAGAATATGATTAATTTAAAATGTATTGAAATGATGTAAATGATTTATACTTTATTATATTAACAAAACTTTCAATAATTTTCACATTATCTAGTTTTTCATAGAATATAAATATTTGTATATATTCTCGATAGAATACTTAAAAATCCTCTGCTTATAACTGTAATATAAACATTTTTTACTCCTTGGATGAAGAATTTATAAAATCCAACAATAGATAGTGATAATTATGAAAACCACCAATACCAATAGAATCAGCTGCAAGATGTACTTTGAGTTCATTTTTTGCATTCTTTTAAATTTTCAATTCTTCAATGTTGTAGAATATTTGTTAACTAATTCACAATCCACAATATCTTTTTGTAAAAAAGTGATAACATAAAACAAATTTCGTTTACTTTTTCATATTATTAATTAATTTCATGTTATTTAATTTGTAATGTATTAATAGATAAATAATTCTAAAAATAATTTTAATAAATAATTTCAAAAGTAAAATCAACATTTCTCATCATTGGATATCTAAAATTATTTATAAATTTGAAAAATTACTTGTATATTTATCTTTTTGAATGGGTGAATGTATAATAGTTCAGGATTTTTATATGTAGTTTTAAACTCTAATTTATTTTTACCAACAATAACGCACTGCAAGAATGTAAGATCTGCACATGTTTAGTAGCAGACTTAGTTTATGTAAGATTTACTTTATAATATATCAGTGTACTTCTCTTGCAAGTTAAAAATGAATCTCTTTTTACATAAGAAGAGATCAATAAAATAAAGATATTTCCGATAGCATCTGCATCGTTATATGATTATGGAACATGTCTAATGATTACAATTGTAATTTGATGCAGTATACAAAAAGGTCAAAGGTTAGTTATATCAAAGCGAAATCGTATCCAAGACTTACACTATCCGCTCGGCTGGGACATACTTCTCGAAACACTTGTTCAATGAAAGGTTGTCTAAAAAGAAAAAAATTTTTAAGTTATTGTTTTAATTATTAATCTTTCGATAAAATTTTATAAAATCTATAAATAATTCTGTTTTGATAATTACGATTAAATTCTAAAGTAGCAAATACTAAAAGAGCAATTCAAATTTGGAGTTAAGCCAAATATAACATTCCTATATTTCTTTCAATCTTAGAAACATTAACCTTAATATAATTTTTTATAACCAATTAATAGAAAGTATGATAAAATAAAAGTTAATAATTCAAAAATACGTACTTAGCTGAAAGACCACCACCAGGAGGAAGATTAGGAAACTCTTGGTCCACAAGAAGTTGTAATAGTTTCAAAAAATCAAATTCATTTTTGTCCTCTTGCTCAGCAACTATTTCTATAAATATAATAAAAAAAATTAAATTGTTTTTATTAAGAATGCTTATAATTTAAAATTGTTAAAAATTTTTTAAATATTAATTATTTTGTAAATATTATCTCTATCATTATTGCATATTGTGCATATACTATCACATTTGTGCAAAAAACATTTAATTAATGTCATTTAACAAATTAAATGAATTTTGTAGTAACTGATATATATTTTTAAAAATATTAATTATTTATTGTATAACTTTAATATGATTTGGTATTTTATTATTGAAATAAAATATAAACATATAACTACAAATTCATGCATCTACTTAGGACTGGAAAAGTTAATGCTTTGGTACATTTCTTATGGAAATCCTGGAAATAGAATCCGGTCTTAAGTAGACACATTGGTATTTATATTTATGTATAAATAAATATGTTTTTAATAACCTTTTTAAATTTATCCACCATTGGAATTGTATAATCTTATACACACACACACACACACACACCCCACATATATATATTATATATTATACATATATACATATATATATGTTTGTTGCAATGTTCCTCCATAAGAAATGCATTATTAAAAAATGAAGGTACTGTAGGTAAAATATTTCTAAACTTTCATAAAAAGATGTTTACCTACCTGTAATACCACTTAAATATGATTAAAAAGAGGAACAAACAACTTTTAAATACAAATTTTACTTACAAAAAGGTTTAAAAGAATACCAACTCCAAGGGTGGAATGCATTTTTAAGTAAAAATAATGATTGATGTTAAAAGAGTTTAATTAAAGGAGAAACAATTAATACAATTTAACAGCACACACAGAGAGAAAAAACTAACATTATATATAAATAATTATCAATATATGTATAATCTTGCTATCTGTTTAACAGTTGAAGCAAGAAACGCATTGTTAATACTAATATAATACTGTAATAAATTCTAATAGTAATAGCACAATATTGATATGTTCAAAAAATGTACATACTTTATTTGTATGTACGTCTATAACAATATCTCAATTAAACAGAAATCATGTTAAATATTCTTGGATTTACAAACAGTTTAAATATTTTGTTTTTACAAAAAACATTCCATTCTATCCTACAATCTATTCTTCTTTCCAATCTATTCTACATAAATTTTTATAATTCTAACAAACAGTTGATTTTCATCATATATTATCACAAAGATTTTAAAATTGAAAATACAAGAAAATTGCACAAGTCAAAAGACGAATATTAAAAAAATTCAAATTTACACTACATAAGAAGTATTTATAAAAACTTCAACTACATCTATTCACGCTGTACAAATATTAAAAATGAGAATTGACACAAATTTTTGTAGAAGTAAATTTTAAATCTCAACATTACTTATTGCTTTTTTGCACAAGTCTTTTATATTGTACAAATAAAATTAATTATAGAACTAAAATTTGTTCAGTTATTTTACTGATATTGCACACAATTCATATAATACTTATGCTGTATTATATTTGGTAAACATAAATATTAGATTTCTAGATAATAATGTTGTAGTTAATTGTTTGTTTAAAGACATAAGTCATAGTATGAAAATACATCTATCGCATAAGAATAAATTTTCAACATTTCTTAATAAATATGTTAGTGTGTATATATACACACATATCTCTTTAAAAAAAAAATAAGAGAGATATAAGTGAAAATGTGATATTTATTAGAAAAATATTTTCATTAATAAATAGTGTATATAATAAGTAATTAGTCCATTAAAATATTACTATATTACTATATTAGAGTAAATAATTTATCAAAAGAATAAAAATTTTGATAGTGCATCTCATATTCAAATATTGACATTTATAGAAATATTTGTTTGTCTATATATTCTGATTTTAAGTTAATATAATTTATCTATCAAATAAAATATTTCTATATCTTTAACGAAAAATTAAAATTAAAATTTGAGTACCAAACTTGTAAAAAATACTTGTAAATATTTGATACAGATTTGTACTTATAAATATTATACCATCATAATGATTGTATTTTGAATTGTACTAAAATTTCATTATTAGATAATGATATTAAACGTTGCTCTTCACTTGAGAGCTATTAGAACGTCAAGTATGTGTGTGATATTGTGATTTTGTATTAATGCAACAGCAGAGAGAATATAATTGATTGGAATATGGAAATGTTAATGAACCTTTAATTCTCCTTTCAATGGCCATTTCAAGCTCAGCTTCTTTTTTCTGTGCTTCTGGATTTGGTTTTGGAGCAGCAGGAAATGTCACCAAAACTATACTCATATTATCTCTGCTACCCTGCAATAAAGAAACCATTTGTAATAAATAAATTAGGTGAAAAGAAATATTATTTATCAAATTTAACAAATAATTTGATCTTTATCAAACATATTAATTATTAATAAAACGTTTTTAATTTCTGAAAATACATTAGTAATAATATTTGTAATTATTCAATAAGTACACAAAAGAAACAGACAATTAATAACACAAGAAAAAAAAATATAAGGCAATTAATAAAAATAGGATGTTATCTAAAGCTTAAAATTTCTAACATATTGATGTTGTTAATTAATATTTAATATCATTAAATATTGAAAATTATAGATTGAGTTCCAAAATAAATGGAAGAATATAAAAATATTTTTCAATTCATATGCATGTTTTAAAATTTAATATCAATATTTTTAATGCTAAAAATATTTATATTGATACACCTTTAGTAGCAAAAATTCAAAATACATGAGAAGCTTTAGACATCATTACCTTATACAGACAGGTGTCTATAACCTGGTTCGTAACTGCTTCCAGGTCATCTGTAAGCAGCAGCCTTGAATGTATAAAATTACATAGATCTTCGTTGTTCATTACATCCCAAATACCATCACATGCTAAAACTAGAAATTCATCGTGTTCATCGTCTCTATCTCGAACATATATTTCTGGTTCTGGAGACACTAACTGTTCACAGGGGCCTCGATCTCTCAAATTTTTGTACTCATAATCTCCCAATGCACGAGACACAGCTAAAGCTCCATTAACTCTTTGAATCATTACACTACCACCAGCATTTTGGATTCGTTCTTTTTCAGCAGGTAAAACAGGCTTATGATCTCGTGTTGAAAAAACTGGATCTCCTGCTCGACAAAGTACAGCTCGAGAATCACCACAGTTGGCAATATATATGTTTCTGGGAGATATAAATGCACAAACAACTGTAGAACCAGATTTTTCTGTGCCAGAATTCATTTCTGGTAATTCTCTCATTTCATCATCAAGTCTAAGAAAACCAGAATGAATTCCTTTAGGTACATCTTCAGCTTTAAACTCTTCCGTTTGCATGATACGTTCTAACAAGTGTTCCGCACTATGAGCTGATACTAATGCTCCAGCATGACCATCAAATACTGCAAAGTAACTCCAGTCTGATAGACCACCTTGTAAACCAGTTATTGCTCTATGAGCATCTTCCATTTCCATTCTCCAACCTTGCATGCTGGCAACACCATAATGTAATCCATTGCCAGAGCCATGTTCATTGTATTTATCTGTTTTTGGAGTGTCCAAAAGTGCCCCCATAGTATTTACTTAGCAATAGCAATCAGCTTGATTAATTTGTTTTTCTCTTTAAATATTATTTGGTCAGCATCTTTTAATTAATCATTCAAATTACACTTTTTGAGTTTTACCTAAAATTATAAGAGTAGAATTGATAGAAAATCTTAAATTTTTAATATAGAAATCAGACTGAATATAATAATATAAAAATATTAATTTAAATCGTAAGTAGAATAATAATATGTTTAACTTATTTATGTGCATGTATCATGGTATTACTTAGAATTTTATTTCGATTATCTTTTTATTACAGAAGTTTATCGCGATATTATTTCATTTTATGACTATAGTTTTAATTTAAACGGAAAAAAGGAGTAATTAAAACACAACATCGTTCTAAGATCGAACATAATGTCCAAGATAATTTCGACCTACAGATATTTTAAACGAAAAAACGCTAACGCTTATGCAAATGGAAACATTTAAATTACGTGTAATTACGTTCACTGTATAATTATTACAGTAGCCTCATCAATGCTATAAATTAATTGAATACAGAAATGGAAAATCTCGCAAGCGTAAGCTGTATGAGATTCTAATAAGAAACTATTTGGCAGTGCCAAATTTTTCGATTAAAATAGTTTATACCTCAGTCTGCATGTTCGCAAAACTTACGTAGGGAGATCGTGACCAAATATCATCGTTACTTCGCGAAAGTATATATGTGTAGAGCGTGGTATTGCTAATAGACTTGTTTCATATCACTATCACCATGTTCTTTTACTAAGCTCAACACACAGAACCAACGAAATCGACTTGCATGAATGACGGATATACACTAGGTGTATTTTCTGCGCATGCGTCGGTTATTAATAGCATGCCTCATGGCGTCATAATTCGCCAATCAAAAGCCCACGATTTCCGCTCAAGCCTGGGCAATCATACAGGATCCTGAAGTAAAATTAACTCGCGCGCGATACTGGCATTAGCTCTTACTAACAAGTATATAAACAAAAACACGAAGTTTTTGTCGATGATAAATTGTACTGTCGCTGATTATTACGTTTATCAATATTGTTATAGTTGGTAAACAGTCCACTTAAATTTCAAAATTTTGTAAGTATATATAGTGTCTTGTTGATTTCTTAAAATATAATTTAACGAATTTCTACTAATCATATTATAATGTAAATAATTTTGTCTATAAAAAATTATTTTATAATAATATTTATTATTTTATTGGCATATGATTTTTTCTTACATATAGAGTTTAAAAATTTTTGTTTTTCCGCAAATAAATTTTTTTGGTATAATTATTATTTTCCACAGATTTATTTGTTAGATTATTTATTTGAATTTGTTTGATTCTTTTATTAATCATAAACAGTATAGATATTGCATTTGTAAAATGTTACTATACGATCTTATTATTTCGCTAATAAAAATGGCGGGTAATAGAAGCATTTTAATTTAGGGTTATATTATGCGATGGAATCTACAAATTGAGAAATAATATACAGAAATATTGTATTATTGTAATAATTATATACTTTATAATTATTTAAAATAGATCTTTTTAAACACTATATACACATTACAAAACTATTATAAGCATTATATTAATTATATAAAATAAATGTAAGTATATATTTAATAATTTAGATATCAATTCATTTAAGTAATGAATATGTAATAGACTGATAATATATTTATTCTATATTTAAATTTTTTTTATCCTATTTTTTAAATGTATAATTAATATATAAATAATAATTATTTATAAATAACATAGAATGTATTTTATACATTTTATACTGACAATATATACTTATTTATAAGGTTTTTAAATGCATATACAAAATGCAAATATAAAATTATATTTTTATAAAAGCAATTTAATTCATCATTGTCTCAACATAAAAATAGTTAAAAAAAAAAACAATTATTTGTGCTCCTAGAATAAATAAAGTTAAATAAACTGATGAAAGTGTATTCCTATGTATCTATTATATATAAGAAATTTATATATATTTCTAACTATTTTACATTTGTTACAAAACCAAGATTCCTAGGAATCATGTACTGTTTGACTATTTCATCTGTTAACTTATTCTTAGCTTCTTGATGTGCAAGTACCAAAGGCTGTAATACTTCAATTAATTCTTTTTTAAGTTCTCCTGTTAAAATTTCTCCACTAGTATAACCCTGAAAATTTATATATTATTATATATTTGTATTTATTGATATTAAAGAATACATTTTTTCAATTTTTGTTAAACTTACTTTCCTAAGTTGTTCCAATTTTTCATCATCCTCTAGGAAAAATCGTAACCATTGATATGATATATCAATATCACAATTACCTCCTAATTGTCTATGTTCTTCAATAGTAGCTTGTCCTCCTGAGAATGCATGTTTGTTAATTTTATTTTTTATTTGCTTAGCAGTATCTGTCATAAATATTGCAGTTTTATCATCACTAGATGACATTTTTGTTTTAGAGCCTTGTAAAGCAGGGAAGAATATAGAATGTAAGAGAGCTGGTTTTGGATAGCCAATTCTTGGTGCAACATCTCTCATCATTCTGAAGTAGGGATCTTGATCTATAGCACATGGTATTAAACAATGAACTTTTGCATCCTTAAAAATAAAAGGAAAAGTTCCAGAAATTGCTGGAGCAGCTTGAACTGCTGGGAATGAGATTTTTCCAATAGGATCACTGTCTCCAAATCCAAAAATACCTTTTACTTGATTAAATGTAACACTTTTTTGTATTCTAATTATATTCTGATAAAATGCAGGATTATTTCCAACATGTTCTAAATTAGAAAAGATAAATGTATTTTCTGGTTTAAATCCAAGAGCAATAATGTCTTTAGCATTATTATAGGACAATTTAATTGCATCTTCTATTTTTAAGTTTTTCCATATTGCTTTTTCATCATCAGACAGTTGTATGATTAATGGAACATGAAACACTTCTTGAAGCCACTTACAAAATATAAATGGAACAAGATGTCCTAAGTGCAAAGAATCTGAACTAGGTCCTCTACCAGTATAAAGATAAAAAGGTTTTCCTTTTTCATAAAAATTTAAAATAGTATTCATATCTCGGTGAGAAAAGAATATTCCTCTTCTAAGAAAATGGTGTGGTTTTTGTCCTGTAATTTTCTCAAATCTGGTCAATAGTTCCCCATCGATTTTGGAACTTCCAAATCTTTCTATAATAAAAAAAAGAAATATATCTTTTAGGAAAGTGAATTTACATGCTAAAAATACATTAAATACATTAAATTTTCTTTAAAAAAATATGAAAGGATTTATAACCTACGAAACAAAGATTATAAATAATGATACGTAATTTTATTTCGAATGACAAAAATACTTTTTAAAGCTTGTTATGAAAGATATTCTTTGTGAAACTCACTAATAAGTTTATCATAATCAATTCCAGTTTCATTTTTAGTTGCAACATCCCAAGGTGTTACAATATCCTCTTCATCTGTCTTCCCATTTAACGTTGATGTATCAATTTCAACTTTCTCTGTTGTCATTTTCCCTTGTTTTTAATTACTTTTCGACTTTTAAGTACGATCAAGCAAAAATTTCTGTAAGATAAGTATATCATATGCTATGTAGAGTTGGTTACAAATCAACAAGGTTATGTCTATCGGTCTCTCCACGATATCTACATAGATACCTGCGCACGCAATTTAATTGTAAGGTACAAAGTTTCATTAACTGTACTTTTTTCTGCAATTGTATTATAGTGATTACAAGCATTATATTCATTAATTTTATTTCGTATATTAAATTTATATTTTAATTATAATTATTTTTACGAGATTCAAGTCAAAATAGTAAGTTTAATATTGTATTTTTAACTATTAACTAACGTCATCTCACGGTGATAAATTCAAATAAACATTGATCTTCTTTATTGTTAAATCTTTTATTAAAGAATTTTATTACAATCTATATAAAAGTTTTGATACGATGTATATAAAACTTGTATTTTTGCAATATTTTATTATTTCAATATATAATTAAGTTGTAAGATAAATTATTAATTCAAATGAGTTTTATTCAGTCAATCTTATATAAATTCAATATGTTTTGCATAACACAATGTAATATATTTCGAATACTTCCATAGATATTAATTTATAAATGAAAATATTCTCGTTTCTTTATTCTATTCATTGCCAGTTGAATTTTATTCGTGCGCGCTCAAATCCCCACTACATCAAATTTGCTGCGCGAATCTGTTGCGCGGAGGGTGTATTGTTGAAGATGGCGGTGTTAAGATCTCGCGTGTTTCATCTTTTATACTAACGCTACTAAAATATCGTTTAATTAGTGTACGTCGTTTAATTTTTATTTACAAATTTATCGAATATTATTATAATTTGTATTTAAGTTTTTTTTTTTATTCTGATTTTCTTTCTTAGTCGTCATATTTACTGATTTAGATTGTGAGCTCACTATTTAATTTTTATATAATTTGTTCCTTGTATTTATTTGAAAGTTTTGGTTTTCTTTTATGTAGATTACTGATTGATTTGTTAAGAGAAGATTATCGAGGGAAACTTCGAAATTCAAAAGGGTCCTACCAGTGACCAATGATAAATTCTACAGTTTCTCATGGAGGTAAAATAATATTTGATTTATTTTAACAAAGGTAGATATATTTATATGTTTGGATTTTTGGTATTCGATGATTGGTATTCGATCCATATATTGTAATAAATAATTCGATCCATTTATTGTAATAAGTAATTTCCAGAAAGGGACGCTATCATGGATAAATTTGAATGTTCTGCGCATTACATCGTTTGCGTATTGCGCAGCTTTATTTAACAGCCTAAAAAAGGGCGCGATATTTGATTAATATTTGATTAATATGAAATGCTTAACGTGTAAATAATGTTTAATTTCTCGAATTTAAGTTTTCATGTTAGAGTTCCAATTTTTATAGTAATTAGATTTATTTTAAATAATTTTCTTTCTATTCTTTAAAAAGAGTCCAATGATGCTTCGAAGTTAGAAATGTAAGAGACTTTGTATTTCATTTAATTCTGTACCTTAATTCTGATTTGAACTTTTCATTATCTTAAACTTTCTAAATGATTAATACCATTTTTGGAAAACAAATTATATGTATTCTATTGTTTTGTTACAGATTCTTATTTGACGACGAGATGATTTCCTATTGGGCAACTATTATATCGACTAATATTAGATAATATTCTTCGCATCTAATTGTAAGTTACATGCATTTTTATTCCTCTGATTACTCAATCACGTTATAGAATAAAAGATCCGATAAGCATAATGACCGCGAATATTTACTGTTCTCTTGAGAAACTTTTATGTTTAAAACGTTGTTAAAATATGCTCTGATAAAGAATCGTTTCAATATATTTCTATTAATATTTCATTTAAGCATTGAATTTTGTATATTAATTGTTGATTTTTTAAATTCAATATTTTAATAATTTGTTGAATTTATTAAAATAAATTTTAAGCAAAGTCATTTAAATTTTAAATAGAATGAGAAAATACAATATCGAAGAACATTAGTCCGTTATATAACAGGTCATCATCTTTTTAGCTCAGGATTTTCAGGTTTAACTCTTTCCGTGCTCTTTGCCAGGATCTCATTCACGTGCTTAGTTGTTGCTTGGGTGGGAGAAAGGCAATGGGCATGGTGATCATACTTTATAAGCTTAACAATTTTTCAGCGACTATTATCCTAAATAATAGTTCTGAAATAATAATAAAATTTACAAGTAATCTCGACATACACATAATTATGAATATTTATAAAATACAATCACTAAAATTGAAAATGAAAAAAAATCAAAATATTTACGTATCTTTATCACATTTCATGCAATAGTCGCTAATCATTCAATTTCAGGAAAATGGTATGTATGTGTGAATGTTGTATGCGACATGCGCCCCCGGTGTCGGGGACATTGCCTTCTTTAGTGTAGGTCCCGGGTGTAATTAATAGATTTATAATTTGTGATTCTGTTTTTATTTGGATATCTCGATATTTACAAAGAACGATAAAATGTTACTTCATAAAAATATATCAGTGCCTCTCGTTTCGACAAGTGATCATTTATTTGTACAGAACCTCCAGTTTGTGTGTATTATAAAGCGCTATTGATTCATAACTTAAACTCAAGCGCACAAGAACGAACTAAAATTTTCATTTGTCTGCCCTCCATGATTTGCATAAGTGGAAGACACTTCGCAGAACGAATCGCCTGTAAGGAATTAAAACTATGAAATATGTTTTTATTACTGTATGTGTGTAATTAAAAAATTGATTGTACATCGTTTACAGTCGTTAACACAGTGAAGCGTTTATTTTTAGAAATTCCTTTGGATCGTACTGAAAAGAGAATTTTAATTCAGACGTCCTCGAGATTCAAATAGTAAATAATATTTGAAGACAAGATTTTTATATAACACGATACTAAATTCTGTGATATTTCGAGAATATTTGAAAGTATATCGATGAGTATAAGATGCAGATAAAAGTCGTAGAAATGAAATACGAGGAATTTACAAATTGCAAAATCATGTCTTTTTCAGGATTGTTCGTCAGTTCTTATCTATTTTGCAAGTATGTTACTCAAAACAATTAAAGCATTCCCTGTAATGTGACGATGAGTCGTTTAAAATAAATGAATTATCGTACATTTTTTTCTATCATTATTACTATGGAACTGTTTGTTTCTTTGATCAAATATTGTTGAACAATAAAACTTTCACGTTTCACGAGGTAATCCTTTAATTGTTTTGAGCTGTTATAAGTTATCGAGTACGATGAACATTTATTCAAAATACATAATTTTCAAAGTTCACTTTTGCAAGTTTCCCCGGGATACTATGCATACTCGTGAAGTTGAATCCACACGGTTGAATTAGTTTGCATTTATGAAATATCTTCATTATTACGCACACATCTGTATTAGTCGTCAAACTGAAAAATAGTAAGGGGGTTTTGATTTCTATATGATCGATAGTACAATATATACGCGGGCGTACACATACGCGAGTGAGCGCAGGGGAGAGTTTGTTTTAAAAAATATCGTAGATGTATGATAAAAATAATTTCTGTCTCACGGATAGTCTTTCTCGTGAAATTATACGTGTATAAAAGTAGTTTCGATATTTAATTGGCATTGTGAGTGGTTGAGAGGACAATTTAACTCTCGAGATAGTTTCTCTTCCTTTTTTTCGTGTTCTCTCTTTCATTCTTCCATGGGAGTCTGAACTAGCGAAGCAACTTCTTTTCACAGCAACGCGATATAAAAATTAGAGACTTCGATAGAGATATACTCGTAGATTAATTCAAGTGTTAGACGGCCAGAGTATGATTACCACGATTATGATTACAAAAGAACAGAAGAACGATTATGTTGACAATGTTCTATCGTATAATTACGAGTTACTAAGTCGGGGACTGACGACACCCATATTAGAGTTCGTATATATTGAAAATTTTTGGTCCTTACGTTCCCTCTACTGTACAATTTTCTTAAATAAATTACATTCGATCTAACAATAAGATGATATTTGCTTCCTGCTTTATCTTCTCTCGCACGACCAGTGAAATAACGATTCTTTCGTTCTTACTTCTTCTTCTTTTTTTTTTTTTTTTTTTTTTTTCTAAAACGCTTCGAAACAAATGGAAAGAAAATGTACGAGACTGTATGGAATTGCAAAGATTCGCGCCGATTTTTTATATGAAAAGTGGCATCCTATTTATTTGCAATGCCTAACATTCAACGGAACAACGAAACGCAACATTTCCAATCTACGGAAATACGACGATTATTCGAACCACAGACAAACATTAACCGAATTCTTCATTCCGGAAATGTTCCCTGTAAAGGATGACTCAAATCGATTCACTTAAACGATTAAATGCCTCGGATTCTTCGCTGCCGCAAACCTCTGCTGTTACAATCAAACAAACTACCCCATCTCGTTCAATTAAATAGTCAAACTACCCACCGGATTCATCACCTCAAACTCGTCGAAAATTGAAATGGAGGATACGAAGCGACGAAATGTGAAATTGATCCCGGTCGCTTTCGAAATTATTAAATTGCTCAAACTCGTCGTTCATACCGCGACAAACGTCAAACTTGTTGAAACCAAAGATTCTGTATAACGAACATAAAAATATTTAAATTGCTTCCGAATTTATTAAATTTCCCAAACTCATCGCAATATTTTCCATCGTTCGTACATACCAGGATGAGATCAAGCTCGTCGAAATTGAAACAAGGATTCCGAATGACGAATATAAAAATGCTTGAACTGCTTCCGAGTTTATTAAATTGTCCAAACTCGTCACGATATTTCTAAAGGTGTGCGAGAACGCAAAATATCGGGTCGAGTCGGGAATACGAAATTTTTTCGGGATAGGGACTCCCGAAAGAGTTGAGATTGGGAACAAGCTTAAATAATTCGTTAAAGCCCACGCCTTCAACTGTATCGAAAGGTCGCAGATCTAGAACCATCATTCGAGCAATTCCTTCTGTTATATCCTTTGGTTTAACAATCTTTCGCGTATCATGCGACAAATTTTACATCGATTCAGTTTCTTTTCTAGTACGTGTATTAATGTTTGGATGCATGTGCTTCAAATGGCGTAATAAACCAGTAGTATCTGCATACTTACAATTTAAAATTCATGGTGACGATGCGTGGATTCCGCCTTTGTATCATCGTTTTCTTGAAAATGTTCCCAAACAGAGCTTCTCTTTACCTTCTTCCTTTGCACGATATCTTCTGCACCACTTCCTGCTGCCACAACTTTACTCTCACTGTCACTCGACATTTCTTTTCAACGATTTTTAATCTTTATTAAATTCACACAGATTTTGAAACATACGTCTGAACTGCCCGAATTTCTCAGCGATACTGCTCAACAGCAGTACATAACGAATCCAAGGACTGAGCACGCAGTCGCACGTTTGTATACATCAGGTCGCACGATTCTTAGAATCCGTGTTTCCGATAACTTCGCTGGCAGAGGAAATTGAACTGTGTATATACGTATTTTGTAGACTGTTGTACAGCACTGCAAGGATAAGGCCCAACTCATCAGAATTGAAACAAAAATTCAGAACGACGAGTACGAACTGCTCTCAAATTTTTTTAAAATTCGTAACAAAAATGACGAACGCACTTATCACCAAGCAGAACCGCAATATTAATCGTTCCATTCCATTAAGAATCATCAGTGTGTGTGTGTGTGTTCCCCCATTCATTCCAACGGCAACATCCTTCGCTCGCCAATTAACCAGCCGCGAATTAAATCGGGCATCGTCGTCATCGGACAAAACATGGCGAAAAGCAGAGGAACGCAATTACGCGTTCCGACTTTCAGTATCGTGCGGGGCATTAATATTTTCCCCGGTCTTTTCTCCGCTCTTTCTATCTGCCGCCCATTAGCGCACCTAATTTATGCATCATCAGCGGGGCCGCGGCCAACCCTTTCCCCTTCCTGCATCCATCTTTTCGGCTGAAAACTTTCTAAAGATTTCCCCGTGCCAGCTACCACCGGGGCCTCGCGTCTTAATTACGCGGAGAAAAGGCGCTGGCTGCCGTCTCTTTTCAGGGTTGGGCAACGCGGAAACCGTTCCTTACGCCCTCGCCCTCCTTTCTTTCGTTTTCAGGGTGGCTAATAACAAAAGGGCCCAATAAACGGTAGGTAGCCGTCCGTTGGATTACCGGCCACCGCCACAAAGCCCGCCATAAATTCATAAACGTGTCGTGGACTCGGTGAATGGGGGATGCCGGGATACTCGCCAGTCGTCACAATAAGACAAATAAAAACAGGTCCCGGGATTCGTACATCAAACAGCGGCGTATTTCTCTTCTGT